GCGTCGTTGTACAACCGCCAGTATGGTACGCGCACCTTGCGAGCGGGATGGAACAAGCCAGCCCAGACATAGTTCATAACGGTACCGGCACCCACTGCCATGCGAATCGCATCGATGGCTTCGATGATGCGGTCAATAACGTGAGGGCTCGTCTCAAAGATGTTGGGAAAAACGAGATTGAGCAAGTGAACCATAGCATCCTCACAGCCAAGTCCGACGACGCCCAGCGCAATATGCTTAACCACGCTGGCCGCCGTTTGTCGATGAACCTGATCACGATCAACGAGGGCGTCCTCGAGCAAGGGAGTAACGGCGTAGACGTAGTCCTTGGCCATCTCACCAATGTACTCGAACAAGAAGGACATGGCTTTGAGAACACCATTCTGCACGTTAAGTTCCGGAACGCGGTACTCGTTCATCAGAGCGGGAAGCACAGTGAAGGGGGCACAAGTTTCGGCGACGATACCAATAGCGACAGCGGTACAGACACGGGACTGACGCTCCTGAACTCGAAGGTTGTTCAGGAGGGTAGCCAAAACATCCTGGGGACCAATAGCCTTGGCGATGAAGCCGAAAGTGTTGTTGGCTGCACGACGAATGCCCTTCTTGTGGGCCTTCAGCATATCAAGCAGCTCGAAGCAAATTCGCATCCATTCACGAGCATTGACGGATTCGGGGCCACGGTCGGCAATACGACCAACAAGATCGATAGTGTTCTCTTGCACCTTCTCGTGACGGTTACGAAGAATGGGTGTTAAGCGAGGCAGTAGGTCACGAATTGGAGGCTGCATCTGGTTGATACCGACCACTGTGACAATAGACCGCAAGGCACCTAGGATGGAGCCCAGAACCTCCGGGTATTCTTCACCCAAGTATTCGTAGAGAACAATACCAAGCTTGCCCATAAGGGCGTCTTCGCCACACTGCTTCATAACCATCGCAACGCGCGAAATGAGATCGGCTGCCTGTTGCCGGACGGTGGCAGATTTGTTGTTTAATCGCCAGAGAATGGTACTGACAATCTGGGGGAGATATGGCTTGCATCGAGTGCCAAGGGCATTCACCACTGTGCCAAATCCGTTCAGAATAACAATGTCCTCGATGCTCTGTTCCTGGAATGAATACAGAACACCATCGATGAGTCTCTCCTCCAATCGCTCGGAGATATCTGCAGCGCCCAAGGAGGCAATCAACTTCTCAATAGTCTCCACAGCCATCTTGCGGTAAGGCTCGCTCTCGTCCTTGAGGTTGTTGACAACCCGCTCTAGGATCTCGCCGACGCCAACCTTCTGGCCCAGATCGACAGTAGTGTCCACCACCTGACGGTAGTTCCGGCGGTCAAGGGCCATACGTCTCACCCAGAAGCTCTTGAAGAAGTCGGTCAAGACGTGTTCCTTGAGGTATCCGGCAGTGACACCATCCGTGCTAGCGCACTGTGATACCACCTTCAATACCACCTTCTTCATTTCCTCGTCTGGCGATGAGAACTCGCGAATTAGAATCTCCATGATTTGAGAACAATAGTAGTTGCTATATTCTTCATCCATCAGGGGAATGATGTATCCAACCGCTTTAAGGAAGGCGGCCAGACCCTTACCACGCTGTTTGCGCGCGCCAGTCCAAAGAGGGTTCAGGATCTCGTCAAAACTTTCGATACCGTAAGGGTTGGCAGCTTCAGCCAAAGCAGCAACAGCCAATGCGGTGACTGTTCTAACCTTGGCTTGTTCATCGCTAAGGTTGTCCGAAATACAATCGACAAGGCCCTTCAAGTGGGGTAGAATTGCGCAGCCCATCAGAATGGGAATCTGTTGGACAATCTTGACACCAGTGTGCCTGGCCTGCCAGGACTTCTTGCTGCGACAGACGGCGCGAAGGAATGGGAGCAATGCGGGGATACCAAGGGCAGAAGCCACAACGGCAAATGCACGAGCGGTAGTGTTTCGCACATACTCATCAACGTGATCGATATCGGGGCGCATGGTACTGATCATAGTAGCGAGACCAGCAGCCTTGGCAAGGTTGGAGATAATTTCCCGACCCTCAACACGAGCATAGTAGTCTTGGTCAATGAGCAATGGCTCAATGACGACAAGAATCTTATGGACATAAGGTCGGACCAAATCATCTAGCTTGTAGAGCACTCGATCAATAACCTTGACGAGTAAGTGGCGTTCCTGGTCTTCCAATGATTTCTCCATAAGCAACGGAAGGATCTGGTTAAACAAGGCACCAGCACCAAAGTTCCGAGCATTGTCTGTAAGTTGACGCAGCGCAGTCTTTCTCATGGGTGGTGTACCATTCTTGACCTTGAGCAGCAATCGCATGATCTTTCGTTCTTTCAATTCTTCCACACTCATAGAGCTGTCGTCTCCAGCCTCCATAAGCTTTCCAAAGTAGGCCATGTCTTCCGGCTTGAAGAATTGCAAATCACCCACGCCAGGGATATCGGTTGGAAGCTCTTTACCCATAGAGCGAACACTCTCAGGCTCTTGCATCATGAACCCACCAACGGTGCCAGCCATAGGTGCTGGTGTGGCCATCATTTTGCGGGCAGGATTTCTAATCGGCTCGTATCCTGGAGGAGGGTCCAGGATCTTGTAGCCTTCTGTGGGTAGCATCATGTCAAGTTCTTCATCCGACCAAGCGACGTTTCGACCAGAAAGATCCGTTCCAAAGCTGGTTGGTTGCAAAGCACCACCCTGGGACGGATGCATGGGAGTAGCAAGTCCTTGGTTGCCAACAGGAGTGGCATCAGTAAGAGAAGGCGCCTGATCCCATCGTGAGCGACGCTTGGGGGCTTCCTCCGCAGCACCAGGGGCAGGAGTTTGGTCCCACCGAGATCTCTTGCTCTTTGCTTCGGCAGATTCCTCAGCTTGTCCTTCTCCATTGGGCTCTGATGCCACATCCCAACGCTTCTTGCGCTTTCTACCGCCCGTTTCGCCAGCTGCACCAGCCTCGGTCTTCTCGATATCGCCTTCGACCATCTTGAGGGAAGCCTGGTGCTCAGGGACATCTTCCCCACGCTCTCGCTTCTCTGCAAGCAACTTCTGGACTCGCTCTTCCTCCTTTTCGAGCTCGCGAAGAGCCATAACCTCACGGTAGGTCTGTCCATCCCCCTCGGCATTCGCTTGGTTGTTGGCAGCGAAGGGATCCGCGCGCGTCGGTGTCAGAGGGCCTCGGTCGAATCGACGCTTTTGATAGTCAGTCTCCCGATCAGCGATTCGTGCAGCCTTCTCACGGCCCAGCATGATATCCTCCTCCTCGACTCCGTTGCCGTGAGCCATCTCATCAATCTGACTTCGGGTTGCGGTGTATTGGCCGACTAAGTTATGGCCTCCATTCGCGTCTTCCATCTCTTCATCGTCGCCATTCACAGCGATAGAGGTGTCATAGCCTGAGAACCTGTCTGCCCCGTCCCGCTCGTATAAAGTGGTATCAAAGGATTCGGTAAGGGAGGCCTTGGTCGAATTGTCAGTTCGCTGGCTAGACGAATCAAAGGTCCTTGAACCTTTCTTGCCCGCAGCAGCAGCATTGCGCTCGGCTTGGAGCCGGCGGACGGCTTCAAGATCGGCTGAAGTAGGGGTCAGTACTGAGCAGTTGAGGTAGGCGGGCGCAGAAAACTTACCGTCAGACATGGTGAAAGCTTTGGTGTACGGATGGAAATATTATCGCGCAAATGTAGTAGGAAGAGTCACCGCAGCTACATTCGGAGTAGGCACCGTGTAAACGGCAGCATCGAAGATGGGATGAAGCTGTGTGACTGAGGATCGGCGCGGGCGACGTGCAAAAAGCACGTCGCCCGGTCAAGTCGCGGTGGATGACTAAGGGCAGTATCACGTGACTTGCTAGCTTTGGTTGAGTCATCTCTACATGGTTGCGGTCAACAGTTACTTTACTTTGTAATTGAGAAGAACCCCACACATTTATGACGATGAATTGAAGCAGGTCTCCAAGTAAGTCCCAAATTGACTTTAATGTACTCTTGATGCTGCAGAATGGCTGTTAAGGTGTCATCTGGGTGTTTGTGGCGCTCCGAGGGCGCTTACAGACTATTTATGTCACACATTGGGTGTATCAGTGAGTGGAGAATTGCTATTTTGGGAATAAAATTGCGCAGTTTGCACGTTGATAGAACTCCAGATCTGAATATTATCACCTTAAGGAATAACCTGTAGGGAAATGACTTCCAACCTGAGGCTCAGGCATACATGATAGAAACAGCAACATTGGAGCCATCACGGTACGTAGAAGATCCATATCGGTGACGTCTAAGGCCCGTGTTTAAGACTCGTATCACCACCAAGACAAGGCTAATCTGAAATACTTTGGCAGAATTAATTGAGATCAGGCTCAGGCTCACAACTTCCGGGACTGTCTCTCTCTCCAGGCTTTGATCGATGCACCTTGGCGGCTAGTGTAGCCCTTAAGTGGGGATGTAATCTATGCTTGACTGCACGATATGGTTACATTGAACCGGGAAACAATCTGACCGCTATGAACTCAATACTATATTTGTGACTTTCAGGTCTGAATCCATCTAGTATGACTGCTAAGCTTTTCATTCGTTGCAAGGGTCCCCAACAGCCAACAAAGAGGCCGATTTTAGCACCCTCGGATCTTTAGCTCCGAGCCACCCCCAGTTTATCAGCGCGTAAAAAGTCAGACAAAACTTCTCGATGCAAACCAGATAAGTTTAATTAAATGCCCGGTGAGGCAGATTAATAAAGCAAGCCACGGTCATGGGGTTTAATATAGACTTCCGTGGGATATCAAGTCAGCCTGATGATACTCATAACTTTCCAAATTTGAGACTTCGTTTCTTTCTTTGTTTCATCCAGAATATATAGAGAGTTCTTCGTATTTAATGAGCAACATCTCTTTCCCACCTTTCACTCTGTTCTCTCTCGTCACCCATAGAGTATCTTTCTCTTGACCAGCTTTCGGTCCCTGGGAACACACCATCGAACTCGGCTTTTATCATTCGAAAAGCCCTCACCACAATGAATACACTTCAGACTATCCTCCTGCTCTTGACGGTAGGAGTAGCTGGTGTCTCTTCACTCCCTGGCCCTTTGAGGCTAGCGTCCACGTTTTCTCGAATTTCCAACGAGCTCGACCATACTACCTTAGGAAAATGCTCCCTTTCAAGTGCAGTCCTCCCACTAAATGGTACGGCGATCAAACTGCCTCGGCCTACAACAGCTTTGAATCTCAAATACATTGCTCTTGGCCGGGGAACTCAGAACTACACCTGCGAAAACTCTACATCCTCCGCAATACCCGTATCCGTCGGTGCAGCAGCCACCCTTTTCGATGCCTCTTGCATTGCAGCAAAATCTTTGACTCTGCTGCATGAGATGCCTGCTGTTTTCGGAGAGACACCAACTGGATCGCTTGCTTTCCTAGCAGAGCTCTTGAGTCACACCACAAATTCCTCCGACCTCATCATCGGGGAACATTACTTCAATGCCGCAGGATATCCTGTCCTTGACTTGAGGCTAAGTGGTAGTCAGGACTGGGTGGTGGCCACAAAGAATGCATCAGTGGATGCACCCCAAATTAGCAGTTCGACATGCCAAAATGTTGCCTGGCTGGAACTTGATCGAAAACCCGGGAACTGCTCTGGAAACGGCATTGAGGTGAGACATACCTGATCAAGATTGTAGATATTACTAAATTCTAACGTCGATACAGAAAGTTTACCGTGTCAATACATATCAGGGATCTGCGCCATCAACCTGTGCTGGATTGAACAAGACTATTGAGGTCCAATATGCAGCAGAATACTGGTTCTATGGGTGATGATCCCTGCAACCTACGAGAGCATCGCTCTGAAGCAGAGTTATATGATATCCTTGATTTATTCCCAATTTCAAGTATTTGCAGAATCGATGATTAGAATTTATCCATGAAGCTCTCTTTTGAAAGTCGTTGATCGCAATTGGCCAAAATGTAAAGTTTTAAGATGTCAATATATGCCCTCCAATGTTGTGGCATGCCTGGGTGCCAAGGTGGTTCCAGAAACTGACATTTTTGCCTTTATCAACATGATCAAAGTCCCTGCTCGTTGTGTTACTCATTTTTGCGCACAGCCACCAGACTGCAAGCAACAAAGAAGTACTTCGAGTCAAAGAAGCACCGTGGGGTATACTACTATGGAGCATGGTACATATCATACTCTCGCTTTGGGCCTAGCGCCAGAGTGGGTGCCTCAGGAATCAAGGAATCAAGGTGGCGCAGGACAATGGTTCCGAATGTGGCGCAGCGCGTGCTACTATGACCCAACCGCTCGTAAACCGGGCATTCACTTCGTTAAACTTTGTGGCCGAGATACTAACCTTCCAGTTTGAGAATCTTGAACAGCTGTCATATCTTGAGTCAGATCGCACGGACGTTGTAGACTTTTTTCAGCAGAGCACACTACAGCTTGGTACCCTGTTTAGGTGGCGATGCACAAATTTATTGCACGAAAAATTTTAAGCTGGCAGTGGCGTTTGGACCTGAGTTTGCCTCAAATATAAAACCTATGAGAAAATATTGTTCTCTAATGCAGACATGTTGGCAATGCTTCCCTCCACTCGGGGTGGCCGAGGGACACATGGATTATCTAGGACTGAGTTGTCAACTCAATTGCTTGACATTGTCATTTCCGGCTAAGGATAGCCTTTATGAAATAAGAAAATTATTCAGATGCGTAAACCAGAGTAATGAAAATAATAGAAAACAATGTTGTTCGGTAAAGATTTCTTTACTTATTAAAAATATTTGAGCGAATGTTGACGTTCATTACGGGGTCAAAAGGCGACAGTCACATGACCGGAATCCCCGAACGACGCGACTGCTCGCGTCCACATCTGTCATCCCCAGCTGTGCATTCACTGCGGTTTTATTCACTCTCGACCAGCCTTTTTGTCGCATTATGATCGCGAACTAGTATTGATACCCCCGACATCAATTTTGCACCCCTCCGAACCAATTCTCTTCACCAAACCCCAAATTCCTATCACATTCCACCTCCATCAAACCAATCACACAAAATGGCCACCGACTACAGCAAGAAGACCAACGCCGAGCTTGTGGAGATCCTTAAAGCCCGCTCCCTTGCTCACACCGGCAAAAAGGCCGATCTAGTAGCCCGCATCCAGGAGGACGACGAGAAGACGTCGGGAGCTCCCGCTGCAGCTCCCGCCACAGCTTCCAAGACCGACGCTGCAGAGGATGTGATCGACTGGGATGACGACGTACCCGCCGAGACCGCCGTGACCGAGCAGCCTGCTACTGAGGCAGGCGCCAACGCCATTGCTGCTGGCGGCAAGGGCGCTGTCGCCAACCCGGTTGCCGTTCCCAACCAGCAACTCGACACTGATCCTGCTGCCACCGACGACCTGAAGGTGGAGTCCACCGGCGACGTCGAATCTGCTGCCGCAAAAATCGCTGCAGAGGCCGAGAAGAAGCCCGCTGTTGATTACACTCGTGGTCTGCCTGCAACCGAGCTGGACGAAGAGTTGCGCAAGCGCAAGGCCCGTGCCGAGAAGTTTGGCATCATCGAGGATTCGGAGACTGCATTGAAGGAGGCTGAGAAGTCGCTCGCACGCGCCAAGCGCTTTGGTACTACCACCGAAGGCGACAGCGCTGCTAGCGCAAGTGTGAAGGGCCTTGATCAGGCGCTCCCTGATGAGAAGTCGCGCAAGCGGGCTCGCACTGAGCAAGGTGGTCAAGGTGGCCGGGGCGGTAAGCGTCGTGATCACGGTCGCAACCGTAACCGACGTGGAGATGACCAGAATCGCCGCGGTGGAAATAATGGAGCTAGCGCTTCGAATGGCCAGAAGAACCCGAATGACAAGGACAGATTGGCTGCGGAGGCGCGCAAGAAGCGGTTTGCGACTGCGGCTTGAATATTTCAAGCATTGCTGATGTTTTAGTTCTTTCTCTTGTTATTAAAATCAGATCTTTTTTCTTTTCTTTTTGTGTCTACATATTTCAGGTCTTTACGGGGCGTTTGAACCAAGATGCTATGGAAATCAATGGTTTGCTAAGTGTTATGTGAATGAATGGAAGTTAAATCTCATCACTGCCATTAATTTGCCCTGATCACATCATATGGAGTGATTGACAATATCACCTGGCCGCTCGCAAATCGCAAATCTCAAATCGCAAGACGCAAATCCTTAAAAAGGGCCAAGCACCGAGCATCAGTGTTTCCTTTTGCGAAGTCAGCTGAAAAGTGCATTAGCCTCCGGTTCCTGCAGCATCGCAGCTGGCCACTCTTGCGCCCGCACGCCCCAAGGCGGATTGGCCCCTCCAGATCGGCGTTCGGGATCGACGAACCCACAGACAGAAAAACTCCCGAGCTCGAGAGGGCGGATTTAGAGAGTCCCCACGCATAAGTACAATTACGCTCGTAACTCGGCGCAAGTGTCTGCGCAAAGACCCTGGCTCATTTCCCCAAAGCCTAGCCAGTACTGCGTTTACCGCCGGGCTCCACTTGGATGGAAGGCCAGTCCAGCGAATCCGAGGCCACCAAGCACCATTTCTTCAATGGTGGCGGGTGGGGCCAAGAATATAGGGCGGTTAACTACGTCAATCAACGCAGTCCGGGGCGTTCATTGCTGGATTTCCCGGTGGAGCATCACAGCCCACTAGGCAAGCCCGCTGCAGCGGTCCCAGCTAGGCTAGGGCCTTGTGGTCGTACGTTGTATACCACTGGTTGATGGCATCCCAACAATCATAATGGTTATATTTAATAGGGTAGAGAATACGACCCCCACTAATCTCTTTTTATTGGGATTGAGTCAAGGGAATGTTCCCTGGTCAAGGCCTCGGGACGGGCCACTTCGTACCAGACTCTGGATAACGGTTTATAGATTAATCGAGACATGATGTTTGAAATGAAATCTGGCTTATCATAATCCGAAGCAACCCGTTTTCCTGTGACTGCGTCTACTCCAAGGTAAGTAGACAGGTCTCATTGACGTATTGCAGATTCTCCTGCAACCAGTACCGGTCTTGCAGGGACCCCTAGCGACCACGTTTGGAAAATCTCCGAGTCCTGGAGTAAGGAAAAATCTAAAATCAAATAAAAACTAGGACTGTGCGCTGAGCAATAAGCACACGACAAAAAGCAAAAAATAAAAGCAAATAGGGATGGATCGCCGTGCAGTAAGATCGGGTTCGGCGTCCCCGATCGATGAGTTGTCAAAGAGGCGACGCAAACGCGGTGAACATACTCTGGTTCCTGACAGGACAGTTCGAGTCAGAAGCTTTACCAAATCTCTTATGCTCAGCTTGAACGTCTGGAGGATTTGGTTTGAATGTGCACCATTTGAAGTGTTGGAATGTTCGAACGTGCCACCCAAATCCACCCCGCCACTGTCGCAACCAATGTCGAACTATGCCGCTGATAGCCTTTCCCCGAAACCCTTTTGCCTAGTACATATCCGTCCGACCAACGATAGTAGATTCTAGCCAGGGAAGGCCTCGAGTGGGCCGTCTCCCCCATGCGAGCTTCCGTGCGCAATCTTGTCACGGTGATAGGATTAGGTTTGTAGCGGAGGGCTTTGGGGCCGTTGCTTCAGACTTGCACGATCCGGCTCAGGATTTGTCTCCTACAGGTCTAGCCCGTGCAAGTCTCGACTCATCACGTACCTTTTGTGCACCAATGGTGGCTTTGTACTGGGACGTGTATTGGAAAATCCCTAAACCATCGGCATTCTATATGTGGAAGAGTATTTTTTTCGATTTTCCCCACAACGGGCAGAAACACCCGAGTCAGCAATACAAAACCTGGACGGGAGTACATCTGAAAACTTTTCTTCTTATTCTCTTTCCCTAAAATTTCATGCTATGGGATCAAAGCAAGAAATCTTACTTATTTTAGGCTCCTATGGACTTACCACTGACGTGGCCGAGGCTTGAAATTCTCATGCCACATTGCTCTGGGCTGTGGCGAAGCAGCTGCAGCTCCGCCGATCAGAACAAAGTCGGTGAATTTCAATCTTTTATCTGACATCTGTCGGACACGTCTGAATGATTCTAATTGCGTTTTTAGTTGCGTTTTTTATAGTTTGTGTGCTGGCTTCGAGATACGAATATCCACTGCTATCTCCAGTCTCCACTATTAATACGGAGTCTTGGAGACCGGTGCATGGAAGTAACGACTTGGATTTTTGTACGTCAGTAGTCTTGAACCCTCGTCACATACTATGGCGTCCCATCAGACCTATGAAGCTCATGCATACATCTAGGGCCATCGACATACCCTACACTAGCGTGATGATTACGTTTTCAATGCATATGTACCTATTCGATTACTTGTCTCAACATGGGAACTGGAGACTCCAATCACGGTCACACCATGTCGTACAACTCTGGACGTATGCCGCCGAAGGCATCGTCTGCAGATTCATCACATCCGCCGTCCAACTCTGGCATCCCTAATGCATCTCGGTTTCAAAGATCTCCACTGGCAAGGCCAGTCAATTCTACTCCTCGAGGTCGCGCATCATCTTTCTCCAGTGCAGAGGGGAGTAGACAGATCCCCGCACCGGCACCATCTAACAATCGTTCAAAACGACTGTCATTGCTACCGCGGCCCAGTACTGGCGGTTTGACATTCCAAATTCCTCCGTCGACGCCATCGCCTCAAACCCCAGTCCAACCTATTCCACCCTCTGTCTCCACTCTAGATATCACGAACCCGTCAGCATTTGTGCCAATTAGGCCCAGCTACCAAGCGAAACCACCACCGGCTAAGAGGACCCGAAATGTCCTGCGCAGAAAGGCGCCGTTGATAGGAAAGCATGTGGAGCAGAGCCAAGCCCAGAAGCTCAGTCTGGTGATCCCGCAAGAAAGCCAACCGAACGAAATGAAGGATCCTAGGTTACATTCTACACCAGATGCATACTCAGCTGGGCCGTCAGCCTCGGCATCTTCACAAAGTTCGAGTGACAAGACGCCGAAAAGTGCCATGGAAACGCCCAAGACTGGCCCGGCAGAATTGGCTAGCCTCCGTACTGTCAATACTCAGAACCTTCCTCCCACACATTCCTTTCCATCCGCAAGCAGCCCTTCGACAAGGTACTCTGAGTCCCCGGGCATGTGGAGTCGTGGTTCAACGCCGACCTCATTGTCCTCATACTCACCGGGGCTTATGCACTCAAGCAAAATTGGACGTTTAAGACAGCCTAGCCCATCCCACACTAGACTGCCATTTTTCTCGCCGCCTTCTTCACATGCAAGTCCTCAAAGTGCACAGAGTGATCGACGAGAGCCCAAAACACACCGGACAGCACTTCCTCAACGGTCTCTCGGCCCAAGTCCAGTGGCATCCACCGCACCGAAACAAATACCCAAGCCTGTTGCTACAAAGACCCCAGGTCCTCCCCACAGCCCGCCTCCAAGAAAGTCGTCCGTGAACTTTAGTCCGAAGGACTCTCCGTCCAAAGACTCTGACATTGATGTAGAAAAGGCCAGAAAGGAAGTCGAGGAAGCCGAGCGAGAACTCTTCAACGTGCATAAAAGAAGGATTGTCAACCCCACAGCCCTCGAGGCTAGTGTGCCAAAAACACCACCACGACCAAGCCGAGATGGCACCCATCGGTTGAATTTGGAGACATCACCAGTGATTCAAAGCAATCTGCCATACCTTAAGACCACGGGCCACAAGAGACGGGAATCTATGGAAAGAGCTCTTACGGCGGCTCAGCCCTACCCAACTGCAAACCCTTCTGCTGCCACTTCAGTGGACACTTTTCGATCCAAGGACATATCTCGAATTCCATCGCGCGAAGCAGGGTCCCCGGTAATGACTCGCAAATCGCCTAAGTTGGTCAAGGACCCCCCTAAAGTAGCTACCAAGGAGAATAGTGAGCCGAAAAAGCCCATCACACCCAAGCGATTTGGCCTTTTCCCCAAAAAATCGAAACCAGAAATGGAAAGCAACACTGGTGAACAGAATCGACCACCAGTACGCAAGGGTCCAGTAGCAGGGACTGGTCATGAAGGATACGGGAAATACAGCCAGCGCGGGAGAAAAGCGAGTGCAAGCAGTAGCAGCGGTGCCAGGACCCGATCAACGAGTACAACCCGAAGCGCACCGCGATCAATTGCTAGTAGTAAAGGAAGTATGTCAAGTCGCCCGGATCTGGAACTCGACGATTTTCTCTCAAGTCGCCTTGAGCCAGTGATCATCAGCGGTGGTGGATCGACCCTTTCACGAACCCAAAGCGAACAGAGCATGAGCAGCCTTAGTGTTGCATCATCAAGCCTGCATCGTCCGACTCCTCTCACAGTTTCTACTGTTCAATCTACGGATTCCTTGGTGACAACCTCGACAGATATTCTGAATGAGGCGAAGCTGCCTACTGCATCGAGCACTACCTTATCATCGGCTCGGAGCCAGAGTCTAGAAAGAAAACCCGAGGTCACTGATCGTCCGCAACCACCAAAGTCGCGCATGCCAGTGGCCAAAGGGAAGAAGCGTGAGGTGTATATAAATCCAGAAGCCGGTCAGACTCAAACATCTCTATCGAGTGCTGCATCAACAACACTTCCTGTCCAGATCCCAAAAAGCACCGCCGGCTCGTCGAATCAGCAACAACCAGCGACCACGAAAGAGAGTCAGCAAGTCAACAAGAAAGAGAAAAATTCTAGGTGGAATCTATTCCAAAGAAACCGCTCTGAACCGCCTAAAGCCCCTGCTCCTGAGCCTACATCGGTTTCCCACACTGCCCAGCTCCATGCAGCGATCTCACCAGCGCCGAAGACCCGACCTGTTGCCCACTATGCACTAGTGGATGCCGACTCCGATGAACTTGACGACATAATCAATAATATCGAGCACTCGCCACCTACAGAAGAGGAAATCTTCGTACCAGCGGTAGAGGTACCAGCAAGCCTGAATATTAGAAAAAGACATCCGTCCGTCTTACTACCTTCGCCACCGAAGATGCATGGCGAGTTTGAGAAGGAAGGACATTCTTCCCCGAAGACCGCAATGTTCAATCGCAATCTGATGGATCTGGACTCTGAAAGTAGCCCTGAGGATCGCCGACCTAGACGACTGGCTTCTGTGGGTCGCATCCCTAAAGTTGTTTCTAGGCGCGATAGACAACATACACCGGCCACTCGATCATTCTCTCGTCCATTCAGTGTCGTTGAATCACCGCCATCGGTACCAGCCTATAGACAGCAAGGTCCACATGACTATCCAAGCTTTACCGACTCTCCTTGGAAGCAACAAGCGGACATTCCATCGAGCCAGCCGCCTGATTGGGGATATAATTACACACAAGGCTTTAGTGCACCTGCGACGGTTAGCGCCTTGAACTTTCTTGCTGGACCTTATTCGGCTCACGAGTTTATCCATTTTTCGCCACAAAAGAGCTCTCCATCCTCAAGCAGCCCTCTGGAAGCAGTGACAGCTGTAGTTCCCAAGCCAGAAACAGCCCCTATGGAAGATGAGATCTGGAAGGAGTATGATGATTTGATTGATGTCCTTTCCCCAGATGAATCAAAGCCAGATGAACCTAACAAGCCAGAGGATGATGAGAGGTTTCAATTCGCCACTATGGCGAGCAGAGCTCTCCAGGACGAATTGAACAATCCAAACTCCCTTCACCCCGGCCCCTCTGCATCTGGTGAAGCATCAATTCGGTCCAGTAGCGATTCGGTTCGTCTGCGTCGTTCTAGAATTGCGTCTGCTTTGCATTATTCACTCTCTCCATCAACTCAACCGTCGTACAGTAACCTCATTGCCAGCTACGGAGAGAACGAGGAGCCTCGGAGCCCAGAACATCCTGTGCAGTCTCCCCAAGGCAAGTTCCAAGAGCAGCAATCGACATTTCTTCAGTCTCTAGCCGCAGCTTCCAGTCCTGAACCCAAATCTCGCGATGATCGCAAATCCATACCGGGCTCATCAGAGCGAGCTTGGGACGCTGTGACCCGTACTAATATGCGATCTGCTTCGTTAATGACCAGCCGCTGGCTATCATTCGGGCGTGTCCTTTTCAGCCCTGCACACAACCACGTCAAGACCGGAACACATGGAAGAATCCTTGTGATTGATGGACTCGGGAACGACGATTGGTCTTTCTATTGCTCGTTGACTTACCCCGATGCCGAGGTATACAGCTTGAGCGGTCGACCAGTCTCTACAGCGATGCCCCATCCAGCTGCATGGCAGCCTCCTACCAACCACCACACGGTCTATCACGCCGGTCTGCAAAACCCTCTGCCGTTTCCCAAAGACTACTTCGCCGCGACCGTTTTGCGATTTCCTGCAGCAAGCCCCGAGGCGATGCAGAATAACATTATTCAGGAATGTAAACGTGTTCTTCGCGCCGGCGGTTACCTGGAAATGAGTCTCCTAGACCGGGACATGGTGAACATGGGTCCTCGCACCCGTAAAGCCGTCCGACGACTCAAGGAAATGACCTGCCTCGCCAACCCAGCCATTAGCCTCAAGCCTAGCAGCGATAATGTTCAGCGTCTACTAGGCACGCAGGGCTTTGACAATCTCCGCCGATGCATGGTGCGAATCCCGGTTGCAGGCATGGTCGTTCGATCCTCCGACTCAACTACTTCTTCATCGAACAAATCCTTCTTGGCAACAGCAACAACTTCCTCAACCGGATTCTCTCTCCCAGCTATCTCAGTTACTGGAACGACGGGTAGCCAGAGCACCCGAACGGCTTCAAAATCGTCGCCTTCGGATGACACCAGTGTCTCTCTGGGGGATCTTTTGTCAGACCCTTCACCCTCCGCCGCTAATGACGAGTCAATCGCCAAGATTGTGGCACGTGTCGGTCGGTGGTGGTATACGAAGTGCTACGAGGATCCTGTGCTCCCCGACACCGGGGACAATGATCCGGGCATGTGGAACGACCGCAAGGTTCTTCGCGAATGTCAGCAACGTGGAACTGGATTCCGTATGTTGATTGCATATGCACAGAAGCCGAGTGAGGTTAAGAGACGCACCGCCAGCGTCTAAATGATGATTACTTATGATGCATATGATTTCACACTATTGGCATGACTTATGGATACCCTCAACGCTTCTCTTTTTCTATCTCTTTTTTTTTTTCATGTGTTTTTTTTCTTTCATCTTTGACTCTACTTTTTTTCTGTTTTGTCAGACCCAAATCCAGCATTTACGGGCAGGTGGATTCATGATTCAAGACTTGCATTGACCTCGCGGTCTCTATTGCGAAGAGTATACTAATTCGGAGGATATCTGTTTACGTGCATCATGATACAATGATAATTGCGGTACAATATTGTTATAGCATCCCAAGGCTGGCCTTTTGATTTACTCGTTGGTTTCCATCTTACAAGCAGGACTAATAGATGAACAATCAGACTATATTGAAATTTAATCCCGAGTTTCCATTCCATCACTTAATGGCAACGATCCACGAATTTAATAATCTTTTCCGCAGTAGCACTTCTTTCAAATCCCCCAAGGTCCTCGAGAAACACGACTCGAAACAGATGTTCGTTCTCAGGAAATACAGTAAAGAAAGACATCAGACCCTGGATAAGAGCCTGATCGGAGAGATACTCTTCCTGCGAGGATCTGAACAATCGCATTTCTAGAGTCACCTGTGGCGAGGTCTGTAATTGGCCTAGGATAATTTGCCATTGAAGTATGCCATGTTCTTTGACCTGCATGAAGGAATCAATCTTCTCGAACTCAAAGTAGTTACCGAACCACTTAAAACTGAAGCGACGGTCGCGTCCTTGCATGCGCAGTACACGCAGGTATTCGGCTTCAGGGATCATACCATAGGCTACATCCGGGATTGGATGTACAGAACCAATGTCACCGGCTATATAGCGTACGACCGGATTGCGTAGCCGTTGAAGGGATGTCTGGACAATAAGACCCGACTCTCCCTGTGGCAGCGGATCAAGAATTGGATCTAGACTAGGCAAAGATGTATCCTGCAAGGCTGAAGAAGGGAAAATCTCAACCAGCACATTGCGAGTATCAAAGATAAAGTCGGTGGTACTGGTAGGATCTTGATCCTTCATCAGATCGGGGATACTGATCGCCCAAGGACCCACCTCAGCGCTACCTAAGATAGAGAAGATCTTCACGTCGCCAAGGACCTTTTTGATGAATGCTCGCTGGGGACCAGTAAGCGGCTCGGAGGTGTAGATTATCTTATTGATATTGATGCGATCGCGATTTTGTTGTGTCATCGTAGAGATATAATTGACCACTCGAATTATCTGGCTGCTGTCACCAGATAGAACGTTGACATGATAATCAGCTAGAGCTTGGGCAACCTCCGCAGGTAGCATATAGCTTCCAGCGCTCAGAATAGTGCCTCCCGCATTTTCGATGAGTTCTGTTGTGAGATCGAGGGCCCTTTTTGACAAGGTTAGAAGGGACAGCATATCTATTGGAATTGGATCTAGTCACCTATAGAAGCCACCGGCTAACTGAGTAGACAGCACCCAATCATGAGGCTCGATTACACCGCATCTTCTGAGAAACTTGCCCATTTGAGCTCTCTGACGACGATTTTCATGCACGTCTACCGCGAACATCATGGGGATCCCCCCGGAGCCACCACCTGTAATGCTCGTGTATGAACTATGTCGATAGGTATTTTGCGAGTCCACATCATGTGTTAGACGTTTGATTGTCTTGTACCTGAATGAATCAGTATTTAGCAAACATGTAATGTCAGAAAGGGAGAATGCGATGCTGAAAATTTTTCGTTCAGCTATGAAAAAGTGGGTGGGCGGTGGTAGAGAGGGGGAGTGTGAAATGGATCTCTGAGCGTTGGCATTCTTCTAACTATTGTCTTACAGTATGTTCTTAGTAAGCAATGGCTGATCTTGGAGATTGAGCGCCGGTTGCTCGTTAACGAGCTCCCGAATTCTCTGGATCGCTTTGGCATCTGCCGGATACTGCACATCCGGGTTATAGAAGGGGTGCGTTTTGGCGACGGCCAGTACCTCTGCCAACGAGTAAGTTTCCGTGGGCATTGCGTCAAATGAATCCTTAGGGATCTAGCTTGAGACAGGATAGAGTATGAAGCGAGGGTGGAAGGTTGCGGGGTATTAGTAGTCGAATGCCATGGGCTCTCACAGGACCTGGGCTACCGGAGAGGAACAAGGTAGAGAATTAAATTTTCCAAGTTTTGCTGAAGGTTCTGCATTGTAAAAGTGGCCGACCAGTTCATTTCATAATATTGCCTTTCACCATCGATATCAGATCCTCGCTATGCATGAACGAGTTACACCGGAGTAAGCACAGGAAGTTCGTGGCCTATTTTATAACTGCATACGACCCTCGAGGGTCCTATTGTGACGATTAAATATATGCTTTTTTTGACAAAAAGAGCAAACTAAATATTCTAATACCAGCTACTGAATTAAATCTCTTCTCTTTTCGAGAAGCTTTAAAGCTGGCGTTATATTTTGTACCCAGTTTGGGGACCTGGGAAGAATAGAACCAGGTCTTTGGACTCTGAGGATTATATTCATGACAGATTGAATTATCCTGAGATCTACAATATGATTTTCGCAATAGCGAGTGAGCCGCAAAGGATAGTCTTGAAGTGAACACCGGCAAAGGATCAAGAAAGGAATAAAAAAAATACAACAACTAGGATTCGCAGTCAACCGCCGTACTACTAGGTAACTAACCGGCGTGTTGCTTAAGTGCGGCCAGTAGTTCGGTGGGTATCACCAGGGTGATAAGTTAGTGAGAGCCGCTTTAGCGTCACGCGATCGGGAGTGAGAAGGGTGAATGTGCAATAGGTAGGGTGAGAAGCCAGGTGTGAGCGCGTGAAAAGTCACCTTTCGTCGCTAGACTGCCGTATTGACCCCTCGGTAATGCGACTCTCGACTTAGATGGGTTAGCGGGAAGATTTTCGATTACCAAATCGGGCAGAAGTGGGGATCCCCTCTGAAATGTATCAAAAATTCGATAATCTTTTCTATTGAGTGCAACCCGAACGGCGATCGCACATTTAACCAACAAACTGATGCTCTCAAAATGTACCTATAACAGATAAATTCTCCTTTCTCGCTTGAGACCTTCAATTTTTTGACACCTTACACTATGTTACGCGGTGCTAAGTCAAGGACTCAAGGCTCGTCCTCAAGTCTCAGTCGCAACCGTACCGTTGCCAATTGGCTTCATATAGACCCGGATCTATGAGTAGATTCCTATGAGGCTGTGCCAGGTAGTGCGCTAAGTCAGGCTATACTTAAGAACTAAGTCGAGAGACTAGAGACTAAGGATACTCTCCTTGTAAATTAGTTTGTCTTAAGCACGAAATTGAATAGTGAAGCTAGAACTATAGGTTCCTAGTAACAATGTCTCAACAAATATGTGATAGAACGCGAAGAACTAAATACATATGCGGTAATGAATGTCCTTATAGACCTTTCGAGTTCCTACTTCAGCTGCGTATAGAGGGAGTTACGGTCACGTGTCGCCAACTGTCCAATCATGATAACAAGTATTTAAGAGGCTGAATATGTATCCCCGACGCCAGTCCTTTATTAGTTCTTGATCCACCACCTCGCGTCTAGTACACAATGGCCACTACCAGAACGGATGCCACCCGCATCCGCGATGATATGGCGACGAAACGCCAAAATTCATGGGGCTTCTGTTTCTACCGTACATGTTACTACGACGATGATACACGGTGGGAGAGTTTCCTTGAGCGGATGAAAGCATTCGCAAAAATGCGGCTACTGGATTCTAGGACGGAGAACAAGAATGGCGATGGAGAATTCCTTTTAGGCCAACTTGAATGGAATGTTCAATCGGACCCCTCGCTAGACAATTCTTCATATGAGGAAGTCTGGCGGTATGAATTATGATCCCTTCCTATTCGATTTAAACTAAAATATTTATGGGGAAACGAAGTGCTGATTTTTCCCGCCTTCTTAGCCGCCACCGGGATCTCATGAAATCTCTTCAGGGGGAATATTGTCCCGCTTTTGTCCGACAAGGATACCCTGTCGTCGTGGATAAAGAGGCCCTAGACTCTGTCCTAGAAGCCTCGTCACCAGATGCATGGACACCTGGTGATAATCTTAGGACGATGGCCTACGTGAATGTGCTTGATATGCAATGGTTTGATGCACAGGATGAGCCGGATAATGGAATTGGATCGGAAGTTGGGTGGACGAGGGTTTCGGCTCACGAGCTATATCCTAGATTACATTCGTTACTTGCAGATTTCCTATGGCCGCAAGTCATCTATCGTGATCCTCCCACGATTTCTCGTTTACGCTAAAGATCGCCATATTCTCTGCTTGCATTTCTGGGCCTTGGCTCTTCCGGTGCCACTAAGGAGCTCCGTGTAACTCAGCTAAGATCCCATGCCAAGGCGTAATCATGGGTACACCAGTACTCTCTCAGCTTGGGGAATGGAGTATCAGCCTCACTCCCTCTCGCCTTGCAGACGTTGCTTCGCCATCATAATCCTTGTCGAGGGTCATTTCTTCCTGATATTTTGATGCACTGCGAACCAATGAAAAGCTGGTTTGCTTTATGTGGTGGTCATTTTCACAGATAGCTGCAGTTACAGTCATAACCCCCCTCTTTTCTCCTTCTCACTAGATATCAAATCTACTCACCTTTCAGCCTCACTTCCGTCGGGCTTCCGCCTTTTTTATCTACTAGCAGACTTATCTTCTCTACCTCATTGATTGTATTCAACCAAGACCGGTGGGCTGTTACAGGAGTGGATTGTTGCTGTATATTCTGTGCGCAATTGATTTTATGATCAGAGCTTCCTTCCTTCCCGTGAAATCAGAATCAGGCAATCGGAATACTCCACAATATACGCCGTATCTATTGAAAATGAGACCCAGTCTCCATAATCAGTCTGCTGGGCCTTCAAGTGAATGCAATATCAGAGATTATGTGACTACTCCTGTAGATGAATCAGAGCTTCTCTTTTCTTCCTTCTTCCTCTCTCAAACCTCCCACAATACAGAAAATGTTCTGGTTGTCGTTCCTCGTACTCGTGTAGCTCACAACCTGTACTTGTACACTCTTTTCTCCCTTTCTCCTCTGGTCCACCAGTGCCACGCGCTGACACAATCAAATTTACATTATATCTCAACGTTACATGATTTTGTGGATAAAATTCAACCGAGTTACCGTGGGCTATAGAAAATTCTAAGACAAGCTCGAAAACGAGAGAAGGCGAAGCTAGGAGAAACATGGCTCAACCTTTACTGTATAAGGAGGCGCAGTATACAGGAAACCACTAAGCGCTTACTTTTTGCCGACGAGGTATCTGAAAACAGCTCGGATAAAGTCCAGAGTATCCTGAGCACTGCCAGTTGGGATGGCCTGGGCAGTTACAGCGCTGCTAGGGGTAGCCATGACGATGCTGGGCTTCGAAGACTGACGAGACTGGGTAGCGAAGGTAGTCACAGCCTGCACAGCCTGCACAGCCTGCACAGCCTGCACAGCCTGCTCAGCCTGCTCAGCGGCAGCAGAAGTAGTAGTTTCAGCGGAAGTGATGGTCGCAACGGCGGCGACAGTGGTTTCTGCCGCAGCAGGAGTCTCGGCGACAGCAGCAGCAGAAGTTGTCGCAATAGCAACACTGCTAACATTGGAAGTAGTCTCCAAAGCGGCAGCAGTAGTCTCCACAGCAGCAGCAGCAGTCTTGGTGGCAGCAGCAGTAGTCGTGGTCCCGGCAGAAGTGGTGGTGTTGGTGGTCTCTTCAGTGCCCATGCAAGCAAAAGACATCTTTTTAGTAGTGGAAGAAGTAGTACCATACCCAACCGCCTGCGACAGGTCCCACTCCATGCTAACATACGGCCAGCAAATACGACCATCCGACATAGTGACCATGTCACCTGCAATATAGACATCGTTTCTGGTGAAAGCATCACCAACCTTGCTACCATCCGAGCTCACCTCCTGGAAGAAAGTGCCTGCAAACTGTCCCCGACAACCCATCGCAATGTAGTCACAGATCGGGTCCGAGATCTCTTCCCAGGTGATCAGGGCCGAGCTGGTGCCGAAGGTTGCCGCGTGGGCATTGGAGCAGTCATTCGATCCTTGAGTCACCCAGTTGACCTGGCTGTCTCCATCCTCAGTGCCAACCACCGAGGTGGCCTGGTCGCCGACCTTGGTGTACTTGTCCGAAAATAGGGAGATGGCAACGTTGCGGCCGTTGGTGCGGTTGTTGACGTGAGTGTAACCATCGCCCATCCAGGTGTTTTCGGTCACATCAATGGCACCGCGAGAAACCCAGGCGAAGATGTACTTAGTGGTGTCGGCAAAGCGAGCCAGCGCGCTGTAACTACCCGACATACCACCCATGGGCTCACCAGAGGCACCGTTGGTGGTGTTCTCGTTGGAGATCTTGACTCCATCGTTCATCATGCCTTGTCCCTTAGTGTTTAGCCAGATAGCGCCCTGGTCCTCAGCGCAGATACTGGCGAAAGGAGCCTGGTCGGCATCCTCGAACGCAATACCGGTGTTGTGGCTGCATCCCCAGGAGCTTGATGCACCGGTGATTGTGTCCAGGTCTCCGGCCTTGGTAACGTACTGGATGCTGTCACCGTAGTGACCGGAGGCGTCCCCAGTGTAATCGGTGACAACGAAGTATGCACCGTAGAGCTCTTCGCTTTCAGAGTAGACGAGGTCACCGTTCATGTCCGGGGAGGAAGAGAGGCCATCAGAGGCATGCACTCCCGGTCCACCCAGCCAAGTCTTCCAAGTCTGCTTTCCATCGGTGTAGCGGTACAAGACAGCAACGGGGGTATCACTGGGCGGCGCATTGGTGGTGCCCGAAGGCATAGCTTCGTTGACGAGAACAGCGAAACCATCATTGTGAGCGACAAGACCTCCGGCTATATACTCCAATCAGTCACGATGTTTTCTTGTTATTTCAAACAGACCAGGTAATTGGGCTGTCGCACCTTCCTTTCCACCAGAGACGGTCACCGTCGTGCCCGTAGCCTCGAAAGTCGTAGGGTCCAACTGCTGAATATGAACATCGGTCTCGCTAGAATCCAGATACGCAATGTAGGCAGAATTCCCATCAGGGGATACCGCGAAAGGAGTGCGACGGTGGTGTGGATAATCAGTCCAGTAGGCTTCCTTGACGGGGTTGAAGGCACTGTCGAGTGCCAGCACATCGACGTGAGTTTTCAGGTTAGAAGTCGTCAGACCAGCAGAGGCACCCAGCGCCGCAGAAAGCAGAGAAAGAATGAAAGTCCCACGCATGTTGGGGGATGAAAGTCGGTGCTACTGCTTTTGGTCTGATTTGGATCGTGTAAATCGACCGGGATCTACACTCTTTTTAAACCCTGTCCCAACGACCACTGCTAAACTGCCGAAACCCCGTATAGGGCCTGACACGAACAAAAACACAATGCATGCTTAAGCAGATAACATTGAAGGGTCAGGTTGGTACGGTGAGTGTTTCATGTGCTGCCAAGAAAACCCTTAATGTAGATTGTATAGTTCCCCACCAGGAAGGTAGCCGCTGCCAGGAAGGGTGTGGAATCCGGCCCTTGTGAAACATTGTTCCACCGTCATTTATGCGGAACCCACTACACTTTATTTTTTCCATGACTGACAGCTTGTAGTTTACTAAGCTTGCTTTCCAAGTGCTTACTATGGCACTGGCTGGGTAGGCTAAAACCGATCTAATCAAAAAAGAACAAAATGCTAATCATAGAGATTAGCATGCCTACCACCATATTACAGTGAGTGCTACTGTACAGTACGCACCCATATTACCGCGTAATTCATTACGAGTAACGTCACGCGCTACTCCATAACAGTGTATTTTCTTAAGTTAGAAAATTTATCGATTAATTCACTACGTAAAGCTTTCTTGCTAATTATAACCAAACCTCTAAGGATTTCCAATTAGAGGTAAATGCAAACCTATGAAGCACATCCCCTTCTTATATAATTATACCCGTCACTTATAGTAGGAGTGAGTTTACGGTATGACGTAACGTTAGCTTTAGACTCTTTCTAGTCCTAATACTGATAGGTGAATCTACGTAACTTAGCACGTGTGTTAGGACTAAGGTCCTAGGATAAATAAGGATAAGAGTGATGACGGAGAAGTAGCGTACTGGATACGCTACCGTTGGATTAATGGTAATATAATTTTTAGAGAACTTATGAGAGTTCTCCCGCGATCCTACTTCACTGTTACGGTGTGAACGAAGAAGTCTAGTAGTGAGGGCATAGAACCGGATAAATGTTATCCCGAACCCTTACGGGAGTGACAGTAGACCTCGCCCAGTGCGGGTTTGCGATAGGTTTTGGCGAGGCCTAAACTGTGTGATGTCTCTCAGGTCTCTGGTCGTGAAACTGATACTTTGATCTCAGGGGCCTATAAAAACACCACGGAATTGTTGTGAATTTAACCTGCTCTTCAGTACAGCCCCGAGATGTCCCAACCTCCGTAGTTTGTCATCCCGCTGCTGACAGTAGTAATACCGTAGGTGATGGCCATGGAGGTGTTACGGAGGTAAGATATATACAAGTAGTGAGCAAGGACAAGTGTTGTAGTTGTCAGGTGTATAATACATGCTAATGGTACATAAGTCAATATATATATGTCCCGGAACAGAACGATATATATCTAGGACACGCTTGACTCCTCTTGGTCATTCAGCACCCGCTTATGCGTGCGTCTTTGGTTCTTTCCATCCTAGAGGGATTTTGGCCTCTCGAGTGAATCATTGGCGCATATAAGTCCCCCTCTCGGTATCTGCAGTGATGCGTGCTTACCGGATGCAGTACCTTTCTGAGCCTGAACTGTAACCATTTCTCGGTCCAGATCATACGAATGGGTAAAAAGACTCAAAGTCAGGGCTATGCCTGAAATCCCGCAGCAGAAAGCCCAGATAGTGCGCAGGCTATCGACATAGGCTACCTTCAAGGCATGTTTTTGCGGACCTTCCTCCAGGCCTTTGATAATATCAACTATTCCTATAACATCCTGGCTGTACTCAACAGCCTTATCACTCAAACCAGGATATCGCGACAGATTGGTTCGCATGCGATTCTGAAATATCACACCGCCAATAGCCACACCGAGAGTTTGGCCAAATGTCCGAAAGAAAGTTGACATGGCCACAGCCATTGACAATGTCTCAGCTGAAGCAGATGCTTGCACAGCGAAAGCAACAGACGGGATGATTGCCCCCAGACCGATCCCTCCTACGATATTGACGAATATCCAGGTGGCTGTATTGGTATCGGTTTTGAGAAGACAGAGTAACCCCATACCAAGGGTGCACAGTATCCATCCGCAAATAACACTCCATTTATAGTTGCCGGTTTTGGCAATAAGAAGTCCGACAATCATGGCCGATGGTGCAACAGTGAAGGTGTTGGGAAACATGGCAATCCCAGATAGAAGTGGACTGAATCCTTTCACACCCTCGTAGTATAGAGGAAGGTAATAAAGATTGCTCCAAAGAAGGATCCCAGTGATAGTGTAGCCAACAAACGATATTGCGCTTGTGCGGTTGCCGAAAAGACTTGGAGGAATAAGTGGCCTCGAAGCCATTCGATATTCGTACCCTGCGAAAATGCACAAGCCTGCAGCGCCAATACTTAGGGGCACGATTGTATGCCATGAGTCCCATTCGTACGTGATCCCGCCCCAGGTCAGCGGAATTAAAAAGGACGTGATGCTCGTTGTGAACAGAGCGGCTCCGATGAAGTCGACTTGTTTTCGCCAGTTCCGAAACGAATGATCAATTCGAGGCCACGAACCGCACGAGGCGCCGACCAAAGCAGCTCCCAGACCAATGAACGGGAAGTTAATATAAAAGATCCATCTCTAAACAGCGACAGAATTATGAGCTCTGACTTCTGATGGTGGACAGCGATACAGGCGGGCAATGAAAACATTGGAAGTCTTACCCAAGACGACTCTTTTGCAAAGGCACCTCCAATCACTGGTCCCAAAACAGATCCCAAACTCCACATGGCACTGAATAGTCCAAAATATGTACCTCGATGTCGCAAGGGCACGGCATCTGCGATGACGAGACCAGTCAAAGTCATAATGCCGCCGCCACCCGCACCTTGAAAGCAGCGACCGACGATCATCAAGGTGGTATTATGAGCAGTCCCTGCAACGCAGGCCCCGACAAGGAAAAGACTAATTCCCACCCAAACAAGCAGTCTACGTCCCAGATGGTCTGAGAAGGACCCAAATAGAGGTTGGAAGGCTAAAATTCGGTCAGACGGTGTGCTTGCAGAAAGGTTCTCTTCGTGTTTTTTACCTGCAGAACAAAGTAGAAAGGAAGTTCCAGTCCAGAAAGCCTGGATGCTTGTTGCCCCGATATCCGATGAAATAATCTGTCGAATTTAGATCAGCTGTTGAGTCATGACCGTTTAAGGCCTGATGGATGCCATCTGTCGCTTACGGGCAAGGCAACGGATATTGACGTGCCGTCCAAAGCAGTCATAAGGCTCAGAGTGGTCAGCGCACAAAATAACATCCTACTACGTCCATCCAGTGCAAATTTAGTTGGTTTATTGTCGTCCGTTTTTTCTCTACCTTTTCTCTGACCACTGCTAGACCGGGGTGGATCTCTTCCAGAACCTTCACCCAGTGTCATGGTTCCCGTGTGGTTTGGAAGGCGACAGATTCGAGTTGTGTGCTGACCTTGTTTCTTCTCACTGTGTGTAAGACAGAAAAGGAGCTTTATATGTTCGGTAGAGCATTCCAGCCGACGTACAGATAGTTGTTTTCCAGACCGAGCATGCCAGAGTAGCAAAAGTCCCAAAAAGGATGATCTAAATATGGATTTCCTCATGGAATCAAGTTTTGCTTGCAATATCATGGCCATTTCTGGACAGGAAGAAAAATGCTCGGTGCGCGTGAAACTTGTTCATAAAATTAGTATATAAAAACTGAATATCTGCGATTACGTCGCCGGTGTGGGCAAGGAGACCTTCGCCACCAACGCCTTGCAGATAGCGACCAAGAAGAAGACTGAACACATTGCGTGTGGTTTGATTGAAAGTTCCAATGGTAGATTCATGTAGTTCCGTAACGAGGACCTGATTTTGGAGATGTCATTGAGCGAGCCAATGTAAGGCGCTGACCATTCATGGCAGAAGCAATGGGAGTATTCTCATTACTCTTGGCTTCTAGCGACCCCAGATATCTGCTTATCATTTTCATTGGCAGGACTAACACGATCACTGAGCCTCAGGGAAGGTTTTCTTCAATTTCTCCTTCCTATTTTTCTGGTAATTTTAGCTTAATTTCAAATTTTTCGTAATTAGTTAGCGGATCGTCATTGTGTAATGATGTGACCCGTAGCTAACTATATCTTTGTTCCTAAACACATATTTGTTGCTGTCCGTTGCTGAGGAACGAACCTAGAGGTCAATCAAGGAATCTATGCCTAGCCCTTCTTGTCAAACTTCATTATGTTCAGGCATGACTCGCGATCCACACCGTGAAAGATCAGCATGTGGTGGTTACAACATTGAACAAGCATACTCAAAAAATAGATCAGCACGAGGGCACCCCTTCTTTATAAATATTAACTCTTGAAATACTCTACATGCTGCCATTGGCTGCAACAAAGTTCCGAGGGTTGGAATGTGATAGGAAATGTCAAGTTTGAAGGGTCAATAGTTATGAGCAAGGGGGAAAAGCTTACTGACCTGTATTCTGGCTTCAATAGCTAGTATTTAGTGCCCAAATAAGTTTGAGCTCCGTTATCCAGATCTCCATTATCTATGCTCTGCATCCGGCCCCAACTTCAAAATTTTGCCCCCAACCCCAATGGGTTTTGGTGGGCCCAATGGGGTTGGGTCAATTTGTCGAAGTCTAGTGAGACTCGGCCCGGCCCGTGTGTACGGCGACTGACAGTCGCCCCGAGCTCGGATGACTAATCTTGTGTTTTGGCCTGATTTTGGGGCTGGCAGGAATGTTGGAATACTGGAATTACACATACAGAGAGAAATCACTCAAGGTCGATGTCTTCGCTTAAGTAAGCAAGAAACCCCCATTTTGCTGTATAATTCATGATTTCAAGGCATTGCGACCGATATCAAGATGATATCAGTCATATAGAATAGCATAGATCTCGTCATGTATGCACTCTTGTTGGATAAGCTCATTGAGAGGGTCTCAAGAGTGAAAGGCCTATTCTGGATGGCATTTTCGTAGGAAAGAGTGGTTAAACTTGCAAGAATAATTGGCGATTTTGAAGAATTCACAACAGCTCGAGACTAGACAAGGTCATCACGAGACTACCATCAATTCGATCAGGAAATCCTGAGGGCTCAGTAAAGTCGCTCACATCTGTCCTAGTATGTATGGTGGTGGGGATAATATTCTACTACTACTAGCAGGTTACCAGTTGAGGAAGTCAACATTTCCCGATCCATCTCTAGTATGGGTGTGGATTCGCTCGTGGCGATCGAGTTGCGCAACTGGTGCCGACAGAAGATCGGGCTTGAGATTACCGTCTTGGAGATTCTCGACCTGTCGACTCTGGAAGCCTTTGGTAGATCCGCTGCGCAACGTCTATATTCGGAATATGGAGGCGGCGAAGGGTATGTTCGTGAATCATTCTTGAATATGAAGGCTCCATGAAGCCTTCATCCAGATTTGCCATGCAGGTTCATGGCATTATGATCCTGTTTGAACTTTCTGTGTTTGCTCACTAGCATAGTTTTATTCTGATCTTAGCCTTTAAATCCCAGTGTGTATTTAGATTGTTTGGCTTTAGTCTATCAGGATTTAGGCGGAGAGGGTAGCATAGTTGATCTAGAGTGAAAGTGGCTGCATTCCATGGGGGGAGGGGGGTGTTGTTCTCTAAACACACGGCTAAAGACAGACGCTTGTACACGATAGTCCTAAAATAGAAACCTATTGCTATATGAGATTGATTGCCAGTCCAAATTTTAAGGTGCAAAACTCTTAAACAATTATCTAGTACATTAGGCCGCTCTAGATGTCAACATATGATTGGGGCATATCCTTATCAGATGTGTGAAATTATGTAGACTTCAAATTTATCAATACCCCTTGATCAACATTATGACGTACGCCTTCAACACATTCGGTGACTATGGATCTTTCATATCTGCCTCCACAGGGAATGCTACCGAATCCCATCTAACTCGACGGAGATGTCTCTCGGGATCATTGATCTCGTTTCGTGCGTGCAGCCATCGCCGATTATCTAGCAAGATGATGGAGCCTCCGGGTAGCATATCAGAAGTGAGGTGTAGAACTGATCGCGACTGCACTTCATGCTGCTGCAAAGCGCGTTCTAGCTCATCTAGCGCCTTCTCAGCCCGGTCGCTCACAGGAGTAATGATATCCCGTCGGTACCGCATGATAATATTTCGGGTTTTGCCATCGGTTGCTAATATGCTGCCGATGATCGTTCGGTGGTTGGTGTCTTTGATGAACTCGGGTGGAATGGCGATGCTGAATTCTGGCTGGAACAGGGCGCTCAAAGTGCTCGGCGAGAGAAACTGGCTCAATTGTTTCACTTTCATGGCGGAGAGTGTGCCTCCGCCACAGCGGTCGGGCTGCAAGATTTGAAGGGCGAAGAACCGCGGTGGGGGATTTTCGTAGCTGCAATCTGTGTGCCATGGAAATTCTTCCATGGTCTCCGATCGAGCGCGATGGTTTTTGGTCTGGAAGTTGGTGCTGCTAGGGCGTACATCCCAGAACCAGCCCCGTGTGGCACTGTGCGATATAGGCAGTCCATGTCCGTGGCGTCTGTGGAAGTTGAGAATCAAAGCTTCGAGATACTTGCTATCTTGGTCTTCAAATTGCAGGCTAATCTTGAGAATGCCATGTTTTTGAAGAATCTCAGAAGCATTTCGAACATGAGGAACGTGCTCAGCTGATGCAAGATGAGGTGCTACAAGACGAGGCACAGCGAATGCGAAACTTGAAATGAATTGACTTTTTACGCAGCTGTGTTTGAACTGCGTAAGTGAGCCTTGGGTTATGCGCCGGTAGCTCGTGGGGAGACTGAGAACTCTCTGCATGTTTGGGTTTGAGTAGATTCTCACGACCACAGATGATCTCTTGCGTGATAAGCTGAATCGCCCTTGGAAGTACAGGAACGCCTTGCAGCTATCGACTGGGTTTGCTGGCCCAACTCTGCAACCAATATTTACATGCAACGGAGAAGCCTTCGCAAAAACAATGATGTGGAGCTGCATCTAGCTCAGCTGATCATGCATCACAACAGCACATGTGCGCCCCAGACCGTGTACAGAATGGGCCTTCTACCCAATCACCAGGTTACAAATTTCTCAATATAGGCCATGGGTAGGCTTTGAAGAGTACATCGAAGAGTGAGATGCTGATCTTTAGCTTCAAACCAATGCTAAGATTCAATGGTATCTGTGAGTCAAAGGCTCACAGACTTATACGGATCTCAACTTAGTCTACAGGTGAAAATACGGTTGAGGGGATAAATTTGCCTATTGACAGTATCTAATTGACCGAAATTTTCAAGTGCCATCAAGCCAACTCCTCACAAAATCCAGCTCTAAAATTTCCAAATCAATTCTCATACATCACCGAGCATATCCAGGATCCCCCATGACTAACAGCACAGATTTTATCAGGACTACTCCTCCACCCTCCAAGACCGAGCAACCTTCCATGTACGACAAAGTACGTTCCGATCAAAGGGTACTGAACCCGGACACCAGATGAGTTTAAAATAAGCCCATATAGACGCGGGGTGATACGGCGCTGTATTACACAGGATACCCCGGCAACAATCTGCGGGTTTAACTGAAGCTGCAGGGCCGATACCCACGCTTCAGGCTCCACTTCATCGCCGAAGACAATCCCAGCTCCTTTTCCACTGCGAATGGGCTTCAATAGAAACTGATCCCGTGATTCCGGAATCTCCCTGCAGAGCGCAATAAGGCGTTGCAAATCTACCGATCCTGGGAGGATGGTGTCTGCAATCCCATGATCGAGAATCTGTGCTTGTGCATGTGTAATCACACCGCGTGCGACCAGTGGCTTGAGTTCTTGCTTTAGGATACCTAGCATCCTTTTGTCATGCGTAAGCAGAATTGAGCGCATATCGTTGAAACAGCGCACACTTATTTGCCGCAACATCTCGGGGTCTAGTGCGAGTAGCTCAGACTGATGTAGCTCGAGACCGACTTGGTGAATTTCCTCTACAAGTTCACCAGAACTGGTCTCCAAGGCAGCAAAGTCTTCACCTTCCACCACACAGCAGAGTTTATATTTACCATTATTGTTAGGTGGAAGCAAGAGTCTGAGTTGTGACGGGGTAATAAGTCTGGCTGTGAGACCAAAACGCTGCTGGATGACATGAAGGAACAAGTGTATATCCATTCCCTTTTCTTCGCCTTTTAGAAGGTGCAAGGGACGAGTAGGGTCAAAGAGCCCGATGATAGCATTAAGCAACTAATGAAGTTAGAAAACTGCATTAATTTGGAATCGGTGGGAATTGAGGTTACCCTTTCTGGGTTGGTTGCCAATTCCAAGCCATTGCCTCCCACTCCCATATCACGCAGACCCTCGTGTGCAAGCGTGCCAAGGATGAAGGCATTGAAGGAGAACCGCGCGTTAATCTCGGTGATACGGAACCTTTCCATTGTTAAGCCATCCTCCCCAATCGCATCCTCAACGAGAAAGTCTGGTCTCCACGAGCCCCGACGCTCGCGATATCTCATCGCCTCATTTCCGGGGACTTGCTCATCAATCCACTATATCGCAAGTTCAGTGCGATTTCAAAGAAAAAGAGCCCGATTTCAGTTTACTCACTTTCAAGAGGTCTTCTTCCTGCTTCTCAAGAGGCATGCGCTCTGGAAAGCGTGCCTCCGGATCTGTCCACCATCTTTCGACAATATCCGTAATGCCAGCAGTCAGCGCCTCATGTAATTCTTCAAGCTGGTTCTGATGCTCCCTAAAGATGAGAATGGGTCGGGGACACGCAGTTTTATGAGCTCCTCCGGGCCATAAGTTAACAGGACAACGGCGCAAAAGGCTGGCTTGAAAACGTGCTTCCTCTTCCGCATAAGCATTCTTTTTGGCATCATACTCTGCTATGAGTCGATTAAGACCAGGTTTAGTCCTAATGTGAATCTGCTGGAGTGTGTGAGAAGTTGGCTTCTTCATCTTAAGGCTTTTTGGGAGATGTGATGAAATACCATCTACAAAAGGAGGAATACTAACATTTATACAATTGTCACCTACTCGATTCAAGCATAATACCATGCAAATTGTATCACTGCAATAACCCCACTGGCTGCTTTCCTGTGTGACTTCTTCGGTGATTTCAATCCAAGCCTAAGGTTCAACGAATCAATGGTGTTCCGTTCAAGATAATAGCACACTAATCCCTATTCTATGGCGCCTTGGTTCATCTGGTCAGCTCAAGCCATGCACTGTGATTAAGTGCAGCTAGAAGAAGAAGAAAAAGTAAAAAATAAAAACCCCCAATCAAAGCAGAATATCTGTACAAAACAGCCTGACTTTGAAATTATTAGTAGAATTTGAAACAACGGAGAGTGATTGCGTCTAGATGACCGAGATCTAAGTTTGTCGGTCATGGTTTGCCACCCAGGTTTGTATGCCAACCATAGCACTGGTCATATTTTCACATGACCCTGCTATTAAAGTACATGAATGAATACCTATTCAAGTCAAGAAGTGGCTGATTAAGAAGGCTGGGCATTGACGTCAGATCTTTTTCCAGAAAAGCATCCACAGGGCTGTACACCCCACTAGGCTGACTGCGCCACACTAGAGAACACGAGGGAACCAGGCACCAGAACCATTGTCGTATTTAATTTAACTCAGGGTCTCATCTTCTGCTCTTCGTTTGGAATTCTTTCCATCAAACTAATCAAATAATCATGTCGCATTATCCCCCGTCTCGTGAGTACCCCACCCCACCTGCCCCGCAGATCGATAAACCCAGCTGACGCGCATGATCTAGAACCACCCTACGGGGCTCCTCCCCAAGGTTATCCCCAGAACGCCTACCAACAACAACCTCCCTACCCTCAGCAGCAATACGGTGCACCCCAGGGCCCTCCGCCACAAGGCCACTATCCTCCCCAGGGCCAATACGGCCAACCCCCTCCGCAACAGGGCTACTACGGCGCGCCCTCCCCCCAACCACCCACAGGATACCATGCGCCATCTCCTCAGCCCCCAGCCGGGTATCACCACGCACCATCACCACAGCCAGGATATGGTGCTCCACCCACCCAAGCGCCTTACAACCAAGGACCACCTCAAGGCTATGCGCCGCCCCCGGGGCCACCTCCCATGATGGGTGGTGCACCAGGCTACCCACCACCAGGCGCATACGGCGCACCACCCGGCGCACCACCCATGGGCTCATATGGCGCACCGGCAATGCCATCTCTCGGTTACGCACCCGGCCAAGTAGCACCAGGCGACTTCCGGCGCGAAGCAGACATCCTACGCAAAGCCATGAAAGGATTCGGCACAGACGAGAAAGCACTGATTCAAGTACTAGCGCGTCTAGACCCGCTCCAGATGGCCGCAGTGCGCGCCACATACTCGCAGCATATCGGTCGCGATTTGTACAAAGATGTCAAATCCGAGACGGGCGGGTATTTTGGCCAGGGATTGTTGGCCGTGATTGAGGGGCCGTTAAATTACGATGTGGAGTGTGCGCGCGAGTCGATTGTAGGTCTTGGCACTAAGGAGTGGCTGATGAATGATGTGCTCCTTGGACGGTCTAATGCGGATCTCAACGCTATTAAAACGGCTTATGAGCGCAAGTATCATCGTCATCTCACAAGGGATGTTGAGGATGATTTGTCGATGAAGACTGCTGTCTTGTTTAAGCGGGTTTTGGAGGCTAGAAGACATGAGGAGTCGATGCCTTGCAACCCCCAGGATATCAGTGCTAAGGTTTCTGTTGTGCATGCGAAGCAGAAGGATCAGGCACTTGATATTTTGGCGTCTTCGTCGGATGCGGAGCTTCGGGCCATCGATCATGAGTTGAGCGCGAGGTATCATACTTCGCTGGAAAAGGTTATTTTGAAGGATTACTCGGGTCATATGGAGAAGGCATACGTGCACATGGTGCGGACTGCGACGGATCCTGCTATGCGTGATGCTATTCTGCTCGAGGAATGCATGGCGGGTATGGGCACAAAGGACGAGGCTCTTGTCACGAGAATTGTGCGTTTGCACTGGAATCGGGATCACAAAGATCAAGTGAAGCGTGCCTACCGTCATAAGTTCAAGAAAGACTTGATCCAGCGGGTGCGTGGGGAGACTTCGGGTGACTATGAGCGCTTGATGGTTGCTCTATTGGAGTAGTCGCACCTCGTCCCATGACTTGATGAATATTTTGTACACTTTCATGCTTTATGGGTTGGGTTGGGGTTGCCGCCATCGATCGTTGCACCCATTTGTCTAATGTTTTGTACCTAGATTTGTTTTTTAGTATGAATTAATGCCTTGAATGAAACAAATACAAAAAACAGTTGGTTATTTCAATCAACCCGTAAGCTCATGACCATCTAGGCCTGAGGTATCGATGCTAGAGGCCACATTCATATTGCAGCGTATTCAGTATTTCCATTTTATAAAAACGCAGGGCTTCAATGTCTTGGAAAGATAGCTCCTATTGATTCAGTATACATGCATTCATCCATATCGTGATCATGATCATAACTTCATGGAAAGTACATAACATTAAAGCGTAAAGTTCAAAGTTATCAACCATGTAAAAATGGCCATTTAGCGAATCTCTCCCATAAGAGCAACGCGAGAGCCAGGGAAGAGTCCGGTACGGCCGGCATAGCATCCCCAGAACCAGTCATCATTAACGTTCTCAACTTCAGTGATATCAGCGCCACGCGGAAACATGAGCTCATCCTTTTCCTCGGGGTAATATGACCACAGTGCGTGGACTATGAGGCCAACACCTCCATCGGGTGGGAAGCGACGAAGAGCAGGGGCATACTGAGGTGTGGGGGTGCCTGTGTGTTGAGATGCAGGATCCCCGTCTGACGTATGCGTCTTACTGATGGAAGAAGCAAGGGAGGCCCGCGTGCGAGAAGCCTTTTTGCGACGATCGTGACCCTCTTTCCAGCTCCAGTCACCAACACCCAACTCAGGAGATGCGATGGGGGCAGTGGCGGCAGGTGATGAAGAAGGTGATCGATTGACATGCTCATCCTGAAGAGCATGGCCACCAACTAGATGTCTCGTGATGCACCGTTTCTGGCCATCTGGATGGTCTTCAAAACCGACGACGATCATTCGGTGACCTGCCACGCACCGGCGCCAGCCACCGTGGCCATTCTCCTTGCTGATCTTTGAGGTGGCCACGAGCTTGAGATAGCAATTGGTGCAGACGTCATAGTCACCAGAATTGCATTGTAGACAATGGTATCTCGTAACCGATGCTGGAATTGGATAGGTGCAGATGTCACAGTTAGTGGAGAATGAGAGAATTTTGTAGGCCTCTAGAGCATGGACAGAGGGCGGACCGTTCGCTGCAACCGTCGGGGTGGATGGAGAAGACGAGGCTGGGGTGCCAGCTAGACGACGAATCGGCAGCAGGAGATGAGTACAGCATCGCCCTTGATTGACGCAACGGTTGCAAAATCCCCAATCTCCCTCGTTACATTGGCTGCACTTCCAATAGCACTCATTCGTGCAAGACATACAAATGTCGCAAAATAGCCCGGCTTCCAGGCGGCGGGCCGGGTTATCATTTGTCATTTGCATCTCCCCATTTGTGGTGATCTGAGCAGTATCCGAAGGTCGCTGTAACTTGAAAGAGTGGAGTATGTGACCACCTTCGCGTATGGGCATTGGCTGGCCGTTTGATGAGGCCAGCATTTGTTCAAATGTCGACCGCGCACTTGAACCGAAACCATACCATTGAAGACAGCCCCGACCGGAGCGGTAGCATGGTAAGCAAAGATGATAGTTTCCGTCCTTGCACTTGAGGCATCTCTTGTGTAAGTCATATTGGATATTTGCTTTCCCACAGCGATCACATGAGAAGGAAGGCTCAGTGAACTGCAGATTTGAAGGCGGAGGAGGATTTGATCGCGAAGACGCTGGCCTAGATCGTCGATCAGACCTATTAGGAACGAGTGGAATTGAAGTATGAGATGAGTTCGACGGCACTACAGAGGTAGGAGAGGCCGTGGCGGATTGACTGTTGGTATGTCGTGCGGAAGCCCGTTCTCTCCCTCCACCTGTCCATACATCATTGATAGGTTGTTCTGTTTCCGTTGCTCGACGTGGCCGCTGCGAAGATGATTCTACTCTTGGTCTTCCGTTATGAGAGCTACGAGGGCGCTCACTTGTCATATCGCTCGAAGACCGAACTGCAGGTCGCAAAGTGTCGTCCGAATTTGATGCTTGGTTCACTCTAACGGGTGACGTTCTCCGAGTGCCACCGGCCTGTTCCGAGTTCCGTCGGTGATGACTTGGAGGCGGGTGGGGTGCAGTTGAGCCAAGTAGATGTGGTCTGGATATAGGCGGTCGTCTATCACCATGGTCTCGAGATGTGGTGGTTGTTTCGGCTGGTCTGTGGGCTGAATTCGACCGCCCATGCGAACGGTGGTTGCTTTCGGGTGACTGTCTGTGCCTTTGCGCTGGACGAGAATTCGGTTGTTGCATTTGCCTCTGACGAAGGACAGCTGCAATCCGCTCACTAATCTCCTCCTCTTGTGCAGGGCCAAGATTCTCAGTGTCAATACCATTAAGCAGTCCTTCCTCAACAATTTGCCGCAGAATCTCCTCTTGCATCGTCTCCGTCTCAGATGATAAGCTTAGCAATGATCGCAAACTCGACTGATGCTCAACTCGTCTGGTATGCTCAGAGTCATCCTGAGCTCGAGCTATGCGTCGCTGCCGTTCCGCCTCTTCCTCTCGCCTCCGCCGAGACCTCCCATCATCCGTATGCCTATTCTCGGAGTTGTCGTTCCTCCCTCGGTGGCTTTCTGGTTGTGTCCTGCGCCGTTCTTCGCGGCGCTCTTCCCGACGTGCGTGTGTCCGATTCTCACGAAGACTCATATCGCGAACCTCCTCCAGAAGTCGCTGATCTTCCTCATCTTCTGAGCTTTCCGCTTCTGTTTGCGGTGGTGGGAAGACAGAGTCCCCCGGCTTGTACCGTTCCGCAATCTCCCTCTTCTCGTCTTCCGATCTGCCACGATCTGGCTGGGCCATCAAGACCATATCCAAAAGTGTTGTCACGGTGGCATTTGGGCGGGTACCGCGCACATCAGCACGGCATGAAGGGCAAGTGAATCTGGGGGAGGAGCCGGCTTGTCGGCGCGACCCTTGTGCGGTAAACCATTCTTTCACACAAGAGCCACAGTAGGTGTGTAAACAGTCGAGGAGGGTGAGGGGCTGGTAGAGGAGCTCCGTGCAGATCTGTAAGAGGCGTCAGTCCCACGTAAGGGGCGAAGGAATGCAAAGCTTCTAGAAGGAGAATTTCGCGCACATACCGAGCAGCCCAGCTCTTTCTCTAGATCTGCTAACCCTGGCGCCTGCTGAGACATGAGCAGAAATGAGTGTTGTATATTGAATCACCCAGATCCAGGGAACGGGATGTGGGAAACCACGGATCAGGCGGTGGAAACTTGAAAGTGGGAAAAAGAAATGATCTCCACAAGCTTATCGTGATCCCGCATTCATTCCATCATTTATCATTCAACTATGGAAACTCTCATCTCGGGAGACATTTTGCTTTTTCCCTTATATATTGGCTTTATTTAATTTCTGCCACGATTCTTCTGTCAAATCTGACTTGCGGCTCCCGTCGGCAAGAGTTGGGTTGTGGTTTCATCGTCCGACATTGCGTCACAGTTTAATTGGCCCCTTGAGACTGTCATTCATCACTGCACCACATGGTCGAAGCCTCTAGCACTCGTGAAAGTCATCCAGAAGCTTCCTAGATATGATCTGGTGAAATCAGTTCTCAAAGTACGACTTTGCTTCAAAGAGACTTGTCAGACCATGCTGGGCAACAAACCAGTCTGTGTGGTCTCACCACATCGAGTGGGCCTTGCCACGAGGCAGCTCAACTCAGCAACCCAATACGCCAGGGCACGAACTGCGGTCGCTCATGGAAGAAAAAGACTACAAGCCGATGATTTTATTTTTCAAGTGATTCACATGCAGACTTTCCTATACAATATATAAAGTCAGGCATAGCAGCATATTTCGCCAACTCACAACGGTCATTCTCTCCAGGGTGAACCCAGCTTCGCTCTCAAGGCGTTCACTGCACCTTTGTCGCACAACTGGATCCTTGATGGAAATTGAATTGCGATATCCCGACCACCGTTGCATACGATACCCAGGCATGGCTTTGTTGACTGGCTACCCAATTCCGACCATCCGGCCATTTGGGCAGTATATATCTAGGGCTAAAGATGTCCTCAAATCGAAATTTCGCAAGCTTACCAGATTTCCAAGGTATCTGAAATCGATAATTGACGCTACTGGAATATTTTCGCTTCTCAGCATTTGATGAGACGTTCTTAGCACAGCAATCAAATATGAATGGAGTAAGCCAGGATAAACCCCATCCAGGCCTGAAACTTGTAAGGCTGTCTGGGCTCTCCACCGATATGCTTGGTGATGTTTGGCTTTCACACAATTCATAATTTGCCGGGAGTATGATTTAACCAGATATATCTAGTCACATCCTAAGACGACCACACAAAGACTCGCACCTAAAACTAGGATCACTCAATTGCAATTGCAACTCTATCATCCATACCTCATCTGGAGCGGTAGCGCTTCTGATAGAGTATTAGCTGCAAAATGGTATGAATTGAGTAAAAATATTAACAAAGAAGAATGCTACTGGGGGGCAAACAAGATGTCCATAGTTGGGTTCATGATAGGGGCCCAAGTGCAATGTCTCAAAGATCAGTTTACTCACCGAAAAATGCAATTGCACGGCCCCAAACTCAAAAATAAAACTCTTCTCAATTCCTCGGAACCGTTAACATTCTCTACTATTATTGACGACCAGCCGAGCTGCAAAAATCTGTCTGGTTGACTTGCCGCAGATCAGTGGTGGCGGCAATGCAAAACACGTTCCCTCAATGCCCAGGTCGGACGACGAGGGTCCGACCACATCAAAAGCCACACAGTACCTCGCAGTGACAAGAAAGATACTTCAAGCTTCGACCCCTGTGTATAACGACCGGAGCTTTGCAGACCGCTCGCCACTGGGGCGAGATTGCCGATAAAGTTTTTCCTAAACGTAGCACGTCCCAAGTGGCGGTCGTGGCTCTGGCCAGCTCAGTCTCTAGGACGAAGATTCAAGCCACCAACAAAGGGAAGTGGGAGAGACATGGAGGAGGTAAGGGGAAGTCGAGCGCATGGTTTTCATGTACGGATGATCCGTATTTGCATATTCACAGGAGTGGGGTGACATTTCTATAGTTAGCTCTAGTCCTTTTGCCTTCAAGTCAAATCTTTTGAGCTGTAATTGTTGGTAGGATATCCCGTACAACGGAATCCATACACTGAAACTGCAAGGCGGAAATTCGTCTACACTGCCTTCCACCCCGCAGCTCAGATACTCGAAACTCGACGCTCCAGACCGGAACGCCGGAACTATAGCCTGGCAACTGGCATGTCATGTGCTTTGCTAGGAGGTTTATCTGTGTTACCGGTGCATCCGGGGCTCTGCTGTATATCTGCAGAGGGTCATTCAGCACGGATATCCCGGCGCATAATGCAGGTGTGAAATGGGATTTCTTCAGCCGTGTGGGCGGGGAAGTGCAGAGCTGAGAGCATGGAGGGTTGGTTTGCACCATGAGAAAGGAGGGGTTGGGGGCCATTTGAGATACACCCGGGGTAGGGAAAGCCGGTCTGATCGTCAAACTCGGATGTGGCTGACAAGACAGAAAGAGGAGCGCATGATAGCTGTTGAAAATGAGGGGCATAGGGACAACAATCCAAAAAGAAAAAAGAGGGGAAAGCGACCAGTTGTTGCGATGAGGCATGGCTCAAACCCTCTCGAAGGCGTTCCAGAGCATTCCGCTTTCTTGTGACGCGTACAGGCCGGTGCTTGGACGTCGAGTATTGATGGCGCGTTGGCAACTTCGCGGGGTTCCTCTAGTCTCAGGTTGATAAGCACGATGTGAACTGGCATTGGAGGTGATGCACCCCGCAATTTGATGGGGGCGCAGGGCATATGCAACTTGTCTGGTCTCCGCGGGGCTTTCTAACAAAAGTAGTTTAGAGATGTGATCCTCAATAGGCAACCAAGGTAGTTAGTTGGGCAGGTAGGAATCTCGGCTTCATCCATGTGGGGGTTCCCGAAAGCCATCCTTGTGGTAGGTAAGCCCCGGGGTGGGTCTGCCTGCGTATGTAAAGCACCAGAGCATCAAGAACGTTTAGCGCTACGCAATTTCAAGGGTAGAGAGGGTCGAGCACTACCCACATCCAGACCCCAGACCCCACAAGGGGCTGATCCTCTGTCGTACCTGTTCGGGTAGTAGATCATGATGAGAAATGGCCGAGGAACTCCTTGCCTGTAGACTCCTCCACTAAATGATACATCTACCTATAAAGGTAATATGTCATTATGGCATGCATTCAATTAACTTCTACTAGATAAGATATAGGTTAGGTGAAAATATTAAAAAGCAATTGCGCCGGGTCGACCCGACAGCCCATAAAGCAAACAAAGATACTAGGTAGTAGATTCTTATAATAGCAAGCTTCATTAATCGGAGACATACTGCGGCGCTAGCAAAGTAATGAGAAAGCCAGCTATAGCAAGCGCGCCATGGCACTGCCACCGAGGATTCCTAACTTACACGCAACGAGTGTGATTCGTCCTGGACGAGTTATCGGGTTTGTTGGGAACAGTGGCTTGTTTCCACTCGATTCAATGGGCGTTATAGGCCGACAGTGGCGCCCTTCTTGGCTGGCGCCTTTCCCGCCAAGCGGGTTTCGAGGCTTGGGGATAATAAAGCAGGCGTAATGTCAATGTGCGACTTAGCACTCAATCTTCTCCTGGCAGTTATATGAGGAAGTATAGGAATCATAAGATAAGGTTTCCCCTAAATACTTAGGGTCAATGGATATTGCAGATCTCGCCCTACCTGACAATTTAGCGAAAATCGTGAAATTTGTGGTCGGGGCACACGATCAATGATCACCAATAGCCAAGCTGGGAGCTACTTTGGTGCCGCTTGCAAGGTCTGAGGGTAGTATACGAATGGTGGAACCTTGGTGGGTGAGATAGCGGCGAGGAATACCCTTTTAGACAAGCCGACCATTATCAAAAGGAAGTATACATGGACGTTAAGAGAGAGTGGACCCGCTTTCCGCTTTGATAATTTCGGGGTATACTTGCAAATTGAGGAAAAGGATTCAAAATCAAAATCAAAATAACCCCTGAGATAGCTGACTAGCTCTAAGTAACCCTGCTCGAAACAGATGACGCCATGCTTTGACCTCTTAACATGCAGAAGCCATTGTCAGTTCACCGCGCTAATGCACTGCCTAATGTCTGCAGCCACCGGCCCCACTGTCTATGCGCTAGCCGTCGAATTATATGGGCGGGATCATACGCACTGACTACGGCACAGTAAGTCTGGACTGCTACCGACCTCGACTATCACAATTGGATGGTTTCGCATGCCGTGCATTAGTATGTGAATCAGTATGTGAGGCATCCAGCAAGGGTATGTTACTATTTTGTGGTACAGGATGTGGGGAGACCCACACGAGGGGGGTTGCACATCCACGACTTGACTTCGGATTTTTCTCTAAAGCTTCATCGCACAGACCAGAAACGGTGGTCCCTGAGCGCCTGAGTGCACATCCTTTGAAACTTGGGAGATTTAGTTCTCGCCAAGTTGTGTTATGGGGCCATGTCTACGTACACCCTGCAATCAACAGTTGTGCCTAGATAACCCTGGCGACAACGTGTCAGCATCCCTGCAAGTTGTAAATGATGGTCATGTGTGCGATGCAATGCATACAAGGCGCCAAGCGGGGGGATTTTCATTTTCTGGCGTGATGCGAGATAATGCATTATCAGAATGAGCGCCCCAGTACTGTAGATAGGGAAATTTCACGACTGAGTGTTCCCCGAACGCCGATAGCTCTGTAACAGGGATTCCGAAGACAATGACAGAGGACAAACGCTGAGGACAAATTTACCTTGAAGAATACATAGCCAGAAGTACAAGTAGTTCCCAATGCAATGACTCGGGGTGCACACCGACTTTTCCCATTGACGTGAAGCCGAGATAAGGCATTAAGGGCCAACAGCTAAGCAGCGCGTGCTCCCATTCGCGAGATCTATTACTATCGCGAATCGCGTCCACAATCCCCACAGATATGAGCAGGGGAGCCGCACGCAGTAAGCGTTAACCCCGGATCACATCCCTCTGCGGGGTTCGCATATCCGAAGTCAAATCGTGTGCATCTTTGAAGCCCGAGAATAGACTGCTCCCCGCGGGGTAGGTGATGAACCAATAGCAATGACGATTGGAACTTCTTTGGCTGGTACGATTGCTCATCTAGCTATCTAAATTTCAGTTTTGTGGCGAGCTGGTGGCAGATGGCCAGACCAGATTTTGCGGGGTGTTTGCATGCTCAAAGTGGATGACGCCGGGGAGAAGAAGCTCTTGTTTGCGTATCTCCGGAGAGGAAGATTGATTTCATTGAATCGGCAAGTTGGATGCCGAAGGGAGCTTCCATTCAAGGTTCAGCCACCATACCGCCCATGCAAGCCGAATCCCGTATAGCGATCGAAGGCCGTGCCGGTGAGTGGAAAGAGGTTGGAAATGACAAGAGGGTTGGTCATTGAGGGACTGGATTATGTAGCGGTGAAGATCCTGCTATGGTTCATTGGGGAAAAAAAAAAAAAGAGTACAATGAAATACAATCCCGAAAGCTTCTTGATCGCAAGATAGTCTGAGACCATGTTGAGTAAGTAGTAAGCGCTCGGAGGTCAGAAACTAAGATCTTAGGCTGAACTCTCCGGTTCAGCTACCAATCCGAGGAACGAAGACGGTAGTGGCAGGACCTGGTCCGACCGCTCGGAGTTGCGCTTCGACCACCTTACTGGGGTTGCACGGCGAATGAATCTAGCATGGGTGCAAGGCGTTATTTAGTGGTGCCATACATGCGACCAATGCGCCAATGCCACAAGGCAGGTTTTTTGTGTTATATTTTCTTTTTTTTGTGAACGTCCAAGTTATGGTCACGTTGAAGAAGATCACTGAGAAACAAGGTCAACTGGTTGAAAATCGACAGCAGACGAAAAGTGCACGGAGGATTCCATCACTTTGGTTAGAAATCAGGGGGTAGACCAGCCAACGAGCATTATCGTCTGCAGTAGGTACAGCATGGTCGGAAACCTTCTGCAACCTTGCAGCTTCACCGAGGCGACGGGGTTGGCTAAAGGGGACCCTTATCAGCCATGACCCATCCACAGATCACCGTCATCGAGCGATCTAGATGTTTTCCAGCTAGGTGTTCCAGGGACGCATTGATCACAAACTGCGGTACAAACTGCGGGACAACCCCAAGATAGGTGGGGTGATGGAGGGGGAAGAGACAAGGGGAATTAAATCTGGAGAGATCAACATCACGAGCAGCCTTGGTTATGCAGGCCGGGGGAGATCGTAGAAAGGCAGCGTCAGATGAACGCGCTCCAGAGTCTCGACTCTTTTTGCGCCATTCCTCTTGACTACTACTAGTCTAGCCGAGCTCCCCTGATCCACTCCGAGTGGGACTTATTGGCTAACCGGCTTTGCCAATCTGAGGCTTAGCGTTATGGGAAATCCCAAAAGCCACCACCACACTTTACTGCCACTCAAGGTGGCAAAAGAAGAAAATCTCTGTAACAAAGGGGCTGGTTGATCTAGACGCAGGACAGTTTCAAAATTATAGTGTGTCAAGTAAATTCAACAATATAGTACAATCTATGACCACTTTACAATGAGACATTGCGCCTCCCGAGGAGGTATCTATAACGTCCGGGCGCTTGTGGTATCGTGAAACACGGAATAGAGTTTCCCGAGCAAATCCAACGATACTAATGATTTTACGTTGAGCTTTTTTTTTTTTTTTTTTTGGCGTGGTACGCGGTAGCCCCTGTTGGGTCTCTTCCATTTATCACGTTCCACAGTACATAGTAGATAACGGCAGTACCTGGTACAAGCTAATTGATTCGCAACCTAGGATCCCGCCAGGGTTGATAAACGGTTTCCAGGTATTGGGGACCTTGAGAAGCGCGATAGAAAAAAAGAAATTAAGAATTAAAGAAGCACGATGTTCTCACTGCGGCTGATAGTACTCCGGGACACCCGCGAACCTCTTTAGAACCCTGATGTTGCATAGTCAACGGGAGAAGACATACTACATAACAATCTGAGCTGCATGAAAAACTGGGATACGCTTGGGGAACAGGCCCAGACCTCCCCGCCAAGGGGGGATAAACCAAGGAAAAGATTCAACCCTCGGGCCTGTCAAATGCAGTCTGACGTCATATACTTTGTTGCATCGCCGGCGCGGCGACGTGGAATTACCACTGCCGCTTTATAACCCTGGAACCAGAGCCAGAATGAGTCAATGGTACGAAGTGGGATCCGGTCGAACATGATAAGCAGCGAGGATGTCTTTGGCAGGGAGAATCTCAGATGTACATGTAATCTGACTAAAATTCGTAGTCATTTAATGTGGGCAATGGGTTCGGCCCCATGGGCTCCGGATTTCGCGGCACGTTCAAGTGGAGACTACGGAGTGCATAGGTCGCTGCTATGTCGATCCACTCCACGGGCTTTGAACAAGATAACCCCAATGAAATGTCCTACACTTATGCATGTCATTGAGAAATATTTCATGCCTGGGCCACTTTATGCCCCTCCATTCCAATCGAGCGCCTGTGTAGCCCCTCGAGGCTGAAAAGGGCAAACCGTAGAGAAAATCCAGTGTTGCGTCCCACTGCAGAGGTCAAGTGGACGTCCTCCTTACATGGTGAGATCAAAACTTTAGATAACTCCGATGGATTAAGAAGTTCATTAGAAATTAGGATTTGTAGTACAATTGACTTCCTTGGTTAGAATTTGGGGGTTCGATGCGATTCCGCGGTCGCAGACCCAGCGCCTTGGGGGCGAGTCAGATCAAACTTTTGACGGATTCTGGGAGAATCTATGAATCCGGCGGGGCCCTTAAAACGGAGTCAGAGTGAGATGCTTCATTCTTTGAGGATAATTCTATATTTGTATTATCAATTGTATCGCAGGATCCGGAGGAAGAGAGAAAAAAAAATTCATCGTTGTTTGATTCTAGACCAATGGACGTGGAGGGGTGAAAATCGGGGGGATCGGACCTCTTTTGCAAAGGACTTAGATAAGGCATCTCAAACAACATTTTTAAATTTTATTTTTTTTAAACCTGCACAGTTTGATTACCCGTTGAAATCCTTCTCTTCTACCCCGGTCGCATTCCGCGGAGAGAGAGGGTGATACAATTGCAGTACGTCAGTCCAGAAACAGGGAACACAAAAAATGCTTTATCAAGCTAGTGAGCGGAGCCCCTACGTAGAGAAGACATAATCGAGATCATTTTTAAGGAGATCACCCAACATTTGGTCAGACGCGCCACCGATGAAAAGGGTTGAATGAGAAATAATATAACCTCAAATTATCGCGCTATAGGGTAGACTCGATTAGGTACCTGGTCGTTGGAGTATAGTACTAGTATCTCCATGGGGCGTTTTTGAATTCAAATGGGAAATGGGATGAAAAAGTCTAGAACTAAAGAAAATCCAACCGAAAAAATCAAATGCAAGTTATTTTCTTGGAAGTGACTTCCATCGTCTCCACATTGGCGTGTCCCTAACCATGCTATACGGGACGCACTGACAGTAACAAGCGGAGTCGATGCAAAGCAGACGCACTGCCAATGGGCGCTTGTAAACCGTCTTTATTTATCTTGGTCCACTTTTTTTTTTTGCCCCTACGCTGTTCCCACCCCCCGGCGGTTTTATGCAAAAGGCAGCTATAATTCCCTGGTTTATCTCCGATTTTTCCTCTTTTCTTTCCCAGAAAACCATTCCCCTTTTTCCTTTTCTACCTTTCCCCAGGGATTCATAAGGGAAGTGGGTTTGGGTTCGCTAAATCATTTGTCTTGATTTTCCCAACGGTCCCGGGTATGGAAATCTGATTCGCCCCTCCACATTACGAACTTATCGGGTACTTTTGAAGTACCGGGGTGAGGTGATCATTGATCCAAATCATCCAATCCGATATATAATTTTCCTCTTTCTTCCCTTTTATCTTTCTCTGTACTTTGTTTGATACATTCCTGTTACTTCGGACTTTCATTCCCTCTCCGAACCGTGGACATTGATAATCTCGCCACTATCACGACCTTGAGGTGGCTGCATACTACACGGTACGTCTGATAAGCTCTTTATGTACTCCAGCATTCCCGATTATACCTCCCACTTGAATTTCCACTCCATTCTTCCTGCCCCTCAATTGCAACCTCCGCCCATTGCCTTCTCAACCAGTCGGTTCTCGCCATTCCGTGTCACTTGGAAGGTGCTGTGATACTTTTCATCTCTCCTGGACCGCGCCTTCCTCTTGCCATCCAGTACTACCATCTGCATTCACCCTGCACGCCATTCCCTCTCCCCTGTTCATTACAATTCTTACTCCGTGCTGTTCCCTGCTTCGTACTATTTGTGTCTCTTGCCTCTCTCCCAACTTGCCATCTCGCCACACCGTCAAATTAAAAGAAGCAATGACTGACCCCATTCTCTGATCTGATCAGCATCTGATGCTTTCACCTTGAAACCAATATCGAGTATTCTGTGAATCTCTCTGCCCTTCTTGTGTTGAGACACACGAGTCGGCCGGATGCCCTACACTGCACCATTGAAGTCGTTGCTCGCTGTGCAACACGTTGAATTCTGTGGGCCTGCAACAGACGTCCAGCCAGAGAGACCTGGGTTGAGTCGTTCTGCCTCAGATCGGCTACAAAGCTCACGATCTTATTCCTCTACCTCGTATGTTCGGCGCCACCGGAGGAGCCCATCCAGCTCCAAGTCCCCCGTGCATACTCCCGCTTCTGCACGGTTGACTGGCCCCATAATTGACCCCCATGCTAGTCTCCGCCAGTCTCCGCCCCCGTTGAACCATGCTGCGATCCCACCAGGGGCGATAATCTCGCCCCCCGAATCAGCCCCGAACTCAGACTCGGAGTCACCTGACCAATCACCAATCAAGCTGGAGGACCTTGAGGCAGCCTTCAAGGCCATTGAACAACGCAAGGAAGGATCTCCAGAAAGAATGGGCCCTGTAACCGGCGGGGCCGAGGCTCGGCCCTCCTCAAGTCAACCACACCCACAATTACCCACCCTGAACACTAAACCCAATCACTTGCGACTATCTAAGACTGCTCGAAAGATCTCCCACTCACGATCATCTACAGACTCGGCAATTTCCGCAGTTGCTTTACGCAATGAGGAGGCACTGACAAGCTCTCCCGACGATAGTGATGTCGAGACCTCACCCAAGCCCATGATGGTTCGGAAAAAGTCGGGCGAATTGGTTCGGCCGGCCCTCCGGCCCGCAACGGCTCGGCGTCGACCGTCCAGCATGCCGGGTACTCCGGTGTATGCCAAGGCAGTGCACTTCGACTCGCAGTTGGAACACATTCGTCACTTTTTGCAGCTTGACCGACCTTTGGCTGTTAGTGCTGAAACATCCCCAGTCGATGACCATGACACCGAAAGCGAGTTTCCGTTTAGACAGCAGCAAGACCAGGGCCCTTCATGGGATTGGGAGCTCCGGCTTGCCAATTTCCCCAAGGACTCCTCGGCTCGTGCTACAATCCCTGTTCGTCTAGAACGGTTGTTCCTCTCAGGTGATAAGAATGTCTTAGTCGGTTCGGTTGCTGTGGCAAACTTGTCGTACCACAAGCATGTGGCTGCCCGCTTTACCTTTGATTATTGGAGAACCATCTCGGAAGTGAGTGCAGTTTTCTGCCACGATGTCCGCCGCAAACATGCCCATGATGGGTCTGATCGGTTTTCTTTCGACATCAAATTGAACGACCAGGCCAACCTCGAGAACAAGACTCTCTTCATCTGCATTCGCTATAATGTCGATGGCCAGGAGTATTGGGACAACAATAATGGCATGAACTTCCAGGTCGATTTCCACAAGGCGCCAAAGGTCACCACCTCTAGCAAGCCATCAGGTGGATCCCGACCAGCACTTCCCCGCAGTCGGACGTTCACCGGCTCCCACACTCGTCCCCAGTCGATGCCGCCATCCTTTGGGGATTTCCCAGAGATCATCAAGAACGTACCCTTCTCCAACCCTTTTGATGATCCTAAAGGCTCGCCTTTGACCAAGGTTTCATCGGATGATATGGACACATGCGGCCCCCCGAAACGTCGGGAGAAGCCTAGTCCTCAGGCATTTGGTAACCGTTACGACTTTGGCGCCTCGTTGACTGCGGCCATGCGCACGAAACCTCCTATGGATCGAACAACCTTGACGACACGAGCACGATCCGGGCAGCCTACCGATGTTGATGCTAAGCCGGTTAGGAAGGTTTCAGACAATTTGCGGGGCGAGTCTTCTCCAGTGAGCAAATCCTGTGACGGAGCCCCAGCAGAAAATCCGAAGCCTTCCTCACTGGTTTCTAGCAAGCCCTGCCTCGAGTCCTCGGTGTACAAAGAGTTGGTCGATAAGTACTGCTTTGTAAGTCATTCATCCTTCGCAATGTCGCAAATCTTGACACTAACATGTACACAGTATGGCTCTTCCAAGTCCTCAACCACGAAACAAACATTCACCGTGAATGTTCCTGGTGAGGAGACCGGCAGAAAATTTCCATCGGCAACACCCTCGCCCCCTCTATCTCCCGGCTCACCGGCCCCTCTTGAGTCACCCCCCATTGAAGCACCTCGTGAATCCCGTGCACGGTCACCGGCGGCCTTGAGCTCGCGTACCTCTCCTCGCAGCTCACCGTCTCCCATGTCTCACCGGTACCCGTACCATCAGACCCTGCAAAATGGATTCATGAACGATTCTCCGTCGTCGCCTGTGATAAGAGGGTGAGTGACATAAAGTGCTCGATAAACCGCCTTGGAGTCCGGCTACTTCTTTCCTCGCCTATCCTATTCTTCTTCTTTTTTTTTTTCATCACGTTGACTGTTTCGTTGAAGTGGATTCGACTTTTCTTTCTCTGAGATGGGTTCGGTCAACTCATTTTCCATTCCGTCTATGGCCGGTGCACACACGGCTTGGGTTGGCGCACAGTGACTTTTTTTTTTTCGCGCAAGGTGGATATCTCTCCTCTCTTTCTTGTGGTATTTGAAGGCCTTCCAGCGTCTTCCATCTCATAGGTATATGTGAACGATTCGGTTTCCTGCGATGTACAATAAACCGCGGGGACCTTTTTGGGACGTTGGCTGTGTTGGTGGAGGACTATGATCTTCGTCCGCCGAAGAAATCATTGACTCGCGTTTGATATGAAGCGGTTTCCGTTTCGATATTTTGTTTTGATTATGCATGACGACTGTTAACGATTCCCTTATTTTCGGCCCCTCTTCCCCACCCCCCACGAGGCATTTTCACTTCTTCCTGATCCGCAGATCTTCCACCTTTTTACCGAAAAAAGTTTTTAGTTTCGCCCGCCTCTTTTATTCGATGCATTGTGTTTGTGTTTTGCTTTTCTTCATTGCGTGCATGGTGTTCCGGGGTTAGTGCTTGATTTATTTTCTTATTTTCCTTTCTCGCGTTTTCTGGGACCACATATTTGACAGGATGCAGTGATGGAATAGCGAGATATGGTTTGCAGGATAAGGATGTTCGCTACAGCCCAGCAGCGACGTGATCTTGATTGCATGAGGGATATGAATGAATGTGTTTTGATCAATGGTTTTGCAAGGTTGTATCCACCGTAGATTGGTAAGTATAGTAATTTCTCTTCTATACTTGGAGTACTCTTTGATTTTTTTCTTTTCTTTTTACCCCGTTTCCTTCGATAGATTCAACATATTAGAGCATATCACAGAATGATACGATCTATTTTACCAACCCCTCGTGCATTTGACGCGTACACCAGTACAGACATTGCACCCCCATCCTTGCTGTGGCATGTAGATAGTTTGAGGTGGCGGTTTCTTATCGGGCTTATCAGTCACGTGACCGAAAACAGACATTATGATTTCCGCTGCATTGACACAACGCGGGTGATGGCCCAGGGAAGCGTTCGCAATCCAGCCCTTCATAACGCCCTTTTTCCTCCCTGCCCACCTGCCAATCACCGCCGCATTGCAGAATGTAAAACCAATGGCTTACCTAAACCCCCCTCCCCCCGTCCCCCGAAAATCACGCGTAGTCATCCACGTATTTAATTCCCGCCTTTCCCCTCTTTCTAGCTCTTTCTCTCTTTTTTTCTCTTCTCTTCATCCCCTAAATCGCCAACCGTCGACGCGTTTATCGACACCATCGCTTCTCAACCATCAACGCCCGTCTAATCCATCACTAATTTTATCTCTGCCAATATGTCCGGACGTAAGTTTATATTCCATTTATTTTTCTCGTTTGAATTTACGTTCCTTTTGCCCCACGGTCGCTGTTGTGAATTTCAACGTTGGTGAGGTTGAAGTTGGTGATGCCCCTGGCGGCCGATAATTGGTGGCGACCAGTCCCGATCCTGTGCCTTAGGCCAACATGCATCCCAACTCTAACCCAACTGGGAAACCCTCCCCCTTCTTCGACCCTTAAGTTGACCTTGCTGTCGCTTTCATCAACATCTTATTTTATTTCCCTGTTCTTATTTTTTTTTTTTTTTAATCATTTACTCCTTCATACTCATACTAATATCCTATCACAGGTGGCAAGGGCGGTAAGGGTCTCGGCAAGGGTGGCGCCAAGCGTCACCGCAAGATCTTGCGTGACAACATCCAGGGTATCACCAAGCCCGCTATCCGTCGTCTCGCTCGTCGTGGTGGTGTCAAGCGTATCTCTGCCATGATCTACGAGGAGACCCGCGGTGTTCTCAAGACCTTCTTGGAGTCTGTCATCCGTGATGCTGTCACTTACACTGAGCACGCTAAGCGTAAGACCGTCACCTCCCTCGACGTTGTCTACGCTCTCAAGCGCCAGGGCCGTACCCTGTACGGTTTTGGTGGCTAGATTATTTCCATGTCTAACTTCATGGATATGCTTGTTGGCTTTTCTTGTCTTGTCTCTTTAACGCGCTCAACGGTGTGACGGTTGCTTTTTGTTTATCTTCATTTCAAAGATATATGGAAACCTACATTTTGATTTATTTTATGGGTTGATCGGGTATTACGGTTGGGAAGATCAGGGTTCAATGGGTTTCTTTTTTTTTTTGGTGCGACAATTATGGGAATTGGTCCTAGGTTTGATCTAGTCAGTTATCAACTAGGCTCGCTGAGCTCGTTTCAAATGAATGCCTGCGGCTGAATATCCTAAATGCTTTCCCACGTAATATTAATTCTCATCGCAATGAACTGATTGCATCCTGTATATCCCGTAGCGTGGGTAGAATCAGCCCATTGGCACGGACCACATGATCGGCATGATGTAATGGATCGCAAGTTACCTCGGCCATGGAGTACTTTCTCCATTCCCATAAGCACCGTGCCCGCTTCTGATCACTGCGTGTATTTCTTGCAAAAGCCAAGGTTTTTCTTCATATCCATGGATGGGATATCACTTATGTCCTGTATCCTAGCTCCAATCTAGACCTGTGGACTAAAATACAAACAACAACATCTGAGATCCCCCGGTCGGGAATAAGCAGCTATACCTCAAGAATCAGGAGTCGTAATCACCACCCCATCTCGACGCCAACCCTCATCATGGCGGAATACAAACTCACTTACGAGTCTCAGCTGGTATGCCATGACCTGCTCCCCTTTTGAAGTTAATCAATCTGTCCCAGGTTCCTAACATACATCGTCTCACAGGATGCCTTTCACCCCTCCTACCGCTGGGAAAGCCATAGCCCAAGCGAAGACTGGAAAGCCAAAGCCCTCCGCGGACCTGCCCTTCCAGTCCTAGGCAATGCAGTCGCCGGTGCCGTAGGCTCTGCCGTTTCCAATGTCGTCGTTTACCCTCTCAGTGTCATCGTTGCGCGATTACAAACCCAACAAAGGGCGAAGGGCAAGAAAGATGATGACAGTATTGAAGAGGAAGAGTATACCAGTATTCTCGACGCAGCATACAAAATCTACCTCGATCAAGGTCTTGCAGGCCTCTATCCCGGTCTCGCACAGGACACCTGCAAATCAATACTCGATTCGTTCCTCTTCTTCCTTGCCTATACAACCGTCCGACAGCGCCGTATCGCCGCACGCCTTGGCCCTGCCCGCGCAGCAAAGACCAAGAATATTGTCCTTCCTATCCTAGACGAACTTGTAATCGGAATTGTAGCAGGTGCTTTCTCGAAGCTATTCACGACACCGCTATCGAACATCGTCACCAGAAAGCAGACTGCTGCGCGAAAGGGCTCCAGTGGAAATGACCCATCAACAGCGGATATCGCAGCACAAATCAAAAAGGAGAAGGGTCTAGCTGGGTTCTGGTCAGGATACTCGGCATCATTGATCTTGACATTGAACCCGTCGATTACTCTCTTCTTGAATGAGGTGTTCAAACGTGCACTTCTTCCGCGTGCGAAGAGAGATAAACCGTCCGCCGTGGTAACATTTTTGATGGCTGCGTTGAGTAAATCAGTGGCATCATCAATTACCTATCCATTTTCGCTGGCGAAGACGCGTGCTCAGGCTATGGCTGGTGAGTCGCAGAAGCCAGGCCAAGGGAAGACCATTTTGTCTGCCCTTATGCCTCAGATTGTCTATAATGTTATCGCTATCGCGCGTGCGGAGGGTATCCCCGCACTCTACGCCGGTCTGCCTGGTGAAGTTCTCAAGGGGTTCTTCTCGCACGGTTTCACTATGCTAGCGAAGGACGCTGTGTATGGCTCTATTGTCAAGAGCTATTATATCATTCTGACGCTTCTGCGCCGCTACCCGTCGCCTGAGGAGCTGCTTGTGCGTGCTCGGGAACAGGCAGAGGAGTATAGCGAGGTTGCACTTGAGGGAGCTCGTGATCTCGCGGAGAGGGCCAAGGAAGGTGCCGAGGAAGTGTTGAACAATCACTCCGGTAACGTAGCTGTGGACGCGACTTCGAATGCTGCGGCTGCTGCTGGACATGGTGTGGATGCCTCGTCTGGGCTGAAGATCTCGCCTGTGGCGGAAGAGATCAATGAGACTGCTGAATTGGTGGGTGATTATGTTCAAGATGAGGCCGCGGAATGGAAGAGCTTCTACCATTGGTTTTGGGAGAAGGATCGAGGGCACAAGGTGTAAGCAGGTACTAAACTGCAATTGCATTGGTCTATGGTTTTAAGGATGAGCAGGGGAGCACTATTTTGTATGGTTTCCAAGTTGCCCAGTATATCAGCGTGTACAGTATATCATGAAGTTTACGTCTATCTTAGTTTTTCTATGTGAGATATTCCCAGAGCAATTCACGACTTCGCTAATAAGTATAGTCTAAATGATATGAAAGTAACACAAGCCCGAATGTCCATACCAACCCCAAGCGATACACAAACTCGGAGAATAATCAAACATGTCACACAATCCACGATTTTCATAGTTCTATCAATAAAGGTTCCTTAAAAAAGGGAGACGAGACTAGGCAATAGTTCCATCACCTTATTTGTGTTGCTAATGTCTCTTCCGGTGGTCAGACTTCTCAACGCCCTCCTTCATCACGAAAGCAGCCTTCATCTCGTTCCAAGTCTGCAACAAGACCCAAAGGGGGATACACACCCAAAGCCCATTGAAGAAATAAAGATACAGCCACTTGTAAACAAAGTCATGAGTAGCAAGCTGAGTCGAGCCAGTCAACCACTCCGGCGCAAAGGTCATGAACCCTCCATACAGCTCTGCAGTTGCAAGCACAGTGGAAGCAAACCAAAGCTTAGCCTTGATAGCCCCCCGCACCTGCGACGCAAGCTTGCCATTGGCCTTCACAATCAGATAACAGATGTAGATAGCAGCCGGTCCACCCAAAACAACGGTCAGAAGCTCCAGCGACACGACCGTAATATCAGCACCAGCCCAGCGACGATCAGCCTTGGCGTATTCTTGCCACAAACGTGCAGCGGGGCCGGTTCCGTACGCGGGGCCGTAATTGCGATCAGGCCGGTTGAGGAAGAAGGGTTCTGTGCTGTGGATACCGGCGACGGGAGCCCAGCTAGTGAAGCATTCCCAAAGGAAGGAACCCTCAATGAAGATGTGGGTCAGGGCATCGTAAGTGTGCCAGGCGAAGAGGAAGCGGTCGCGGCCTCTGGTTTTATCGGCGGGGAGGAGGTAGTTGGTGAGGAAGTAGGCGGTTGGCATCATCCCCAGGGAAAACAGGAGACAGATGACCGTGGGGAGGTCCACGGAGAATGTGTCGGTCATCTTGGAGAAGTAGGTGTTACAGTAAGGTCTGCAGCGAGAGGCTTCTGGGGAGAAGGTGAAGCCGAAGACGGCGCTGGCGAGCTAAAGGGGAAATTGAATTAGTTTGAATTTCTGGTGGAGCTTGATCTGTGGTGCCTGAGGTGTCCGGGTACTTACCGCGAAAGGTGTGACATAGCTTGGATTAGCTCTGCAGACGGCTAGCAACTTCTTTGCTGTCATGATGAGCGTCGGGAAAAGGTTTGGGTACATCATGCGAGATCGAATGACCTGGTTTCTGATGAATTGGAAGCTTGAGGACATGGCGATGCTGGTAATATCGGTGATATTGGTGGAGTTTTGCATTGAAGTATATGAGGTTTAAGGTTAGGGATCATTCCCGTCCCTGGAACACAGTTTAAATATGTAAACATCACTTTGACTGTGATCATATCACATTTATTTATATACTTTTGACAACGATGAAAGGAGAGCAAAGATTTCGAATAGATGAAAGATGAAATGCTCCATTCCAGGTTTGTGTGGTCTATCGCAGCCGTCTTCTTTCACACTACTCGTTCTTCGGCAGTTCTTTGTTCTTCCAGTCTAATTCAAGAACTCTATACCTCGTGGCTCCGAGATTCAAAGAGGTCCATGACCTCAACGCGCCTTTTCTATGCAATTAACCAAAGAGACGTCAGTTGAATTCGCAGCTATATGTCAAGAATGTGCTTTTTCTTACATTGAAGTTCATGAGGGTCGGTGGCGGTGCAGACGCCAGAAGAAGCAATCAACCAGGGTATGGGTTGTTTTCTCGGTCTGCCTAATGTGTATGACAGAGGAACACAATCATTTCTTTGATTGGAAGTCAAGCAGATTTGTCTCCCCCTCTTTTCCGCCTGCTATTGCTACATCTTCTCGTAGGAACTTGAATCACCTCCATATTCCTCAAACTTGGTTTGCGCCCGGGAGCTTGCAGCAATCCTTCATCCCACTCGGCCTACATTGTGATAACTTGCGTTAGTCTTGCAGTCTTGCCTTATGGGCTGCTTTAGCGGGGCACACAACCTCAGCTGAATTCCCAGTGTTGCTCAAAGATGAGCCGGGGAAGTGCACGATAATCTTGGTTCAAACTTTGCTCTGCAACGATCTATATTTACTTCCCTTTCATCATGGAAGAAAATCTCCGGATCACTGATATCCCTGCCTTGACAAAGGCAACGTGGGAAGTCTACAATCAGTGTCAGACTTTCGCGAAAGATGCCCCCGATGGGTTTCGCAACCTCGTTACGCGATTGGGATCGCTACAGGGTGTGATGCGAACCCTGAGTGATGACTTTATCTCCCATACAGCATTTTTCGAGCAAATGAACGAAGACCGTCGATTGATACTGGAGCGATGTCTGAATGGTTGCTTTGAAACCTTGACTTGGTTGACGAGACTTCTTAACCGGTATCGAGAGCTGGGAATCTCAGAGGGAAAGGTTTTTTGGCAAAGAATCAAGTGGTCTACACAGCGAGCACAGGTTGAAGATATCAGGTCTAAGCTTATCGTTCACACATGCAATCTGAGCCTGTGTATGAGCCCCATTGGAAAGTAAGCTACTACTGTTCCAGAACCATACCAGCACTAATATTGATCGTTCAGCTCTTCCCTTGCCGATATCGAAAAGACAATGGTACAAGCAATGAAGGACGATGAGCACGCTTTGCTCGCCCTCGAAGCTTCTCGTCGCGATTCAAATTTGGTGGTCTCACCACTGAGCATCAGGAGTGGTGTGTCTACGGATTACGACGATCTTGTAGACTCATACTTGTCCCACCAAATTGTTCCTCGAGTGTCTTCCCTGGCTTCAGGCAGCTCTCAAGGGCAAGAACGTCGAAGTTCCGGTCGGCCTAAACATACATCTACATCATCTGAGTCTGTAATGTCCGGATCTGATGGCTACTTCTGTGGCGGAACCGCCCCGACATCACCTTCAACGCAGAGTCGCTCGCATTCTCAAAGGTTGATGGAAAGGCTTGAGTTTTCTCGAGCCCTCTACGAAGGCTCTATTGATGGCCGCGCGTCTGACAAAATTCTATGGGAAAACGCCTCTGATTTTCAGGAAAGGCAAAGCGTGGGTAATTCTGACGAGACATCGTCTGCTGATTTTGGTCATGAGAATGTTATGGAGGCTGTCACGAGTGCAATGCAGCACTTACGCCAGATTCATCTCCAGGAACAGCTTGCTCGGCCCATACGATATGTGCCGCAAAATAAAATGCACAAGCCTGATCAGGATACATTGAAGGTTTTCGAATCCTCGGTGAACGAGGAGCTTCAGGCCCGAAGACTCATCGCAAGGGATTGGCTTCGTATTGCAACTTGGTGGCTATTGAAGGCACGCGCTACTCTAGCCAACTGCGGCAAAAATAACCTAGTTAGTGCTCGAGGTGGTATGGTTATGTCGAGTGACTCTAGGTCCGCCTCACAACAGGCTTATGTTGATCTCCTTAAAGCCTCGTACCTTCTCTATGAGATTGTTCTCAAAGACGAGAGCTCTCCCACTTTGTTGACTGATGAAAATCGCAAAACGATCTCTGATCTTTCCGAAGTAGCTACTCGCAATCGACATGTGTCTTTCGGTGCTAATTGAAATATAGGGCGTCAACGATGAGCTTTCTCAGTACTCGTCCTTAGATATCCCCGAGCCTTCGAGTTTGTCTGCCCAGAACTTGGATATTTGGGAGCCTGTTCAGCCAGAAGAAGTTTCAGAAAGCAGCTTGGATTTCTTCCGACTCGAAAATGCACGCTGGGTAGCTGTCAACCAGGAAGATTCTGGTAGTGAAGAAGAAAGGGTCCTCTTTCGCATCTTTGTCAATGCAGGGATAGGATCTAAGAAATTCCGAATACGCACCAGAGGTGCCCCGTACATGCTCCTCTTAGCGACCAAGGATGGCGAAAGTGAGCCCAAAATCATTCTCTGCAATCAGAGTGGCTCCCTTTGCCTCCAGCGAGTCTGTAAGCTTCCAATTCATTTAGCTTCGAACAAAAACCATCGCTAATTATTCTGCAGTTATACCCGATGACCTACCACCGCTGATCAATCTTGCTAATGCCAATATGACTGGTTCTCCCGGGGCCCGAATCTCAGAACCAGTACCATTCATGTTCGATAACACAACCGTCTCAATTTCATTCCAGTTTGAAGCAGATTTGGGTCAATTCATTCACATTCCCAAGACCTATTTTGACGCAGTATGGCAGAGGGAGCCGATCGATTCGAAAGAGTTCACCGAAAGTGTCATTTTCAAAGGTTCAGTGGAGGTCTTTGAACACCTTAAAACTCCGAACATGAAGCCCATGAACCCACCAATGATAATCAGGTCGTGCGAAGTCCGGATTCTCGAACGGTCATTTGGCGAAGCTTGGAGCTGTACTCGAAGAATGGTGATTAGTCCGTGCGCAGCACAAAGAAACCCACGATGCATCGAACTCTTCATGCCCCATAGCCGTGTTCAAATAAATCGCGAAAATCTGTCGCGCCAGGTACTTCTGAAGTGGTCCGATGCTTGCCAAGTACGATCGAAGACTGATGGCAACTATAACGTCCTATACTCTTACCTTTACGATGACAGTGCACCAAACATAGGCGTGGGACTACATTTCAGCACTGAACAGGGTGCCGAAGACTTCGAACAAGCTATTATGGAAATCAATTTCAAGCCAGACTTCTCATGGTCAGAATCCAGCAGCTCTGGCCGCATATATGATGTTGTCGACACAGGCACCCAGCACAAGCAGTACAAGGCTGCAGTCATTTTCCATAACAGCTCGCCCTGGCGGTATTCTGACGTCTATTACCTCTATCGTGACATGGACTATGTTTACCAGCACTCATCACTCAGCGTCCGATTTCCTCATGCCTCCTACACGGATTATGTCTCTTCTCATGTAAACCAGCTCTTCGCTGCAGACAAACCCGTCGTGTTCTCGCATTGCGAAAAGAAAACAGGACCAGCAATCATCACATTTAACAGCGAGTCTGTCTCGCGTGCGTTTATGAGCGCCCTTTCTCCATTGTACGAACTGTCTTACTCAAGGCGAATTCTTTCACTTTCAACAAAAAGCAATATACTGGGAAAGAAATCCGGCAAAGGTGGCGCTGAAATCCAACTTTGGCGCAGAGGAAATATAACACAGCTTTCTGCGCGTTGGGACGATGGTGTCCCCAATAAATGGCTAACTATGTCTCTTCCATCGAATTGTCCTGACTCTTCGAAGGAAAACACTCGTGTCAATTTTGCGAAGTTACCGTATTCTCGTGGAATAAGCTTGGATATGATGAACATTATGGCTCGGACTCCTAAAACCAATACGCTTGTGGAGCGAGAAGGGGTCATTTCAATAGTTTTTCGGACTACTCAAGGTGATTTTCTTCTCATAATTATCCTGTGCTCTGCTGACTTTCTTTGGGCTCATAGATCGAGAAGAATTCCTGGGTGTTCTCCAGGGAAGACCAATTTCCTCTACGTTTAGTTCTTTGTCGGGTAATCAAAGCAAACAAGCTTAATTAATTTCATTGAACTGAGCCAGTATTTATTGAAGCAAAGCTGGTGGATCCGAAATATCTAACTGTACAACTTCTCCAATGAAGGCGGCTTTGCATCTAGTGGAGTAAAGCTGCAATGCCCCCGAACCTCGCATCCGTCATTCTCATCATCAACGCAATCTCGTGGCAAGCTCGTCTCTCCCCAGATCAACTCGCTGTGGGCTGCATTGGCGAGACAAACGTTCTCGGGTGGGTGACAGGCCGCACTTATAGCAGCGCTACAGGTAACCGCCAGTGGAATAAGTGACTTAAGCCTCCGGAAGGCCAAAGAAAGCAAAAGAATGCCCGCGATGAAGGCAAGCAAGGCGGCGATAAATATGGGCAGGAATGAGACCCCCACTGCACTGATCTTTTTTTGGTACAGGGGCTGATCATCTGCGCCATAAGGGATCATTAAAACGTAGTAATAACCCTGTGAGACAAGCCAGTGGATTGCTGTGAAGAGGAGCAGGACTGGGATTCCGTATTTATAGGGAACACTCAACCAGTATGATGAGCGTTGCTTGCTACCTTTGACGGGCCAAGTGACGCGAAGTGCCTTCCGTTCAGTCCCATAGGAACTATACTCCGCAGATGCCAGCATGCTAGTCAGCACGCTGTTAAAGAAATAGTAGCCGACTGTGACTACCAACTGAACGCTGTTCGCTGTCACCACGCCTTTCAACTCTGAGGAGTTCACGCTGACAAAATGTCCGAAATTTTTCATATTCTCATCTGAGTTCCATAGACCTCCAAACATGTCCAATGTGAAGTATGGCACTGAACCGCCCGAACCACCAATGCCCAAGCCGATGCCTAGGGAAAAACTAGGCAATATTAGATTCAATCTAAACATAGGAACATAAAGACTCACATAAATGAGGTGGCTAGCCAAGCCCAAGGGCTAGATGCCCTTCTCCAATGCTTCCGCGATGATAGATGTCCATATACTCTGGGCTGTGGTTGGTTCGACGATGCATGATGGCGCTTCCAGTCTTTTTTAATGCGGCGAAATGAGGCCCAGCATAATCCTTTCGTCATGCTATCTGGCCTCTCTAGGAAAGATGCAACTGCATCGCCTATCGTAAGAAGAGGAGGTGCCCGAGACCGTTGAACTCTGGCTGCAAGAAACATCGTAATTACCTTCACCAGCGTAGTCAAGGAAATGATCACGCCTATTGTAGGATTGAAAAGCAGTTGACAGTTTTTCTTGCCCTCAAACGCTAAACACCCGCTAAGAGGCAGGTCCTGATAATAAGATGACACGTCGCATTCCGGAGATGAGGGGTTCGAGGTGTCTTTGTTGGCGAACGACGAGGCTATGACTGACTGTTGTTGACCTGTACCACGATCCCAAAGAATGGAATTATCCCCTCCGTCTTCCATACTCAGATCACTCGATAGGAGAATGAGGCCCTTGTACCCTGATTGAAAATGCCCTGCATCTGATGACTCGCGGTAGTCGTAACACTGCTGAGTGGAAATTGCCTCGCTCTTCCCTTCCAAGACGAGTTGCGTTATTTTATCCCAACCGATGGTTTGGCCGTCACCTTTATCGTCCAATCCGCCAAAGAAGATGCCGCTCCCTTGAGTTCCAAAACATTTTTCCAGGCCAGGAGTAGTCAGATTTCGTATTTGTTGAGCATCAAAATCAGACGGTCCAACGAATGTCCAGTAATCATTGTAGGATAAGCTTTCAAAAATGACAGAATTGTACCTGTGAGATACGTTAGCACACCTCTTTTCTGGCAGACTTTGTAACTGTGGGGTCATACAGTAGATGAAAAGGGGTGGCAGTAATCATCAAAATCAACCAAAGCCCAAGACGATTAAACGGTATCGCAAATAGATTTCTGAAGCTGGAACCACCAATATCCAACCACCGACGCTTTGCATGGCGCAGATCGATTTCATTTCGGGTTGGAGCGATGAGTGTTTGCATACAGTAGTTGCTCGCTGCCAGAATGCCGGTACTGAGAGCGTTAATAATAAAATGAAGTGCCGTATTCCATTGACCTGTTATGCCGCAGCTGCCATTGTACACAACTTTTGAATTTGAGGATCCTCCAGAGCCTGAGTTTTTCGATGCCAGTCCGCCTGCTACGGAAACCAATATGACATTTAGTAGCAGTAAAACGGCGGTTGCGTTTGCACAAAGGTATACACCTTTAATCCACGCGGGTTTTTCTGAGGGATTGTTTATGTCGCTGCAAGTTGTCGCTTCCTCTAGGAAAGGCTCAATAACAGTCGGATCTTTTTTGGTATTCGTCTCTCTTTTTGCGACTTGGGGGACCGGGAGAATAGACCGTTGGCTGGATATTGTAACTAGCTCTGCTTCATCTGTATCGTCACCTGTTGCACTATAGTAGCGCTGAGTTGGAGCAAAGGACCGAACCCAGGCCCATTGATTTGGTGCACGAATCTTCTCTGACAAGAACATAGCACATAGCACACTCAATGCCTGATGATAAGAAGAGAAAAGACAGAGAAAGGAATAAAGGTTTATTATAAGAAGTAAAGTGCGGCACAGGGGCTGTGGACCCTGCATGTTCGAGGTGCATTGTGGCAAGGCTCGGAGATGCAGATCAGCTTATTTTTGTACATGATTGACATTTCATACTTATGCAGTGCCCATCATCAATAAACAACCCGTGTCCGCCCCCAATCCTGTGGTACAAAGGGGGCGGGATTTACAGTATATCTTGGATTTCTAAGGATTTTCAGCGAATTACTTCCACTTAGTCATGATTCTAATTTTGTTTGACAGATAATATTTTCGAAATGGGAAAAAATAAAAAGACATGTTCCATGAAGTGGAAAGAAAACGCAAAAAGAAACCTCTCCCTCGGGGAATCGAACCCCGGTCTCCCGCGCTTATCGGTGTTAATGACAAGCGGAAATCATGACCACTAGACCAAGGAAGATGAAATAGTCGAGTTTCCGCTCGACCACTTGGTGCTGGTTGATGTCAGGATCCCTGATTTAATGTAGATAGCCCTTGACCTTATTCCCGGTTTGCCACGATCATTCCCGACTACAGGTGCTAGTTCGCTACTATAATTAATTCGCCGACCGTTTTAGTGCCTGAGTAGATCATCTTTGTCTCAGTCCAATAATACTCCCACAGCCCTAGCAGTGTACCATAGTCATGAGGTCCGCCGTAATAACCTCACCCACTTGACCCAGTCATCTTCGGAGGTCATTTCCGCGACTCGGATTCGTGCCCTCAATAAATACGAGCACCATTTAACTGAAGCCACGTCTTTTTCCCCTGGGGCTCTGATTTATGTGCTTTTATTGGTAATATAGACATAGAACTACGTTCCACCTGGGCAATCCTTCATTAATCGCTATTCACCGTGCAGGTTCATCCGTTACATATATATCTTTCACATAGGCACCCTCAGGCGGTGTATATCATGCCAAGGTTTACGAGATACCCATTTCAGAGTTCTTTTGATCCACCCAGCCCTCCAAAACTCGAAATTCATGGTCACCCTAGGCTGCAAATGATATATCACCCGGGCGCTCAAAGAGACAATGCCTGGCACGTGTAGAAACTTGGCGGGCGTCAGCCAAAGCCCGTCGATTTATAATGTCGTGCCCTGCCAGGCAGAACTAATCTACCAACCTATATCCAGATAGAAATACCTGGAAGAAGTGAGAAACTTTGACAATATATACTCCATTCAAAATGGAGGTTGGATAACAACCCTTCATCCTACTACACCTACTACTTACCCTTCCAACGAATCCCAACGATGCCGAACCTTCGGCACCACCGCAGACACCACTCCTGGCCCCACTGCGGCTCCGAGCTCTGCATGCGCGCTCCGTCCAACCTGGAGATTCGCAATCTCAAGCCAATAACTATCACTGACGCTAGCCAACAGTGGGCCTTTCAACAGTCCACTGTCGTTCCTCTCATCGCAGAGGAAGAACCAGGCACTGATGATGCCGACATGGCAGGGATTGTCAGGACACCATCACGAAGTGTGCACCGCCTCTGGTCCCGCCCTATACAGAAGCCACGATGCGACGATCTTCCAGGTTCTGCGTCAGCCGCTGAAGCTCGGAAGCATGTTCATCGCAGTGTGCTTCGGCGGCTGATTCGTCGACCGCCGCTCGATAAAACTCGGTCCCTGTTTGTCATGCCGACAATGCTGAATACTGGAGATCAGGCCATGATTTCTGGTTGGATGCCCCCAAGGCTGTCGGCGAGGCCGGTGATGGTGACTGAGAGAAGGGGCGCCCTTTCAGTGGCCGATTCGCCGCAATTTGTTGCTGAAAAGAGGCATAGGAGGTCGCATTCTGCGCAGCCGCGGTCGTGGAGAGAGCCGAGTGCGAGTCTTTTCAGTTTGAAGGAGGAATGATTTGTTTGAAGGTGGATCTTTGTTTTTGGGCGTGTTTCAATACTGTTTCAAAGAGACTGAGGATGATAAAATGCAGCATTAAACAGGATATGAATCCGAGTGATACCTGGCTGGTCCAGTAATCTTTTCTGCGTTCAGAAAGTAAATCCTTATCCATGATATCAGTGATGGTATATAGGAAGCCGTGCAAAGCCTGGAGGTAGGAGAACGAAACAAGTCAGAATAAGTACACCTTAAGAGTGTAGAGAATGGCAGAGGACTCCAGCTCCTCTCGTGTGAGTCAAATGTAGGGTGTACCTGTAGAATGATGAGTTGAGATATACTCACCCCAACAACTCATAGAGCTAGCTATATCTCCACAGATTGCAGACGTGACTAGGCCGATGAAGAAGGAAATTCAAGGAAGACCTAATAGCCCTTGGGTATTCTGAAGTCTTCATATTGATCAAAACTCGTAGCGTACGATCGGCATCTGGCAGGTGAAAACTTCTGAAGTGTCTCCAGTGTCTTCCTATACTACATAAACCGCCAGTGCCCTCCAGGGCTGCCACTTCCCCGTCGCGGGTGTTGAATTCGCGTAAAGAGCACTCTTTGCTTCATCTGGCTAGACGGAGAAGACCCTCATTAGGGATAACTTCCCATGATATACCACGGTTGTTGAATGATAGGGTTCCTGAGAAAGACCCAAGAAGGTCCATACGACATGAGTCTAGGTTACATCGAGCTCTTGAAGTATACATCTTGGATAATTTGATGTGTTTGTTTATAGCCACATTTTAAGTTAGTACGATCGTTGAGATTGCGACAGTTACTGCTACCTGTATACCCGGTCGGCACTGGTGACGCCACATGTGGGGTCACATAGAGATCCTTCAAGACTGATCACAATGAATAAATTGTTTCCCGCTCAAGGGGGCTCTGTTTGGTCCAAATTTGTGTTTGTGTTTGTGTTTGTGGGCAGATGTTCATTGCATCGTGTTAGCAGTTGGCCTGCGATGTTCCTTCACATATAGCCTTTGTGCATGGAGAATCCAGCGTCGAAAAATATTATCGCCTGATAAAACCTACATACTCCAAAATTAACTCCTCGGAGGGTTTTTGAGAGGGTTGACAGATCAATATTCAGGGGTGAGAGGGGGATGGACTTGAAGGCTTGACCAAAGAAAATTGACATAATGTAGATAAAGTAGATCAAGTAAAGCTTGACACACCATGCAGGAGACTATGGTCACTGTCAGTGATACAAAGGGAATGCTGACCACATTCTTCATGCATGACCCAGCTGGCGCTCTGCAGGCAGGTTCAGAATATTAGAGTAAATAGATTGAGTCACCTGGTCCCAATGGCAACAATCCGGATTGACATTCCCCGCAAATATCGTACAATAAAAGCTCAACATTGGATCTGAAAGGATAAAAAATCGATATTGACACTGAGGAAGAACCCTTCAACTCTGCATCGTGCGTCATTCACTGGACACTCGGAGTTGCTGTGCCGATTTCCTATCCTCTCAGCCGTGTCTTGGCTAGCGTCCAGGTTGTGGGGGCCGTGACTCAACTGGGCACCCGTGCATTTCGGTCACAAGTCCTTCTGGAAGGTCGCTAGAATGGATTTTGTTTGGGATTGTCCAATGTTGATTGGACTGGTAATCATTCAACTGATAAGCAGGGCTCACGGGGCGACCACCAACCCCGGCATTGTATTGGTCGGCAGCTCGGCAGTCCGGTTCCACTTGTCGAAAAATAAATATGGCCCACAATCCTCAGCTGGTGAGAGTTATGCAACCCACGGCGTGCCCGTGAACAAGGTACTGGATGGAGACTGAGATGTCAAAGAGGGAGATGCAGCTCTGCGTGGGACAACATCAATGTGGGATTTCACGAGGACACGATACGTGGCCCGTGATGATGCAATCAGCGGTGAATCTGCGGGGTCTTAACGAGTCAGAGGATTCCTTGAGGAGGCTCCAAGGCAGACACAATCTCGGATTGGTCCGTGAAGGTCGGCTTCCCCGTAATCTGGGACTTTCTCACCGACGGCCATCCGCTAAACCTTACCAGTGGGCTCGCAGGCTCACTTTCAGCCTGTCCGATTGGTGAATTGGAGGACCGGTCCGCTGAATGGACCCAGTGAACGAGCTATCATTGGCGCTGTTGGTCCTCGACAAACCCGAGCGCAGGTTTGAAGCAACCCCGCTGTGATCTGGTTGGTTGCCCTACAGGGCATTGACGATCACCTAGACGGAGAAAGAGGGAGGACAGATTCCCAGATAAATAATCTTCGTGTTCCCACGTCAGAACTCAAACTCCCACTCCATCTGGCCCTATATCTTCCTCCTCTTCTCCCTCCGAAATTTTCTCTCCACTCTCCCTTCCTCAAGTAATGCGCTCTCACTCCCACCAGAGCGGTAACTACCCAAAGCGCTCTGCATCTCAGACTTCTTCCACCACAAGCTCTTCACACAGCACTCAACGCTCCAACGAAAAGAAGAACCGCCGGCTTTCCAACCCAATAACCTCCAAGCTATTTCGATCGGGATCCAAATCACCTGAAATCGATATTCCTAAGCGCAAACACAATCACAGCCTTTCCTTGGACAACCACTATATTCCTCGGAGCAATCCTGAAATGAACTACTTTGATCAGTGTGGTGACTCCACCGACTCTGTGCATATGTCTCCCGAGCCTTCATCACCCCAGTCTCCTAAGGCGGACTTCCCCAAGCGGGCACCCACTCCGACTCAGAAGAATAGCGATGACTATCGTCGCTATAGCGGCACAGTCAACCACTACGGTCGTCACTCAAATGACTGGCTGTTCGGTGGCTTCAGTGTGCGCGATACAGTTCGGGACGGTATCGAGAAGCTCCGTAACCACGAAAAAGATAGCTGAATGCCTCATCGACGCCGGTTTTGATGTTACGAATTTCCCATCGCCAGTCGTGGCACTCCCTTTCTTAGCGCCGATCACCAAACATGGCTGCTCTAATTGAATCCAACATGGAAACTTGAACCCCAGGCACTGGTGCGAATCAACTGTTGAACCACCATGAAGCCGATATGTTTCTTTTATCCTCTGATATGATGGCGCCCCTGAGCGCGCCATCGACTAATGTATATCAGCGCCCGGGGATGATATGACTTGTCATGCACCGTGTTGTCCGCTTTGTCTGACTCTAGTCATTTAATCATTTCTTTTCTTCAAAGAAAACGAACTGGCTGTCTTCGATTTCTATTCACCTAAGTGTGCTGGTTGTTACTTTATTCTACCGTTTTCGTTGAATCAGCGGTGCTGGATTCTTCCGCTTCAGATATCTTTATATACCATGTGACAGATCAATATATCCCCAGCTGTGCTGAGTGTGAAAAATTTGAATCACAGATCTCATTTAATATGACTTTTTCGCTCGAAATGTAATTCCGTTCCTGATCCGACTTTGACCATCAGGGCTATCCAAGTACCGAGGACGAGTCAGCCCCACCTCCGACTATCGGCACTTCTCCGAGTCATTGCAGTATATAACAATCAGCGAATATAACCTGAGGAAACTCTCACGCAAAGTCTAGCTTCTACTTAACATGAAATGAATACCTTATACACCCGTCAAACAAAAGGGCTTTGAATTTTGCCCTCCGACCTGCCTACAGATTGCCTAATTTAAGCCGACCCGCTTTCAATTTCGGCCCCCACAATCTGCACACTTAACGTACGGCGAGCTACGTTCCAGCGCGATTCCATCAGCGCGTGCAGCCAGATTCGGTGCTTCTCTGCCCAAATTGTATTCAAAATGGACTCCGCCAAGCCTGTTGTCGCCGTTTTCTACCAGGCTTTGCCCCCACCAATGTATGGGGGTGTAAGCAAGCCCCCCAAACCGGGAGGTACAGTGACGCAATCTATGCTTCGCATTTAATGCCAAGATAGGCATTGGAGCCCCGAAGGAAATCAGAGGCGCTAACTATCTTCGATATGACCAGGCTATCGGGATTCTGGCGCTGATGTCGCCTATTCGCTGAAATGCGTCGGAACTACGATTCTGACGCCGGTAGAATCTCCAGACCCCGCAGATCAGAATCAGTGGTGCTTTCCCGATACCCAAGAAGGAATCATCTCCGCGATTCAAAAAGGCGCAACGCATCTTTGGGCCAATACAGTCCTCTTCGCAGAACACCCGTTGCAGACGTCCCCGCAATTGACTCCCTTCGAGTCTAGCGTAAAAGTTATTGGTCAACCTCCACTTTGTGCGGATCGATTTGATGATAAATCATTTACGAATGAGCTACTCCGTCAGCATGGTGAACTCAATCTACCAAGGTCATGGACTGTAGATGATCCACGGATAGCGACGGGTATTAGCAATGGCTCCACTGGACACGCACAAGCGCAGCAATCGGTCCAGAAAACACCTGACGAGGTCTTATCGTTGATCAAGGAAGATGACTATCCCATTGTTGCGAAACCCATTCGCGGACGGGGTAGTCACGGTGTAAAGATCTGTGAAAACGCTCTAGAGCTAGCAGAACATGTGGCACACCTCTTCAACGAGTCACCCCGTGTCTTGCTGGAAGAATATCTCACCGGGGAAGAGGGAACAGTCACGATCATGCCACCGTCTCAGGAGCCGATCCCGGGTTTCGAGTATTTAGATCGGCATTTAAGCCATTGGGCTTTGCCGCCTGTGACCCGCTTCAACCATATTGATGGAATTGCGCCATACAGCGGTAGAATTGCGGTGACGGCGAACTCGCGCGCAGTGACTGCGACTGAGATTGGAGCGGATCCTGCGTATACGAATATCATGAAAGAATGCGAGACCGTAGCCGGGCTGCTGGGCACGACTGCGCCGTTGCGCATTGATATTCGACGATTCAAAGCAGGTTCAAAATTTGCCTTGTTTGATATCAATATGAAGCCGGTATGTTCGGAAGAATCATCTTGCCCTTTGAACGCAGTCCTGGTACACAATTGGGAAAGTACTGACTTGCAGGTTGGTGTAGAATATCACAGGGCCTGGACGTCCTGGTCGCGATGATCAGATGAGCCTCATGGGCCTTGCAGCTGAGAGTGTGGGTATGGATTATCCCAGTTTCCTGCAGTATGTACTCGGGTCGGCGCAGGAACTTGGACAACTTCGGCGTTACAGCAGTACGCTTGGCAGCTCGGCCGAATAGAAAGGAAAACAAAATAGAATAGGAACCAAAAGAAATGAGAAGCAGAGGAAAGGTGCGAATTACAAATAGGAACCCGCAATTACAAATAAAGCTCAGGGATCTGGGGTAAATAGTGCATCAAGTAGGCTTTTTTTTTCTCAAGTCTTTGTTCTGAGTCGATGCCCTACAATCGAGTGAAACCATAGAAATCCTAGCTGTACCATCACTTCTTCACATCAGGTCTTTCGCTTTCGCTTTCATTTGAATTTTGAATTTTCCTTTTGCTTAAACTTTTTTTTTTCTTTTTTATCTTCTTCAAAAAAGAAAAAAAAATCAATCAATTTATCAACAATATCAGTCTGTCTTGTAAAACACGTCACAAATATAACGTAATGATCCATTATTCTCAGGGTCCAACTAATCTAGAAGAAACTAAATACTCGGTCCTAGCCTTCGCTTTTTACCAATAAAGGGCCGGCACCGAAGACTAACAAGGAATGTCTAACCCAAATAAAGTCATGAAAGTAAAAAGAAAGAGGATCATCAGATGAAAACAAGAATAAACACCGAAAACTCCACAGCGAAAATCCAATAACGACATTTCATCTCACCCGCCTTATCACGCCGCTTGCCACCTACCGAGATCCACCATTGTGATATCAAAGTTTTGAGCGGTAAGCCGCTGCAAAGTGGGAAGTCAGGTATCAGCTTAAGTTTATCAAAGTCAGCAAGTGGCTTGGAAAGGCAGTGAGGAGGGGTAGATGTCTCGGATCCAGGAACATGGAAAAGGGAAAGCGGATGAATTTGCAAAGCTAAATAGAATATTCAAAAAAAGAGGGACCCACTTGGTCATTATGCCACAGTAATTATTCCGGAATCCACAAATGCTTTGGTAACAATACCATTTGGCGACGCTGTGGCTAGCATCACGCGCAGTCGGTACTTGCCAGGCGTTGAGATGGCTAGGCTGGTGAATTTGGCGGAGCCGCTCATTGCACTGTCGCAAACGCTTGTTGTCAGGCTGCCAGTTAACCCTGTAGCAGCGGCGGTACCAGCTTCGTTCCGTAGGGATGCATTGAGTACGAGGGCATGTACGCTCTGAGAGGGTGTTCCAATTGGACGCACTGACATCGTCACGGGGAGGGTGAAAGTTTGACTGGGGCGCACGGAGGCCGGAGGAGCAACCTCGAAGGAGAGGCTGAACTCGCGAGAAGCCATCTTATTGGATGATCGTATAGATATGGGACGCAATTATTGAGGATGGTCGAGGAAGTAGAGTGCGACTTGGGCTTTCAAGATTCACAAGATCTTTTTTGGATTGATTGAACACCAATGGAGGACGAAGTTTGAAGTATAAGTATGAGATATTCAGAGAAGGGTGGAGAAAAGTAGAAAGTGTAGATTGAGTGAACGGTTGAAGTGATTATGCTTTTGGGAATTGGAGTTTAGGACCAAGTGACCATGAAGATATGAGAAGAATTGACTTGAGAATCTTCATGGAAAGAAGGTTTGTTCGGGCTTCATATAGTTTCCGGCACCAACCGAGACTTCCGATATTGTAGATCTCTAGGATCCATATCTTAGATTAGGTATTGGGTCGCTATGCACACTAGTTGCCACCGGCAAAAGTACCACGCGATTGGCGCATTCGTGACCAGGTTCCTGGGATGGGGCCCATCAAGGCAGCCGTAATACCAAAGGAAATTCATAAATCTGAATTCAGAAATCGTCAATGAGACCAATAGAAAACAAGAAATTAAAGAAAAACGGAAGAGATCTTCCGGCCGAGTCGGGGTTCGCTTGGCAGCTGCAAGAATCCTTGCTGCAGCACGTTCCGGCAAAAGAAACACGAACAGTGGGGGGGGAAGTACGATCTGGTGTTTGATCGACAAGTGCAGGGGGAGAAAACTAGATCTGAGAAGTCCCAAGGTTGCGCTGCAGGAGGATCTGCTGCTAGTGAGTGGATCAGTCTGGAGCAAATAACCGGTTCTCCACACGAGATATCACTTCGTCCTTTCATGCAAGCTGACCGAATCCTCACCCATGGACAGCCTTGTGCAGATTGACACGCGCCTTGGCATGCACGATTGACGTTCCAAGGTGCAGGGGAAAAGAAGATAGGTGGAGTGGGGGCCTGAGGGTTTTGCTAGGCGTAATTTCTTTGTTATTTTTCCAATAGTTCGGTGCACGGATCCGCTAGAAGCTCAACATCGAATCCCGCTCGGCTCCTTTCATGAACCGTCTACGGCCCGTCGCAGCTGTCACAGGGCCCAAGGGAATATTGGTGGCGTGAAACTATGGACTGCTGCTTGCCTCACTTTCAAAAGGTTCATCGAGTTGAACAGCATGTTTTGAGTCATATCATAAATTGGGCAAGTCCACCAATAGCAGTCCATAATAGGAACTGCGGGTTGGACCGCATCAAGGGAGGGATAGAGCAGACCGCAAGATCCTTTGCAGGAATAAAGCCTCTCCTAGGGAGACTGCAAGCCACACCTAACGGTGAACTGTGGCAAGTGGTCCTTGAATGAGTAAGCGATCTCCATTCTGTCGGGCTCCCCGAGACCTTATTTACAAAAGCTTCCAATATTACAAACAGCTACCGGTAACTTCTTGCCCTCTTGAGCTAATACTGCAGCTAACCGCCCAAGAGCCAAAAGGTGTTGCCTGGGATTTGCGACAGAAATCTTTTCTAGAGTTGACAGATCCTATCGATGAGATCACACTAGCCACAGTTTAGCATGATCAGCCTCACCCTTAGCCCGTCCGGGAGAAAGGTCGAGACCTCTCCACTAGGTTCGCTCTGTCCAACCCAGGAGGGGGATCCTGCACGCACCATGTGTGCGCTAGAGCCCTGGACTAGGATCGTGGAATATTTACTGGTCCACGAGGGGAAAACCTTCCACCCTGATACGTGCCCGTGGTTTTCTTGGCGTTTGATCCGCCTCTAAGGTCATGGTACTGGCCTGGACGATCAGTTTGCCGATCTGGCACGGACCAGGAACTAGTTTCCGGATTTGTCCCCGCAGCGGGTGATGCAATCTCTGATCGCATGGTTGCTTAACCCCGAGCACCAGGTTCCCAGTAAATCGGAGGGTTGATGCGGTAGCGGGCAAGATCGTCATCTTCAACAGGGAGGAATATTTTACATATGCAGACTACGCCAAAGCCGGGACAAGTCCCACCAAAAAGAAAAGGGCGAGAAACCAACCTTGTTTTGCAATGATTTATTTTGGGGACCTGCAGTGTCGATCAAATATAAATATGTCCAGGGGCTCGTTCTAGTTCACGGCGGGAGTCAATAGTCGCACCGCCACAACACCAGCCGCAGTCTAAAGTGGCTAATGCAAGGAGTGGCTGGTGAGAACTGTGGCGGTGTGGGCCAAAACTACCCAATCAGGAAGGAGCCATCGTCATCTGATGCCTGAAGCGTGTTTTGGTCTCTATTTTGTCTTTAATCTGTATGTGAGACCCGCTGTTCATCCCGCTCTATTGATGCCCCCAACATGGATCATCCTTGACTCAGATGAGCGGAGTGCAGAGAATGCCCCAACCAAACTTGAATCTTCGTTCATGTGATAGTCATCTTCACCGTTTTATATCTTGTTGCCTACCTCAGAACGGATCTGGGGATATAATTCGAGCAAATAATATGATATATCACTTTGATATCATTACGGAGACCAAGCTCCAGTGGAACCCGGGCGAAAGGATGTACTCGTCGTGGGATGAGGAGTGTTGGGAAGATATCACATTCTTGCATTTCCAAGATTTCATGCAAATCTTGGAAGTGGCTACCGAGAGAAGACAATAACAGAGTCAGATTGGTTTAGTCTCCATGTAGTATCAGTTGGGTCAAAAAAAAAAAACAAAAAACTCCCCATGAAGAAACACCCCCTCAAACCTCGGCCAACGTACTGAGATTTTTCTCAACTTCTCAATACCATAATTTGCACAGGGAAAAGTATCCTTTGACCAAAGCAGCAAGAAAAGGGTACCGCAAATGCTCAAGAAAAGTCTTATCATGGAAAGTCATCATGCGTAGAGAGAATTTGTCAATCGTGCTCCGCGGTGCGCCATCAGTAAGCATCATCCACTTCAGCATGTCCATTGTGTGAGTACCTGTCCGCTTTGCTCTCACGAAAAGATTTTCCTCAAAGGCCCTGATCTCAGCCGGAAGTTTATCAGTAGGTGCTGATGAGCTAGTTGCCCTAAGGATAGCCTGTGACAGCATTAAGGCGTCTTGCATGCCCAAATTGACTCCCTCCCCGGCAAAAGGTGTCATGACATGAGCGGCGTCACCAATCAATGTAATACCAGGGCGGTGTTCCCAGCACCAACCCACAGGAAGCATGTACAATGAGCGAGCTACAATATCATCTCCCTTTTCCACAAAGTCCAGCAACTCGGGATGCCAGTCGTGAAATTCTTCCCTGATAATCTTTTTGATACATTCAGGGCTGAGAATGTCACATGAGCCGGTCTGCATCCAGTCTTCAGGCCTTTGGCTCCAACAAGTTATATATAAGCTACCATCTCCGATCTGCTGACTGAAAATTGCCCGATGATCGGAGAGAGAAAACAGCGAGCCCCGATTGGTGTGTTCGTAGCATTTGGGGGCTGTTTCTTTGGCATTGGGGATATTAAAATCATATCCACCGATACCGGAATACACTGGCTTTTGATCTGACAGCAAGCTGCGGACTTTGCTCCAGGCACCATCTGCCCCCACCACCAAATCAAATCCAGACTCGATGCCGTGGTCAAAAACCAAGTCGTGGTTTTCGTCGATTGCGCGCAGGTGACAGCCCCAACGAATCATCTCCGAGGGGATAGAGTCTAGTAAAATCGCGCGGAGGGCTGCTCGGTCGATTTCAGGACGACCGCGAGAGGATTTTCCCTCTGCACCGGACAGACGGACGTACTTTTGGAGCTTCTTATCGCAGAAAGTTAAGGCTTCTCCATCGTAACGGGCATTTTTCGTGAATTCCTCCCACAGGCCTGCTTGTTTTAGGGCCTCGAGACCTGTGTCTGGATGCAGATCAAGAGTTCCACCTTGACTGCGAGAATTGCGCGACCCATCTGATTCAAACACGACCACGTTGAGGCTGGGATTGTTGAGAAGCAGCCGGGCGAGCGTTAGACCGACAGGCCCAGCGCCTATAATTGCAATTTGAACATGCGACATGGCAAAGGGACCTTGTGAGGCAATTGATTGGGTAAGTATTAGGTAGACAGTGTTGGTGGTGAATAGTCAAATTTTATTGCTGCCTAGGTACCCGGATTATAGCTCTCTTTTATATTCTTAGCTAACCCATCGTGGCCCCGGGGGCTGTTGACCCATGTTGCTGAAGCATTCAGAGGCTGGCATAAGTGCCAAGCAACCGGGGAATAATTCCACAACTGGGTACCTGAGCGAATAAGCCGTTCTAAGATCCCTGATTTTGGGCGGTCCGCAAGGCAGAAGAACATCTGGAGTTGGATATGAAGTGCTCGGAGTCGGCGTGTCGGGGCCGACTTTCGGGGTTTTACTTGGTAAAAGCCGGGACCATGCCCCTTAATAATTCTGCATCAGCACGCTACACCACTACTGATCAATCCAGATGTGTACTTTTTGACATTCAACATTTTTTCGTCTTTCAAAGGCTCACTAAGATTAGCTTGGACCTTGGAATTTCTGTACTCGTTTGAGTTTGGAGGTATATGGATAAATTCATTTAACGTCTACCCCGGCTTCGGCTTTAGGCTTAGCCGACGGGTAATATGCACCCTCATGTGGATCGTTGCATCATGTGGGGTATCGTCCGATTTTGGAATACTATGCGAGACCATCGAGGAGGAGATTTGCAGGGTATCGTCCGATTCTGGAATATTATGCGAGACCATCTGAGGAGAAGGCTTGCAGGGTATCGTCTGATTCCGGAATATTCTGCGAGACCATTTGATGAGAAGGCTTCAGTCCGCTGGTAGCTGTTGGAGCTGGGCCAGGAAGTCCGTATCCAAGTCTCCGTCGTAAAAACCTAGATTTTGCGCGAAAGAAGGCTCTTGTCTAGGAACTAATTAGTAAAAGTACAATCCCGGGGGAAGAGTGTAAATACCTGCTGGTAGGGAATGATATAACCATTTCTTCAAATAATGCATCGTATATTTCGGCGTCACCTGGCCTGGCAAGGGAGTGCGATGTTGGGAATTCGGCGGATGCCGAGAGACTTGGCAGACCCAGGACAGATGATGTCTGTTGAGGCTGGAAGGTAGTCGATCTAGTTGAAGTATGTATATCTTCAATGCTAGGTACTGGTACCGGCCCATTCAGAACCCCGGGTGGCCGGGTCCCTTGCCCACTTGAGGGCATCGGATTCAGGTGTTCAAGGTGATTATTCCACTCGTAGGGGTCTGCTTTAAGAGGGCATAAAAACCTGGAAATGCGAGTTCGCATCGCTTCTTTTCCGGGAAAATTTGAAAAGTCGAGACATTTTTGGCATTGGAGTGCAAAGCAAAGGGTGAGCGGCGAGGAGCCGACTGCACCGGTTGTCTCACGATAATGATCAAGAGTATCGAGTATAAAATTAATAGTGCTAACGCATAGGTCGGTAATCCTAGGTGAGACCGGCTCAAACCTACGGCACAATGACAGTGTTGTAAATGCTGATGTAAGGTGAAGAATCAAAAGAGGAGGGCTGGCATGGATTCGTCTGTCGTAGGAATGGCTTCGTGAGATGATGCTCTGTTTTTGTCGTAAATCATGCAGAAGATCTCCAACGCGAGAAACATCTAGGGGCTGATATAATATTTGGCATAGGTTCTGCATGAGCTGCTGAACAAGATTGAATGTGCTCAATGCTCGCAATGGACTGGATGGTATTCTCCGTCCTGATGCGTCCGCACTAGGGCGAGATGGAGACCAGACATCCCACTCCTCCAAATCATCCTCTTCCACCGGGACACATGCTGATTGCTCTTCTTGAGAAAAACAAGGAGCCCGGCCCAGCAAGGCCGATAGAATGTTGTCTAGAAGGACACACCCATTAATGGTATGATTCAAACGAGCCTTCCCTGTTGACAGGGGTAAGGTGGCTAGCATTCTCGAGGCTTGACCAACAAGCGTCCAAGCTTGGCTAATATTTGCCATAGCGATATGTATTAAGGCAATAATCAACATAGCCTGGATATGACCCACGTCCAGACTGTCCCATCGTGCCAAAGTCTGTTGCTCAATGGTGAGCTGGAGAGAAAACAAGTGCAGCGCCCCAGTATTAGGAATTCCCTTCATAGCAGATGCATAGGTGATCAATGACCATAGTACCATGTGAGATGAAGAATCTTGAGAGGGATGGCCATTGCTCTGGTGCATAGCGCGTAGGACCGAACGGCGTTCGAGTATAGGAAACCAGCAATGTGTATAAGTGAAGTAGAAGTCCACCAGGTCAGATGTGTTTTCTGGTATTTGAGCTTCAGTAAAGTCTTGAGGCTGTTTTATTGGGTTTGGGAGCTCTTGAATGGTCTCAGGTATGTTGTGTTCTGGATTTGATAATGTGGTATCAAGATCATCGAGAGGTCCTTCTTGGTCCCGCGGCTCCACCGGCTCCCACTCCTGATCATCGAAAGCGCTATCCTCGGATCCAGAGGTAAGCAGTTGGGAAATATCTCGGTGGAGCTTGGACTTTCGCCAAAAAGAGGCTGACTGGTTCCCAAGCTTGCTCGTCAGGAAATTGCCATTGCCCCGCGAATCTCGGAGTAGATTATGCATTGGACTCTCGCTATTCGGAACATTTTTGAGCATAAAACCCAGAAATATCTCCAGGCTGCGCACATAGCCAGATGGTAGCCCACGTCGACCCCCTCCTGCCTCGTAGGTGCAACCTCGATTGGCCTGGCTGCAGATGGAGCATACGGGTTGTTCTCCATCACACTTAGACTTGCGTCGACGGCACTGATCACAGGCACGATAAATGCGCTGCCGCTTCAACGAGCGTGGGTTCGACATCACGATGCATCTCAATCATGACTTTAAGCATATACATCTGCGCATTTGGAATCTTCGGGATCGAGCGTGGCGATACTCACGTGATCGGTGACGACTTTATCCGAAGGGTTACAATACGATATCCAACGGCAAATGCGTTGGCAAAGACGGCGAAAACCTACTATGATTTCCACGAGTGCAGAACGAGATTTAATCGGAAAAAATGATAGGATGATGTCCTTCAGGCAACAGTCCTTATACACACACACACTATCTCCAACTCTTTATCAACCCCACCAACGTTCAAGCAGCTGAATGAAGATTCTTCAGCTTCATCATTTCTTCTCGAGAGGTAGCACCTGCTATATCAAAAGTCAATTTCAAGATGAATTCTGTTGTCGGCTCGGCTACTCATGGGAATTCCGAATGTCCTCCCTTGGGGGCCACAGATGAGGCTCGAAGATTCCATCGAAACTATGATCCACATGCTACGCTTTTGCTTGTAGGATTCTTCGGTGCCGGCAAGAAAACACTGGGGATTATAGCGTCAGTCGCCTTGAGACGACGCTTCATAGACTTCGACTTCTATTTCAAGCAAGAAGTTCAATCCTCGCCACAAGAGTTCATTGCTTGCCACGGGCTGGCCCAATATCGCGAGCTCGAGCTGAAGATATCGCAAGAACTCCTCACCAAATACGATAAAAATTGTGTCATAGTTGGCCTCGGAGGGTTTGCCAGTCGCCCCCAACAGACGCTTCTGGCCGAGTTTGCCCAACGGCATCCCATTGTATATGTGAGACGAGATGAGCAAGACCTGCGGCAATTTGTCACCACTAGTCCGGAGAAATTCGATCGAATATTCGAATTGGGCAATGAGTTCTTCGAGTCGTGCTCCAACTTTGACTTTTTTAACCTCACTCAGGGACAGCCTGATCAGGCCCTGCCGGCGTACCTCAAACTCAAGGAAACAGAGCGTCTGGTCGTAGCATTTCTACGTCGGATATTTGGAAATTTTTCCCCTCAGACATTCTCCGCGGACCTGTTCTCTCCATCACATACCTTTTCTTTGCAAGTATCTCTATCCTGGCTGGATGAGAAAAGTCCGGATTTGGACTTATTAGAAGGTGGTGCCGACGCTATCGCTCTAGTAATTACGCCCCAGGATATACATTCGACTCGAATGGCAGTTAGGCTATCTCGGCAAATCGCAACTCTGCGAAAGCACTCTCGCGTTGCAATAATTATTGATGTGGCGGCAATCTCCTCCAAATCACTGGATTCCAGGACTCATGAGAAAATACTGGAAATGATTGTTCGCCTTGCTCCTGACATCCTTGTCATACCGCTCGACTGCAGTGCTGAACTTGTGGCAAAATTGAACTCCTCAAAGGGGTTTACCAAAATCATTTCTGATTTTCATGAGAAAACTCCAGTGGGATCACACCGAAATCCTCTCACGCCTTCGATTCTCCGTGAACGGACACGATCATTGCAACTTGATGCAATTCGCATCACTGGTGAATCCAAATTTCCAGAAGATAATCTTCAATGTGTTCCCTTTATTAAAGAGGCAGCCACCATCATGGATGTTCCTGTCGTTGTATATAACACGGGACCATTCGGCCGGACCTCAATTTGCTTGAACCCTACTTTATCACCAGTGTTCCCACCATCTTTGCAGTCCGATGGACTCACTGTGCAGCAAGCGCAGGAAGCAATGACTGCATTTTTCCTTCTTCCCAAGAAGAAGTTCACCATCTTTGGACAGAGTGTAAAGTACAGTCTTTCGCCAGAAATGCACCATGCAGCATATAAATATTGTGGACTACCATATACCTACGACACGATGCAGGCTGATAACATTTCTGCGGTTCATGAGATTCTCTATGATGCAGACCGTGGTGGTGTCACTATCTCTCTTCCCTTCAAATCCGCAATCTTGCCTTTCATTGATGAGATCACCCCAGATGCAAACGACATGCAGGCTGTGAATACAGTTGTCGTAGAGCAAAAGGTCCAGCCTGATGGGTCGCGGGTCACCATCCGGAAGGGTTACAACACCGATCACATCGGTATTAGAGATTGCATTGACAAACATCTCTCTCCAGCCAACGCAGTGCGGGATGGAACCACAGCCCTGATCGTAGGCGCTGGAGGAATGGCCCGCGCAGCGATCTATGCCTGTTACGAGCTCGGCGTTCAACGGATTTGCATTTATAATCGCACGCCCGAGAATGCGCAAAAGCTCGCAGACTATTGGAACAAGTGGACTCAATCCAAGCCTGGTGTTAATTTACAAGTTGATATTCTTCGGTCAACAGATTCATGGCCCGCAGATCTCCGGTTACCAACCATCGTCGTGCCCTGCATTCCACCCTTCCAAATCGGTAGTGAGCACCCGGTGGTATTTCAAATTCCGGACCAGTGGCTTGAGAGCCGGACAGGCGGTGTCTTTGTCGAGGTAAGCTCTTTCATCATGTTTATAATTTAAGTCAAAAACTGATCTTTGCCTAGGTTGCTTATGGTCCTTTCAAAACGGAACTAATGGAGCAGATGCTTCCTCGTGCATCGAAAGGCTGGGTTGTTGTGAGTGGGCTGTTGGTTCTGATTGAACAAGGCATCGCCCAGTATGAAATGTTTACGAAGCGGCCTGCACCGGTCCATGTTATGCGACGTGTGATTCGGGAACAATCCATCAAGTATGGATTTGTTCATCAATGAGTCTGCTCCCTGCGATAACGGCCAATCTATTGTGTACTGTACAGTAATGGCAATTCCAATGTTGAGATAGCCATTCAAGACGAATAATTGAAATAAAACCTTTTAGAAATTCAAATGCGTCATTAGGATGTCAGCACACGGGTATGACCTTGACCGAGAGCGAGGGAAAAGCTTTAACCTACCCGAGGCTATCAGGTTTAACAACAGCTTTAAAGAATGTAATCTTTGCGTGAAAATGATCGACCAGAAGCCCGATTAAACAATACCACCGTTCCATATTTCGGTATACAAGATGACTTACCAACCCGCTATCATGAGTGTGTCCCTCGGGCGTGCTTGGTTGCACGACCTCGACTACAAGTTCGATCAAGCCGCCAAAGCGGGGTTTAAAGGTATCGAGATCTTCTACGAAGATTTGGAATACGCCGCGCGCAAGATCTCAGGAAACGATACACCAACTTCTGAGCACATTTTGCAAGCATCGGAACATGTCAGTTCCGCGTGTCAAAGCCGTGGTCTCGATATTATCGGACTTCAGCCATTTCTGTTCTACGAAGGTCTCAAGGACAGGGATCAACATGCGAAGTTAATCGAGAAGATGAAGCTCTGGTTAAAGATTGCAAAGACTCTTGGCACAAATACAATTCAAATCCCTGCCAACTTCCTACCGGCTAAGCAGTTGACCGGTGACTTTGATATCATCGCTGCCGACCTGCGCGAAGTGTCAGACATGGGTGCCGCAGTCGATCCTCCGGTGCGCTTCGCATATGAGAATCTGTGCTGGAGCACACATGTCGATACTTGGGAGAAGGTGTGGGATGTAGTCAAACGTGTTGATCGTCCGAACTTCGGAATGTGTCTTGATACTTTCAATATTGCCGGTCGGGTATGGGCGGATCCGGCTTCTCCGACAGGCAAGACGCCCAACGCAGATGCCGATCTGAAGGCTTCAATGGAGAGACTAGTGAAGGAAGTCGATGTTGCGAAGGTTTTCTATATGCAGGTTGTTGATGCTGAGCGCATGGAATCACCTCTTGTTCCAGGTCACCCCTTCCACGTGGATGGTCAACCGGCGCGGATGAGCTGGTCGCGAAACGCGCGGACTTTTATCTATGAGACGGACCGTGGAGCTTACATGCCGGTGGAAGATGTAGTCAAAACAATCATTTTTGGGCTCGGATATAAAGGTCCTGTATCTATGGAGCTGTTCTCCAGAACAATGTCGGACGAAGGCCAGCACGTCCCTGATGAGCATGCGACCAGAGGGATTGCGGCATGGAAGAAGTTGAAAGAGAGATTAAACTTGAATTAGACAGAGACGCAAACAAGATTTAATCACAAATTCAAAGACATGTGCAGGTCTTAAAAATACGTGTCCAGTACACATTTCACAATTTTCAAGCCATCATTTCATGTCTGTTTGCATCTATACATCAATGGTCTTCCCATCCAGCCAGTCCTTAGACAATTTATATAGAAGATCATGCTTGTCTCCGCAGATAGTTCCAACATGTCGCCTGTGTCCTGGCATATCCATCAACACCTTCACACCCATAGTGAGTTCTTGGCAGTACGCCAGACATTTATACCCTTCGGGGTAAGAGTTGAGCTTCTCTTCGTCCACCCGGGGGATCTTGTTTGGGCTGACAGGAATGAGCTTATCCTTCTCATACCAGTGACGAACAAACCGAGCTCCCCAACGTCCGTCGACCTTTTCGAAGCAGAACCAGAACCGGCAATCAGCTTCGGCATCAACTTCGCAACCGTCAATGGTGAACCGCTGAGTGATGGTCGCCTTCAATTTGGTGATGGCACGATTTCCATCAGGTGTAATATCGGTTGTCACTCCGTGGCAGCGGTGCATGATGAAAGCACCCTTGTCCATGCCGGCCTTGGAAACTTCCATGAAGTCCTTGTAGTGCACACGGCCAGACCAGGTGGTATATACATGCGCGTCTTCATGGAAGATTGATTCGAAGTTCTCCCATTCACAAGCGTCGCTGATTGGTATTGTGAGAAACTGTCTGTCTTTTGACTGGATAGGTTTACGTACCGGTAGCACGGCCAACCCTCTGCGAGTTCACGCAGCTTAGCGCGCTCGAGCACCAAGTTATCCGGGCCATTGTTGCGAATGGCGTTTTGCGGCCAAGTACCCGCAGGCAGAGAATGTAGGTCGACCATTATGCTTTGAATTTCTGATTTATTTCCACTCAGTAACAAGAAACCCCTGGTCTATATATCCCTTTTGCGGGGGTTATCCGAGGATCGGATTATCCGCTATCGATCGGCAAATGTCTCTACCGACGAGATGTATCGCCACCCCGCATCTACCGATGGCGGGGCGACGTGGACTAAGACGGGGTCGACTCACGGGTTCATAATTCAAGCGTGCAACCAGAAGACGGGTCATTTGAACTATCGAGAAGATCTCGAGTACGCGATAAGCTTGGAATCAATTGATCTGTATAATGTTGTTTTCTCAATTTACTAGAAGTTGATTCCTGTGCTTTCCTCCGCAGCCTTGAGAAGAACATCCCATGCGCCCTGTCGATCCAACTTCTTACAGAGTTCCTCCCCGGCCCATAACCGCCATTGCTCTTCAATCTGATATCCAATGACATGGGTTCCTTCAACGCAAGGCCATTCCAACTGCTCTGCCAACTTGATCATCCGAGTTCTTCTCGGCTTGAAACACATATCAAGCAACACTCCCTTCTCCGCCCGCGAAAGGAAATGCTTCAACATAGAAGCAACCTCAAGCTCAGATGGTGACTTGGGCTCAAGATCCGGCACAGTGCCAACGATATAGTAAGGACTCGGCAATTTCTCTGCTTGCTCCAATACCTTGACATGAATGATGTTTGGAGTATTTGGAAGCTTTTGTGAATCTCGAATGAGATTGACAACCTCATCCTCATCACGATTCAGAACATAGATCGTGGGACAGTGGAGGTGCTCTGTAAGAGCATAGACGGCCGCGCGGCTTGCTCCGCCAGCCCCAACGATCAAGGCCGATGCGGGGGATGCTGCAGATGGCCTTCCCTCCTCTGGTCCTTTCTCTAAGAGACAGCCTTTGACTCCTCGCCAGTCCGTATTGGTACCGCAGAGCCGTCTGGGATTGCCATTCTTGTAGTAAACATTATTGCAAGCGCCGATCATGGTCGCTAGCTCATCCCGCTCACAAAGATGCTCCAGGATGATATTCTTGTAGGGCATCGTGACAACAAGACCAGCTGTGGTAGGGCTCTTGGCCAGATCGACAAGCTCTTCTGTTGTCGGGCACTCGGTCGCATAGAAGGTCCATGGAAGACCGAGCGTTTTTGCGATATAGTTGTGCATATTAGGTGCAATTGAATGTGTGACGCCAACTCCAACAAGGTGTAGGGCCATATCTTGTTGTTGCCACATGATTTCAGTGATGCGGACTCTGGAAGAATGGGCGCGATTGTGATTATTGATGCGCCTGGTAATCTCCAGCTACAATGGCTGACAGGAGAAGCTTCTTAATACAGTGGGGATCGAATCGGGAAACGGACTTGATCATATCCGGCGTGAAGTTGTTTACTGCGGTTCGACTTGTCGAGGGGTGATTTAATCAAGGCTAAAACCATAACCGAAGCGGACCCATTGTTTAGATCATGTTGGAGTCGATATTGAAATGTGGTACACCATTACGCACAAATATTGAGCTGTTGTGCTGCAATTATTCTCAGCTCAAACTTCCCTCCTGCACAGATCCCTACGTAAATAATGGCCCAGCAAAGTAATCCAGCTGTAGCCAATTCACCCACCGACTTCCACATCTTCGGCAGTGGAATCTCGTTCAGCATTTCACCAACAATTCACAATGCTGGCTTCAAACATTATGGCCTACCCTTCACCTACGATATCCGCGAATCGCCAAGCATCGATGAAGTTGCAGGATTGATTCTCGACAAACAATTCGGTGGCGGAAGTGTGACTATGCCACACAAGTTACATGTCCATAAGTACTGCACCGGACAGACTGATACAGCCCGATTGATTGGCGCAATCAATACACTTGTGATCAAGGGCAGTGGTGAAAATCGTACGATCCTTGGCGACAACACCGATTGGTCTGGACTACATACCATCATTGCCAGTTACTCGACGAAAACAAAGCAACAGCCAAATGCTGGACTGGTCATTGGCGCCGGGGGTGCATCCAGAGCTGCACTGTACGCAATGTATAAAGCTGGCATCGAGCACATCTACGTCACTAATCGTACAGCGTCCGTGGCTGAGAAAGTGAAGAAAGATTTTGCACCCGCGTTTGATATCACCATCCTTCCAAACCTGCAAGATCTACCTCGCATGCCCGACGTCGTCATTGGAACTGTTCCTGCACATGTCACAACCGAAGATCAATTTGGCTCGATCTTCGGGCTCAAGGGCCTTTGCATTGAGATGTCCTACAAGCCCAGGCAGACACCACTTTTGAACGTGGCACTAAGACACGAGGACTGGGAATCCGTTACTGGAGTCGAAGTGCTTTTAGCTCAGGCATACGACCAATTCAAACTCTGGACTGGTCTTGAGCCCCCTAAAGACAAGATGGTGGAGGCCGTTGCTGAGCATGAGCGAGAGAAGGCACAGAAGGAAAAGGCCGGAATGCTATAGAGAAGGGTAATGCTCTAGAGAGTTTCGCTAGATAGATAATGTCAGACAAATTTCGGGACCATAACACTTTCCTGATTTTCTCAATTCAAAATTCGTGTTGATTTGGAGCCATGTTCATTGAACACAATGTTTATAGATCCCGTCAAACTTGGAAGGTATTGGGGAAGGTGCTTTCTCTCTTGAGAATCGTGGACAAGAGTTTCCAGCCATATTCGAGTTCACATTTGATTTCCTTCTGAAGTCATGTTCGATATTCTTACTTGTCGCTGAGAGGACAACGCGCTCCACAGATGGCACCTGTATCGATTCGACAGAACCACTCATTTGCTCCTCCTCGCCCCCAGAAAGGGCCATCCACCAAACCAATCAAAACGGATGCCCGCATTGATCCAATAATTTTCGTGGAGCTATTTGCGGGAACCGTGGGGATATTCATTCTGTCTGTTCTGATTTGGAAGGCTGGGAATTTTATTCGCTCGTTTACAGAAGGCAAGGTGCTAGCAGAAGGGAAATCTTCACAGATTCGATTTGCAAAGACATGGTACGGCTGGGTCACCCTTGAAACCCGCGAAAAGCAAAGACTGTTCTTCCGCAGATTATTCGCCAGGGTACGAGAATGGACGATTTGGGAAACACCGAGAACGGAGTTTCAGTGGATATGGTGGGACCCTGGCCAGGAGGCCCTTCAGGCTCGACGCAAGGCTCGACGACGGGAGAGATGGTTGCCAAAGTTTTTGTTGAGCTATGAATCACCCCCAGCGGATGCGATCTGGAATCCGGGCCCACGAGCAGAGTGTCACGGCGCATTACTCCAGTTTCCGGAACACGATCAAGTTCTGTTGGCAGAAATACCAATGGTTCCCCTTGAGGAGAATTCCGATCCGCCTCCACATCACTACTGCAGAATCTCCGGTAAAAAGGAGAGCATGGTGTTGTTGTTGGCACCAGAAGCACATAGATACAGACATTCAGGAATCAGCCCTGGGACATCCGAAGAAAGAATGGAAAATATTGTCTGGTGTGACGCAAGGACAAACGTCTACTCATCAACTGCATCTCTTGATGATGAAAAATGCTCGACCTTGAAAGGAAATACTGTTACCAGGCGGGAAACATCTCTGTGGAGACATTCAACTCGCAATGAAGATACCTCGCATCTGGTACAGTTTGATGGCTCCGGCGGCCCTAGGGTAACCAAGCACCTACCAGCTGTGCACCAAAGGGACGAGGCCTTAAGGGACCCTGCACGCCGAACAGCACCAAAATTTCGTCGTAGAAACGCTCGAAGACATCAAATCTGGGCTGCTAAGATGCAGGTCAAAGCCGCGAAGTCAGTGTTGGATGATCTGCGAGACTCATCCGGTCCTCCTGGAACACCGATTACAGATATGTTGGCTAGTCTGATCTCAGAGCAAGGTGTCTCAGAGCAGGGTCTGTCAGAAGGCGTGTCAGGGGGACAGATAAAGAAAAGTGGCCAGCGCTTGCAAAAATCTATTGGGAATATCTCGCTTGCGTTCCAACCACGCATTGTGAGGAAAGGAATTTTGTTATCTGAAGATAACGTCGCCAATGAAAGAAAGCACTTGTATCATACCGTACCATCGCGGCTTAACCAAATACTCGAGGTACCACGGGACTCAGGAAATATGTGGCACTCCGTTCATGATTCGCTGAATGCATGTGCCAGACATACTGTCTTTGACATCTGGCAAGACCAAGAAAGCCACCACTCGAAATACTCAGAACATCGACTTTCGCAGTATCAAATTTTAAGGGACAGCAGCACAGCTGATGACGAGCCGAGTGACTGGGAGCTGAAGCTGATAGATAAATTAGACCGAAAACTGATATGGGTCTTCAACGAAACGACACCTGGTCAAAAGCCGTACCACTTCACCTTGCTCGCAAACCACTGGTTGAACCGAGAGACTTGGGTAGTAATTGACCCCGTCTCAAGAGTCTCAAACGATGCACGAAGAAATCAGGGCGACCCACGCTACAATTTCCCCTACCCGGGGCCAGACCTGAGACACAAGCCGAAGTACCCCGATATTGTACGGAAAAAAGCATATACCCCCCGAATCGACTGTTGGCGCGCCGCGGTGAATCAACAGAGAAGGGTTTCTGGAGTTCCCGATATCATACGCCCAGTAGAACTTTACGAGGACTCTGCGGAAGAGCCACCGGACGGGCATATTGACCCCGCCTGCTGGATCCTGCCAAAGCCGCCACAGGGATTCGAGATGTCAACCAAGCAAAAAACCGCATGGTACGAAGGAGGCGCAGGATGGCAAGAACAGCTTGATGACTGGCAGAGAGTTCGTCGAGGATATCGTCTTCGTAAAGCCCTATTTGAGGGCCGGGTCAACCGGAATCGATTGAAAGAGGTCGCCACAAATGTCAACAAATATTGTCGCCGTGCATCGTTGAAGGTGATCAACCGGGAAGTTCACGAAAAGCCACAACCAACCTAAACCGTGTTTCGAGTTCGCCAAGAGCGGCGGCTCTTGTCCATTCGTTCATAGTATGAAGGAAGGATCTGACGTGTAGTCTCTTCTTGTCTGATATCGTTACCTAACATGACCATTTTTCCTATTCATAGAAGCTTCCCAAGGGCTGAATGCTGAAGTGACATTCCTTTTTGAACAATAATTGAATTGTGAGAAAAAATTTGATCTAAGCGCTGGGTAATAGAACATGTGTAAATGGCGGCATCCTCTGTCAGAGCGGCCGCGTTTTCGCAATTGCCAAAAACTCCGGATCTTTCCAATGTTGTTTGAGCCCCGAGCAGCCATTGAATGCAATGATAGCGGCGAAGCGTCGGGTGTATAATACAAATCTGACTCGAGTTCCCGTATTGGCGAGCCGTAGAGGGTATTTCGGTTATAAAAGTAGGGGAAGTCGACTCGATGAAGATTTAGAATCCAGGAGGGTTCACACGCTGACTGACACGAGTCCACTTGGGCAGCTCTGCAAAGAAAAAGAAAGATGTTAGAACAGCCCGTAATATACCACGATTGTATCGAAAATGCAGTCCAGGAGCCGGCATACTGTGAATGCTCTTCCGGTAGTTCTTCTCCTTCTTGTCGAAGAGAGTGTACTTGTCCTTGGGCAGCATCTCCTCCTCACGGGGCATCTCCCTGTACCACCGCTCGACAGCCTTGGTATTCTGACCATTCCGGGCGAGTGCGGCACTGACGGTATCGACGACGCGGTCCACAGCGCGCAAGCGCTTGCGCTGCCGGGCCTTTTGAGGCGAAGAGAGGCGCCACGGGGTCTTCCTGTTAGTCGGAAAAGAATTTTGTCAGTTTCGAAGGCGTCACGGGACTGATCGGACGTGTATCATACCAAAGAAGACCTCCAAATAGGGACTGGGTGGGCTTGAACATGTTGAGGTGATGATGCTGAGAAATGTTGAATCGGCGAAAATCGTGCTCGAAGTCGGAGTTGCAATTGGCCCGTGCGGTCGGTCGTATACTTTGTAGCAACACCATTTACTGTCAACAATTGACACCAAAATACTCGTCCGTTTGGATGGTAAACTGTCTAGAATACATACTAAGACTCACAGTTTGGTATTTAACAAATATTATTACATATTAATGACCAGAATGCCATGACTTTTGGTCCTAAATTTTCACGACTTACCCCGGGTTCAGTCATGTGATCCCGATGGATGAACGTATTTTGCCGGGAAGTGATCTTCTACTTTCCTCTCCTCTTTGCTCAGTTCTGTCTGAATTGACCAGGCAAGGCGCTCTTTGACCAAAGTTGCTTGTCTCTTGCCCGTCTGGGCCCGATATATGGATTTTTTTTAGAGTCGCGTCCTTCCATTCAACACTATGGACTCCGACGCGACGGGTGATTCCCCGTCTCTCCCTTGGCGGGCAATGTCCAACACGACGATGTGGGGTGTGGCCGGACTATGTCGCGCCTTCTTGTCGGGCCTGTGTAATGCTGATGCGCATGGCGTTGAGGCTTTCACGGAGTTGTTGGACTCGAGGCGGGATCTATCGCAAAGAACGAAAGGTTTAATCACAGGTACTTCCCCACCATTCTGTTTCAGTTGAGTCGGTGCAATTGCTAATTAATTTGCTATCACGTTAGTATCGAACCATATCAGTGTGTACGTTTCATTCAATAGCCTCAACGATGGGATGCCTCGGTACATATTAGCACACGAAAACAGCTGACAGCCTGTTGGGATTTACAGTATGGACGATCCGTTGTTATGGGGGATACTACCTCCTCGATTTTGGAATAAACGGTGGTCTTTCGGTAGCCACGATATCTGTTACCAGACCAGGTGCGCCCGGAGAGCTGAAATCTGGCTGGTGATCTATTACTGACCAGAGACACTGCAGACCACTGTCGTTTTTCTTTACCATGGGACAAGTGTTACCAACACACCGTCTCCTTCATTCACCATTCGGTGGACTCGGCCAACCGGCCATCACTGAGGCTATTCGATTATTGTCAAAGGGTCCCTTCCCCGTCGATCACCACCGCGCTGCCCCCGAACTTCAGCACTACAGCCTCCAAAACGTCTGCGTTGATCCCTTCTCCGACCTGTCCGTCGCATATACTACCAACGGGGACGATGCGCATCTAGCGCCTTCCGCATATTCATGCAATTCATATTCCTGGGTTCACATCTTCCCCGAAGGCAAGATCCATCAATCTCCGCGCAAGACCATGCGATACTTCAAATGGGGTGTTGCACGGCTCATTTTGGAGGCAAAGGAGTGTCCGGACGTGGTTCCGATGTGGATCGAAGGATTCGATCAAATTATGCATGAAAGTCGAGAATTCCCTCGATTCCTGCCTCGGCCAGGCAAGAAGGTCGATGTAACTTTTGGTTCGAAAGTCGACACTGAAGCCGTCTTTGGGGACATGAGATCGCGCTGGCAGAAGTTGAAATCCAAGGTGGAAGCCTCGGATCCCAAATCTCGAGACCTGCCTGTCGGTGTACTGAGTGACGAGCTGTTGCACAATAAGGAAGCTGTGGAGCTACGCAAGGAAGTTACACTGAAGATCCGCAACCTTGTACTGGATGTACGCAAATCCCGTGGCTTGCCAGACGAAGACCCTAAGGAGGGACTTGTGGAGACATGGCTTGAGGAAGGCCCTAAGCGAGAAGGGCATATGAAAGACGACTCGTGGGTTAGAGATATCTGATCCAAAACTGTATATCAACATGTAAATAGTGTACAAGATTCAATAGATTTTATGGTTCAAGATAGCAGGTTTCATAGCTCAAGTTTGAAGAAATCCCTGGAAATAAAGAGCGCCTGAATGACTACAACTCAGGTGCTTTGAAGCCTTGGTTAATCATGTATCTCACCTACCAGGACATAGTTTCGCCTGTGGAGACATCGTCTTAAGTCAACTTATTTTTTACTACTGACCTGACAGAGCAGGATCGAAGGAAGTAGACATTTATTATTCCCATGAAGGTGATTTTCCCTTTCCCGTTGCTTTGCATATACTTTCCGGCGGAAATACACCGCCAGTCAAACATGTCAGCACAAGGCGCTGAGCGAAGCCAGAGGGTGGAACTAAAGGCGAAGGATCATGTCTAGCGCGTAGTTCTTTATAGCACATGACTCACATGTGACTCACCCTGGCTCTGGGAGATTTAGAATGTGGGGGCGGTAGCGATAAGGCTGGATGATCGGGTATATTATCTCATAGCCTCGCCTCCGCAACACATAATCCGGTTAGTTTACCTGTGTAAGAAAGTCCGGTCTCTATGCCAAAAAAGCACAGGACATCGTTATATACAAAACCAACAAATACACCGCATCATACACTCGCATCGTCAAGAGCGAATGACAATGGTCGGTTTCAAGTTGTCAGTCCCACGAGGGCGCAGGCCTCTACGGACGATTCATCAGTCAATGGCCTAATCGACCATTTACGGCGTACACAAGGGAATATCTCAGGAAACTCTTCTTCCGGCTCACTTCGCTCCTTCACATCGCAGAGATCTGTGCCACCAGCTTTGCGCAACATTCTCGAGCTTCCTGAGCCTTCACAACCGCGCCCTCGGCCTAACGCAGGTACTCTGATCGGTGCGCGCCCGCCTCGTAGGGTTCCAGGTCCTCCGCCACCGACAAGTTGGCTCACAGGGGACACTGATGGGGCTCAAGACTCATCCACAAATGCCGAAGCCGATAATATGAACAACCTTGAACAAATCCACCGTCTACAAAGACTACCCGGGGCTGCCTTCCCAAGACAAGACAGTCTCCAACATGCTGTTCTGGCTTCAATGGCCCAGAACTGGGCATGGCACGTGGAATATGATGGTCCTTATCTGTCTCAGCTGCCTAGACATATCAAGGTGGCCATTCTCAGCTACGTGGCTCAGTTTAGCCAGGAAGAGCCGCTGGCACATTACATGAACGGACTCACTGCACTTTTCCCGACAAGGGCAGAGTTGGAAGGCAGTGTGGTTCACACTCCTAACACAGATTTGATGCCTGAACGGCTCGACCTGAGCAATGCTCTAGGCCGCTGGTTGTCGTTCAAGAAGCTAGACAAAACCCTGCGGGTTACCCACCCAGCAGACCTTGCATCTAAAAATGCAACCGAGGAAAATGTACCAGATTCATGGGATGGCACCGAATATGAGACTGAACATATTGATATTCCCCGTTCCATGGGCCAACAAATGCGCTTTGAGAATCTGAAATACCTCTCTTTCGCGCACCCGCACAGTTATTCAGCCAGCTGGCCTGAGCTTGTGACATTACTCTCTGATTTACCAACCATTACTCATCTCTCTTTAGCCTACTGGCCCTGCCCAAGCAATCATCCCTATTTGCTGGTGCCCTCCCTGATGCACTCTCTAGCGGACCGCACCAGCCCATCATCATACGAGGCAGCCGGAATCCTCCGCCGGCTCTCTCGCAGCACCTTCTGTCTTAAATGGCTGGACCTGGAAGGATGCTCTGACTGGATCCATCTACTACCAATGTGGACAGAATATCCCGAAGGACGAAAAGACCCTGTGGAATACGGCCCTGAGTGGAACCACTCCTGGCGAAACGTGGTTTCGCTCAACCTCGCACCTGGTTGGGAAATCAAGGTTCCAGATGAGCTGAAGGACCATGTCCCAGGATCAACAATCTCACCTGTTCTTGAGCCGGTCTTGCGTGAATATCGGAGGGATGTCGACAAATATGGGGCTGGCGTATACAGGGCCTTGTCGGTGCATCAAGATATCCGCACGTATCGAGCAAATGACCGTGGAAAGGCAGTGCAGGCTGAAACTGGAAAAGAAGGGCTGGACCGGGCGCGGACCCTTCTCAAAGGCATGCGTAGCCCTCCTTGAGCTGACACATCTTAAAGGTCTCAATGGTCAAATCCAGCTACAACTACCAATTTCTGAATCGGTGATACACTTGCATTTATAGCGTGCATAAATGGTGGTTTCGTGCATAGCCAAAACATATTGATCAATAAAAAGATATTTCTGTACTGGTTCCTATTTTTTTGTTCCATATAACTGTACAATGGTATCATAGCATGGATCCTAACATCCTCCAAATCGCCGAATTTTATCAGTATCAACTTTTATTTCCGACCCCGATTAAATGTCTTCAAAGGATCGACCCTCCCGCCGGAAGGCTTCTTGCCCTTGGCCTTCGCCCGGTTATGATCTCTCGCCTTGCGGATTCGGTTCTCATTTGTCTTCCTGAACCCAACATATCCAACATCCTCTTTCGAGATACCCTTGCGTCCCTTGGCGGGCATCAAATACTCCGGCACGTGCTTCAAATGTGCCTGCACACGAGCGGCCCGCAATTCACCATCGTGACGCAGCTGGCGCAGCTCCTCTGGATTCTCCTCGAAATGACGCTTCAGCTTCTCGCTCTTGATAAGCTCTTGGCGAATCTCACGAGCACGAGCCTCCTGCACCGCAAGCCGAGTGATGGCGCGCAAGGCGTCGGTCATACGGTAGCGGAAAGCATCGACCTGCTGCATTTCGAAATGGTATGGTCGGACCTCGTGGCCCATCTTGCCTTGGCGCTTGGTGATCTTAGCGAGGACGGTCTCATCTTTCTTGGCGCTGCTAATTGAGGTCGGCTTGTGCTTGCCATACTGCTCCAGCGGGACGACGAAAGAGAGCGCCATGCCAGCCTTACCAGCGCGACCGGTACGTCCAATGCGGTGGGTATAAGATTTCGCAGTGGATGGGAGGTCAAAGTTGAGGACACAGGCGACGTTCTGGAAGTCGATACCGCGAGAGATACCGTAATCCTTTTCCTTATTGGTCATCTTGCGGCGTTTTTCAGGTCGAGACTTTTTGTTGGTGGATTCTTCCTCCTCCTCGTCTTCACTGGAACCGATCTCCTTCTCTTCCTTCTCCTCCTCCTTCTCCTCTTCCTCGTCCTCCTCGATAACTTCGGGAACCTTCTTGCTTGATTTGGCGGTTCCCATAATCTCTTGATCGTCTGCAGCAATAATGATGTCGTAGATGCCCTTGTTGAACTCCTCGACGACGTGTAGTCGGGAGTTGATGGGAAGCTCTGAGTTCAGTACACAGCTCTTGATACCGAACTGTTCGAGGAAAAGCTTCACGCGGTAACATCGGTCCACATCGTGCACGAAGATGATAACCTTGCCTTTGACCAGCTGCAGCTTGAAGATGACATATGTGAGAAGGAACTTCTCGTCTTCAGCACACCTGTCATATTACCATTAGCACGTTGGATACCCAATCGAAAATATTCAAAACTCACTTCACCACAAATTGGCTGACTTCAGCGCCCTTATCTTCCTTGTCCTCGAGCTTCAGAATAACCGGGCTACGGCAGAACAGACTCTTCAAAGCATCCACCTCGGAAGTGAGGGTAGCACTCATGAGGAAAGTCTGTACTCCACGGGGGATAGCCTTGGAAAGAGCATTGATATCATCGTCGTATCCGTAAGACAGAACCAAATCGGCTTCATCGATCACTAAGTGCGTGAGTTTCTCAAGCGACAGAGCGGAGTTATTGACATTGGTAAGAACTCGGGTTGGTGTGGAGATAACCAGATCAGGGAAATCGGCAAGCATAGTCCGCTGCACAGCGTCGGAGACTTTCTGGGTCAAGTTGATAGATCGGACATCCTTTCCGCAGAAAGTGGTGAAGGAGGTGACAACTTTTTGGACTTGTTCAGCAAGCTCACGGGTGGGAACGAGAATAAGAGCAGTGGTTGCTTTCAATGTGGGGTCATTCTATTTCCATGCAATCAGTCATTTGATCTTATTACTGCGAGAATCAGATTTGACATACAGATTTTTGTTGGAGAATAGCCTGGAGGACAGGAAGAACATAGGCAGCAGTTTTGCCGGAGCCAGTCTTTGCACGAGCTAATTTTTGTTAGTACAGGCCTACCAGGCCAAAAGAGAGCGCCAGAACCACTCACCCAGAATATCTTTTCCTTCGAGGGCCAGCGGAATGGCCTTTGCCTGCACGAGAGTAGGCGTGGAGAACTTTTCTTTGATCAGGGCCTGACGCAGTCGCGGGTCCAACCCAAGGGCTTCGAAATCAAGTTGCTGCTCCTCTGTGCCCGTAGGCCCGGGAGAAGGAACATCGTTGGCATCCAGTTTGCGCTTCATGTTGTTTGATATGCTGTTTGAACTCCAGAAGAAAGACAGTAGTTTGCTTGATTTGGGAAATTTCGGCGGGCGGTGAGATTTTCCAGGGTTTTCTGGGCGGTCAAGGATTTTAACATGCTGACTCAGCTAATCATGGCCCAATGCGGAAAAAAAGAAACACCATTCTCCATGCAGACAAACTTTTGCTTCATATCACTTTGTTCAAATAGACCTTTATGGTATGTCAATACAGTATTTTTATTCTTGTAGCAGCCATATTTTGATCTGATAAATGGCGTGGTTGATACGATGAGAAAACAGCAACCTATCAATAGTCGAAACAGGTGTGCATCAGCACCATCTTGCTGCAGCTCAGAGTGCCGTGCGAGATGCTGGGTTCAGGTTCAAGGGCAAGGTCATCACTACTGACTAGGAGTTTTTGAAGGCTTCTCAGTCCAGAAGAACTGGCAGCAGGCTGAAAGCCTGGAATCATGTTGTTGAATAGTTCCATACCAATCATCAATGCTGATTGGCAAGAACCTTTGTAGCCCCGCTTCCACCTTAAATATGGCGCGGCATCATCACATCGCAACGGGGCTGTATCCGACTGATCATCAACCTTATGGGCAACGGAAGGCTTGATCTTATTTTCAATGACCATCACTAGTTAATTTCTACAGTAATACACTAACTGCTGGTTACCAATAGACGCAACGAGCATATATGAGATACCCCCCTCCCCCCAAAACGAGTGCTAATGAAATAATTCATTCAATTATAACAACCTGATGGCATACCACCCACTACTTCATCTATTGAACCCAGCATTGGTGTAAGCGACGATTTCGTCGATATAGCCCTCAGTAGTTCGGCCCACTGGCAAGTATTTCACATTTTGCTGCCCTGTATTATCCTTCACATAGTTCAGCAGAGACTGTAGGCCTAGCTTCTGATCAGGCTTAGCCGGTTCAACCTCCAGTGGCTTCTTGGTCACTTGGAGCTCATTCGCCTTGCTAGATGACAGTCGTACTTATATTTTATTGTGTGCTTGTTGCGGTCAACGCCAAATTTGGCTACTTTTTGGCCAAAGCTGTGGCTCTGTTATCAAATACATCAACAAATTCTTTGATTTTTATGCTTTGAAGCTATTTGAGCAGGACATAGTTGCTCCGGAAAATCTCGGACTTAGAAGACAGAGAATATCCTCGGGTGGGCCGATGATGTCGTAGTCCGATATCCGGAACGCGCATGTGCTGAATTAGATCAGCAGTACGATCATCTATGATTGAATGCTTCAAGCCTTTAATCTCTTCTTCCTTTTGTAACATCTCAAGTTCTAGGGCCCACGGGTATATACATATTCCATCAACCTCATTCAACACCCTCGGCTTGCCGCCCCGCACCCCGCAACCGCGATGGTTTCTCTCAATGAACAGCTCGCAACATTGATCGAAAATTATACAGCTTGTGATGTAAGTCCCTTGAAAGCTTTTTAACTTTTTTATTGGTTCAAAATTCAATCTAACGCCTAATGCACAGGTATCTGACGCCCTGCTCAAGCTGCAGACAGCACCAGAGGGCACCGCACCACGAGCAGGATATTTGGCCGGTCTCAGTAAGGAAGCGTTGACCTGAGACAGAAATAACATTTTTCTATATATCTACATTCCTTACTAACGGTCCGACAGCCCCCTTCTCTCCGATAACCGGAAGAAACGACACAGCGCGGAAGATCGCCGCTCCAGCAACTACATTCAAGTTCCTCAATAAGAGCGATAGCCCGCCAGCTATTGCAATTGAAAACCCCGATAAACATGGTTTTCCGCCTGGCAAGCACTGGGTAGACTATGCAGGTGACTTCCAGGATGCAGACCCGGCCAACGCGGGGTCCATTATTGTGATAGAACAGCCAGATGAGCAGTACTGTGCTGTGACAGGCGGTATCATGGCAACGAGAATGAGGGCTTTGGGTATCAAGGCTGCTGTTGTGAGTGGGCGAGTGCGAGATTTGAGGGAGCTGCAAGGCACAGGGCTTCCGGTGAGTTCTTCGTTTGCAGAAGGGATTTTACTCTTCCAAAATTTTTGATTTAATTTGCGCTATACATCTCCTATATGACTATTTGAGACTAAACAATAACCTATAGATCTGGGCGCGTGCCACTTCGACTGTCGGCACAGGTGCTGAAGCTAAGGCTGCCGCGCGCGATGTGCCCATCTCTATTGGAGGAATTACTGTATCCCCGGTAAGTTATGACTACCCTTGCATTGGTATAGCCCAAAGTAGACTAAACTGGCTACTTATAGGGTGATATCATTTTCTGCGATCCGATGGAAGGAGTGGTGGCTGTTCCACGCGATTTACTGGGGGCCGTCTTAGAGCTCATGCCGAAATTGATCAGTATGGATGAACGGGCAAAGGATGCCGTGGCACAGGGAATGAGCGTCACAGATGCTTTCAAGAAGTTCCGAGCATAGAGCCCTAACCAACTATGAATTTATATTTTTGTTCATTTTGTGTCCGCAACATGGGGTATCAATCCTGCCGCCGTCATACCCACCTACTCATTACTGTACAACTAATATTGAAGAATTCGGAGTAAAGGCGTTCTCAATCTTGGAAGATGAAATGGAATATATGTCATTCTGTCGTGGTATCTAGCTATTTAATACATCAGAAGAAGATGTGGACGAAAACAGGTCCAACCGCTATGAAGGGTATTATAATGGTACGGTGTGCCGTTTACTCGGCCACCCAGACAGCAGCCATTCCCATGCCAGTACCAACGCACATACTGGTCACGCCGACCTTCTTGTTTGTGCGCTTGAGCTCAGTCAACAGCGTGCTCACTTGGCGGGAGCCGGTGCAGCCTAGAGGGTGACCAAAGGCAATGGCACCACCCTTAGGGTTGACCTTCTCGACAGGCAAGCCAAGCTCATTGATACACCACACGCACTGGGAAGCGAAGGCCTCGTTGATCTCAAAGATGTCCACATCATCCTTGGTGATACCGGCTTTCTCCAGAGCAACGGGGATGGCCTTCCAGGGGCCAACACCCATGAGCAGCGGCTTGACACCAACAATGCTGGCGGAGACGTACTTGCCAATGATCTTCTGGCCGAGACGCTCAGCGGTGGAACGCTTCATCAGCAGGACGGCGGCAGCACCGTCGGAGATCTGAGAGGCATTACCAGCGTGGATGGAGCCATCCTTAGCGAAGGCGGGGCGGATCTTGGCCAGTGACTCGGCGGTCATGCCCTTGCGAATACCGTCATCCTCTTTGACGGTGATGGTCTTCTCATCACCAGTCTTGGGATCGGTCCACTTGACCTCAAGAGGGACGATCTCCTCCTTGAACAGACCAGCAGCCTGCGCCTTCTCGGCCTTCTGGTATGAGGAAGCGGCGAAAGCATCTTGGGAAGCACGGCTGATGTTGCGGTCCTTAGCCATGTCCTCAGAGAGAACACCCATGGGAACCTTGCAGTTAGCGGCCTCTTGGTGGTTCTCGAGGAGGTCAGAGAATTCGGTAACGGCACCCGGGCTAGGAAGTGACATGTTAGAATTGTTTCCATAAAAAATAAAGGGCTCTCTGATCATGGTACTTACCCGTACTGGGAGGACATGCTCTCAACACCGGCACCAACACCAACCTCGATCATGTCGGACTTGATAGCATTCGCAATATCAACGATAGCCTGTAAGCCACTGGAGCACTGGCGGTTCAAGGCCTTCACTGCAGCGGTCTCGGGGAAACCAGCCACGAGAGCAGCGGCACGGAACTCGGTAGCACCACCACCGGGAGGGAGGACGGAGCCAACGGCAACATCTTCCACGACCTTGGGGTCGATACCGCTCTTGGCAATAAGAGACTTGAACACGCCAGCCAGAATATCAGCGGCAGCGGTATCCTTGAATCCACCCTTGCCGCCTTTGGTCAAAGCGGAGCGGAGGGCGCATGTGACAACAATATCATCGGGGTGCTTCTCAGTCAAGGCTGCGGCTCCCTTCTTGCCACCGAAGTGGGAGGAAACCTGAGACAGGCGCTGCTGGGCTGTGAATTCTTGTCAACGTGAATTCTCTCGCGAACGCCACTGTATTTGCTAAGTCGGGCTTGCTGGAAGATACATACCGGAAGACATGACGTCAAAGAGGAATGGTGGAATATGGGGTTTGGAGGAAATGGGGAAAACCTGGGGGGCCAGAAATGCGGGAGAAAAGAAGAATAGGTTTCGACGATGCCGGATGGGGCCTCTTTTATAAAGTAGGCTTTGAGACTCGGTGGTACTGCCCTTGTTGCAAGCTCGCCGATGCTGCTCACGCAGCAGAAGAGCCGAGGTCCATCGGACCATGGTTGTTCCGGCCGGAGGCCATGTCAACGGGGTCACGTGGTGGTGAGAGATCGCATGTGAACCAGACTGAAGGGCCCACTCTGAGCATGTGCGCCGAGCTCTACGCTGCACGCCCGGAGTATAGTCCACAGCTAGTTACGTAGTTGGTTTCCAGTGCCATGCTGATCCTATGTCATCAGTGTTCATTAAATACTTGTATGGGTAAGTCAAACCCTCGGCAGCCCTAGTCTTAACAGACTAGGTGCAACGTTCCTCATCCCATTCACACCCTCTTCTACTGATTTGCAGCTGCTCTGATAGAAGCACAGAAGCTACCAAGCCTAGGCTCGCTCGGCATTAAAGGTTGGCTCGGGCTTCCCATATTTTCAAAAACATATACAGGATCTGCAGGTGAAAATACACTGTTTAGTACTTTATCATCTCCTCATCATCATCTATAAAGGCAAATGCCCAGTGGGTTATACAACACCCACAGGAACCTGAAAATATTTTCTCGTACCCGAAAAGATAGCTAGCTATGTCTTTGTTTACATATTCTTGTTAAGGCTTAAAGGTCGAAACCCTAAGGTTCAACATCCATTCAATGGGAAAGGACATGAGCTGCATCACATCAATATTGCAGACATGTAGAACTAGGACATGATAGTTGATAAATTACCAACAAGTTGAATATTAACGTTAAGGGTTGTGGGGGATTCGGATAATGTCAGGCAAAATAAAGTAGATACCGAGGACGAGTAAGGCTACAATTGGAAGCGATATTTCAACTAAACAGGCAATCTGATCGAATTTAGGCTTGCAACCCGCCAATCAATTATATGTTAGGAAAGTCGATAGAGCCTCTCTATCTAGGGTTTGCGTAGGCCGCCACAAAGAGCCTAGTCGCGAGCTTGCTCCAGTATAGGAAGTGAAATAATCAATATAAACTAAACCTTAATCATCCTGAGTGTTTAGAACAAGAGACATCTACAAGGATGAATAAAAGACATAAAATGCATCAATTGCTACCGACTGTACATGAAAGGAAAGAACCTAGACGCGACAGGAATGGGATCGAACAGGTATAAGGAAATCGGGAAATATGGAGACAACCTCCCTCGCTGGCAGGACTTACACATTACCAGCCTAGAAAAGGGAGATCTAAGAGAGATCTAGTTTGTGTAGGGGAAATAACTGATCTGTTCCTGCGTCTTTTTTGGGAGACAAAGGTGGAGGGGCGGAGAGAGAAGGTGGAGACAAGAGGTGAAGGGAGAGCTTTTTCATTTACATGCCAGGGGAGATCAACTTGCCCTCGGCACGGCTCTCGGGCTTCCAGCCACCAGCGAAGGGGGCGGCACCGAGCTCCTTCTCGTACTCGCGGATACGGGCCTCCAGCTCAGGACGGAAGTGACGAATCAGACCCTGGATAGGCCAGGCGAAAGCCTCACCCAGAGCACAGATAGTGTGGCCCTCAACCTGCTTGGTGAGCTCCTGTAGCATGTCGATCTCACGCTCACGGGCGTTACCGGTCTCCAGACGCTGCATCATCTGCATAGTCCACTTGCTGCCCTCACGGCAGGGAGTGCACTGTCCGCAGGACTCGTGCTTGTAGAAGGTGGACAGACGGGAGATGGCACGGACAATATCAGTGGACTTGTCCATGACAACGACAGCGGCCGTACCCAGACCAGTCTGCGAGTCCTTGAGGGCATCGAAGTCCATCAGCTGGTTGTCGGCGACAGATTTGGGGATGACGGGAGTGGAGGAACCACCGGGGATAACGGCGAGCAGGTTGTCCCAACCGCCACGGACACCTCCACAGTGCTTCTCGATCAGGTCGCGCAGGGAGATAGACATCTCCTCCTCAACGGTAACGGGGTTGTTGACGTGGCCAGAGATACAGAACAGCTTGGTACCAGCGTTACGCTCACGACCAAAAGACGAGAACCAGTTAGCACCACGGCGCATGATGGTCGGGACGACGGCGACGGTCTCGACGTTGGTGACGGTGCTAGGGCAGCCGAACAGACCGACGGCAGCGGGGAATGGGGGCTTGAGACGGGGCTTGCCAGCCTTGCCCTCGATGGACTCGATCAGCGAGGTCTCCTCACCACAGACATAGGCGCCCATTCCACGGTGGATGTAGACATCGAAATCGTAACCGGTACCGCAGGCGTTCTTGCCGATTAAGCCGTTCTCATAGGCCTCGTTAATGGCCTTCTGGAGGACGGTCGCCTCGTGGTAGAACTCGCCACGGATGTAGATGTAGGCGGCATTGGCGTTCATGGCACGACCCACAACCAAGCAACCCTCAATCAGCTTCTGGGGGTCCTTGCGCATAATCTCACGATCCTTGCAAGTACCCGGCTCACCCTCATCAGCGTTGATGACCAAGTACCGCGGGCGGGGGTCCTTGTCCCAGTCCTTGAAGTTCATGAATGACTAAATGAGAATGGTTAGATGAAAAGAGTTAACTCTCCACGCAATTGAGGGACCCAAGGGACCCTTCAATTTCCAACTTACGTATTTCAATCCCGAAGGAAAACCAGCACCACCACGGCCACGGAGGCCGGAAGCCTTAATTTCGGAAATGAGCTGCAATTGAAAGTATCAGCACATCATTTCTCGTCCCATCCGCCCAATCCGGATGATCTTTCATAAGTCTACCCACCCAGTCATGGCCCTTCAGAACCATATCCTTTGTCCGGTGCCAGTCACCATACTTCATTGCCGACTTGAGATCAGCGCCATGGTGTCCGTAAAGGTTGGTGAAGATGCGGTCCTGGTCCTGGAGTCCGCCATAGTGCTTGACGGGAGGAGCCTCTTGCACGGACGCGAAAGAGCGGGCGGCCGCTCCCTGGGCGCGGAGGGAGCGGGTCGAGAGGTGGGAGAGGGAGGAAGTGGAAGGAGCCGCCGCTCTGGATATCATGATGGCGGATTGACAGCTGTGTGGTGCTGAGGGTCAAGCGGTCATGGAAGAGAGGGAAGGGGGAGCTCGCGGTAATTAGCAATTCCTGCGCTCTGCTGAACGATCCGCCTTTACGTGCGTTGTGATTGGACTAAGATCATGTGACTGTGTATTGGTCAGCCATTTCCTATTTGGGATGTGTGACGTTGGCAAAATCTGTATAGTTCTCATATTAAACCTATTTCTAATTTATAACTGCGGCACATATAGCACTGCCTGCTTCGCCATTGTTGGTTCGTCCGTCACCAACACCTGCAGTGGCTCAACGGGAATTAACACCCGCTCCGCATCGCCCACTATGCACGCCCACTGTAGCCAATCCGGAGACAACCATTTGCTAGCCGAGGGTAACCAGGTAACTCCATCCTGCTCAGCCAATTGAAGGAAACCATCTCTGTCCTTCGAGAGAGCTTGTAGAAGTTGCTGAGCAGCTGAGACGCGCTCATCAGCACCTCCCGTGGGCAATGGGTACACATTAATCAAAAACTCCACCCATTGAGTCAACCGCGAGGAAAGCAGAGGCTGTACCTCCTGGTCTTCAGTTGTGGCCGTTGCAACCAAGAAGTTAATTGCGAGAGCAAACATCACTTGTGGATCTGTACTCCATGGCCCATTTGCAACACGACCTATGAAGTACTTCTGACTTGGTACCTGCAAGTCTTTCGGCAGGAGGCGGAAGAGCTCTGCAAGTCGAAATAGTTCACCGTTCTTCGGGATAAGTGATTGCCGCTCGATAATGCGCACCTTTGTCCGAGACAAAATCTCATCAGAAAAAGTTCCAGGTGGGATTTTCGATATGTGTTCGTTCAACAGAGCCTTGGTACCCTCCCAGCTCTCGTCGCGTTCATGCTCCCGCGCCCGAGCGATAGTCCAAGACGCGATGATCAGTGCAGTCTTGTCTATCGTTATTTGACCTTCGCGGTAGATTTTTGCAAATATCTGTTTGAGGTTTGCCGGCTCTGAAGGCAGGTCTTGAGCGCTGGCTTGCAGCTGGAGAATGTGCGCGATGAGCTCAAGGCAGGTCTGAGAAAGTGCTGCCAGTGTACTGCGGCTGGTACCGTAGGTTTCTTGAATTGAGATGCTTGTTTCTTCGATCAGGATTTTCTTGCGCTCTCGATCATTTGCTTCCATGATTGTAAGGGCATTGAGCAGAGCAGGTGAGATAATTGCGTGCTCCATAGGACCCTGGGGTGCGAGAAGTGGGTAGGACACATTGAAGATGTAGTAATGGTCGTCAGTCTTCGCGGCTATTTGAGGGAACATCTGGATCTGACGAGCTTTCGCCTCGCCAAGTGCACTGTCTGGTGCCACGCCCAGTTTTACAATGCGGTAGTCAGTTGGATTGTTGGTGATAGTGAATCCATAATTCATGAGCACTGTCTGCGTTAGCTGATACTGCTGCATCACATAGGTTGACTGGTAATTTCATACATTGCTCATTGTTTCGCGGGCCATAATTATTTGAAATCTCCTGACCTGGCGAGGCATCTTCTAAAATAATCATGCCGACATCTTCTTCGCCTGCTCTCCACTCGACCTTTGCCAATGGTCGATGATTAGGCAGATCAATGAGCGGCAAAAGCACTGAGATACCCTCCTCCGGGAGATCAGCGTCCTCTACAGCGCTTGACAGCACCTTTGCGGAGAATGCGCGAGAGGTGAGAATTGTCCATGCCCAGAGATACAAGTCCCTATAAAGTCAGCAAAGCACATCGATGGACATATCCATAGACAGTATACAATGCAAACTTACCAAGTAAACGCCTCGAAACCCTCAAATCCAGCCTGCTCTAACTTCTCGATCGACAAATCATACTGCTTGTCCCAATCCCGATATCTCGATACCGAAGCGTCCGGGATTCCCGTCCCCTGCAACCAATCCACATCCTCTTCGCCAAAGAACAGCGGCGTCGTCATCTGGCCGGGCTGAGGCAAAGTCTGTAGATACGGGTACCAAAAGCTTTGCTCTCCACGCAGAAAGTGGGCGATGAGGAAGAAAGTCATGGTCTCTGCCAATCCCACGTCATCAATGAAGGCCTGCGGTAGCTTCACGCCATGGGAAGAGAAAGATCCCTTCGCGGAGCTGTAGTCTACTGCGTTGAAGTAAGACATTGTCACGCCTAGCGGTGCATTGATTACCCGTGTCTCCTTTGGTACTGTTGTGGGCCAGTCGGCTTTCACTTGGAGATGGACGCCGCGCTGGTCGTCATGGGCTATACACACGCTATCATTTATGTGCCCACCCTGGCTGCAAACCCATTCTAAGAGATGTGTATGGGCTTCCAGGGGGTCTTTTTTTATTGCTCTACCATTATATTAGCAGTATTCTTGAAATGACATACATGTCTTGGAATCTAGGATGACTTGATAGTACTTACTCTGGCGGGGAAGCCATATCTCCAACAACTGCTCTTTTTAAGACCTTCTCGACTGTAAAATGTCTTCTTGACTCGAGCTGAATGTGTTTTCTGTAGATCAACAACTAGGAGTGACATGAAGTGATATCATTGAATCGTGAACATTTGAAAGATTCGGCGGGATGTGCGACCCACTTTTTTTGCCCGCAGACACTGGGCAATGGTTCATCATACTCGATGGAGACAACAACATTCTGGAATGCACCAACGATAGCTATAAGTAAATAGCAGCAATAGGTATGATAGTTTTAAGATAAATGCATGAACTCAAAGCATCAATTCACTTCTCTAGTCCGAACATATCGTACAAAGATATCAACCACCGGATCCAAAGCATCAGAGCCATAAACCCATGAAACATCACCACATGATGCACACAACAGCTCGACATCAAAAGAAACACATAATAAGCTCCATGCAGACGGACTCGACGGTCATCAGATGTAGTCCTCCCCAGAGATTAACCAGATATGGAAAATATGTACAAAGGCCGCGCCATAAGAACAGCACGTAAACATCCCAAACCAGCCAAGTATGTAGAAACAGTAAGAACAATTTGAGAAAAGAAAATGAATACCTGAGTACCCATGCAATTCTCCCTAATACTTGAAGAAGATCATCGTGTATGCACGCAATGATGAAAGAAGGCGCGGAAATGCAGACGTGAAAGTAGATAAGGGGTAACATTAAGACAGGCAAGCCATTCCGAGATTAATTTGAAGTAGAGGATTTGCGGCCTGGGACTAGGATCTCCACCAGCCCGTCATCTTCACCATCACTGCTATCATTTTGTTCGTCATCGAAGTGGGAGCTCACAGCCCGTGGCCGGCGAAATCCGGTGTATCGATTGGGATGCGGGAGGTTGGAGTAACCCAGTGATTCGTTGATGATGGCATCCTCCTCCTCGTCTGAATCGATCATGCCGGTGGCGCTCGGCCCGACCATTTCACCCATGTCGTCGTCATCCTCGTCAACCTCAAGGGGTACACGAACACGTCGCCGCATGGCCTCTGCATGGCCGTCGCCATCCTCATCAGAGGAGTTAGACAGTGTGTCTGGGGGACTGAACCCGCCTTCATGGAACCCCGAAGCAAAGGTCTGATCGGCATTTGATCCAAAGTCGTTATTGGGGAACGCAGTGTTACCTCCCTCGGCATCATCGTCAATTCCGGCAATGACGAATGGGTTGCTCGGCCACTGGGAGTCTCTGCTCTCGGCCTCATGGACCCTGTCGTCCGCCCCTTCTCCATCTTCATTTTCAGCCGCTTGCTGTTTTTGGGCTGCTAGGCGTGCTGCCAGTTGTCTCCGAGCGCGGGATGGACCAGTACTCAAAGGAGCTGGAGGTGGGGGCAAAATTGGAATCGGTTGGCTTATGGAGTTCATGGATATCTAGAAGACTCATGTCAGCTCAGAACAAGCACACCATATAACAATTGTACAGCGGTTCCCTGGAATTTGGCAAGGCACCACGTCATTTTAAATGCGCAACACCAGGGTATATAAGAGATTATGCCAAAAATATAAGAAATGGACAAAGAAACAAAAAGGACGCAGAAGAGTCGCAGGCGAAATGAATACATCTCTGGTGAAAAGCGTAGCGTACCAAGCATATGGTCACCCACAGCATTTTCGCCTTCTGCTCAAGCTCCCATCGCCCACCTTGCAGCATCATCCAGGCCATTGGACCGATGCTATTACAAAATTGGGGGTGATGGAAGGAGAGGGTGGACGAATAGCATACGCGCACATCGGTCGAGAATCGCTCGTCATATTTTGGTCGGAAGGAGGGTACCCACATTCTCGGAATCGCCGTGGTCGGCATTGGCAGCATCTCTGTTTTCATGATCCTCCAAATCTTCATCCTCGTCGTCATCACTCGAGCTGGCAAACCCACTCAAGAGAGAGGGACCGCCAGCCCCAAATGTCCCGCCAGAAGCACTCCCTTGGTTCAGATCAAATCCTTGAAAAGTGGAGCCACCAATCCCACCATTTAGACCTGCTTCAGCGAGAGCATTCGAGTTGCTGAATCCCTGATTTGAGCTGATAGCTGCTTGGCGAGACCCAACTGACATGTCTGGGCGAACACCTCCCAAGATGGCATTGTCTCGCTCCCGAGTTTCGGAAAGCGTCTGCTCAACGTAGTCAATCCAATCCGGGTTCAGGACTGATTCCATGACAGAACGGGAAAGCAGCTCCGGCGGGTGGCGTTCACTAAACTTAACAACCTCCTCAGCGACAAGTGTCAAATGGCCCATGTAGCCAAGACGAATCTGCTTTGTCTTCTGTGCCTCATCACTGCGCTTCTGGCCCTCGATGATGGCGGTTGTGATCAGGCCGGTTTCAAAAACGTTGATTGCGAGAGCCCGGTTGTAGCCACGTTCCATGGGTCCATTGAATACCTGCTGAATCACATCATACACAACATTATGGAGAAAGTTATTCCATGGGAATCGGAAGAAGAAACCCTAGACATACAATCAGATAAGGTGAAAAAGACATTTGATACACATATCACTCACCAAGATCGTCGGGACAACCTTGTTCTCAACAAACTTGATTTTCAAGTAGTCCCCAACCACCGGCTGCCCATCCGTATCATACTGAATGTACTGCTCGGCAGGATCTTCGGCACCACCATCGTTGTGACTGGTTTCCCGAACGGGCTCAGTAATGGCATAGGAGCCCTCTGCTTGATTCACGGGGTCAGAAGCTGGCTCCGAAGGCTGCTCCTTCGAGGCAAAGAGCGGCGGCGGGACATCTTCCGGCTCAGCTGAGACCGCAGGTTGCTCATTTTCAACTTGTGCGGGCTTTTGTTGCTCGCTCTCAAGCTGGATCTCACTCAATTGATCCGCTAGACCGGTAGCGGATGACGGGGCCTCGGAAGGCTCAGGGGTGATTTGAGAGGAGGTGGAAGGGGTTTCAACAGCCGAGTCCTCTTGTGCTGCTGCGATCTGCTCCAAAGGAGTAGCTTCCTTCTTGGCCTGCTGTTCCCCTTCCTTCTCGCCAACCAGCACACCAGAGGCACCAACATCCTCGAACCCTTCTTCTTCACCGGCGCGAGCCATGTATGTACCCTTGATATCTTCAGGGGATCCAGAATCCAGGGCTGATCCATTGGTAAAGTCTGCTGTGGTATCATTATACTCCATGCCAGATTGCTCATCCCGAAGCGGGTTGAAGTATCCCTCCTTGATCAATCGCTCACGCTCGGCATCCCGATGCTGGACATACTCGTCGCTACCGGGCTCGTTGAGCAGACCCATGTTACTACAATGCAACAGCTCAGCCATCAATTCACAAGTCTTGAATCGATCAAACCCTAGTGGCTCAATTTTTCCACCCCATGCAGAATTCAAGCGGCCTCGTTCGACGGTCTTAAAGGTTTTTCCGTCGTGTACGGTGTGTTTCGGACTCTGGATCAAAGCCATAAAGTCGGGGATATGCTTCGCAAATGCGCGAAGAAGATTACCAAGGTAGATTGGGTCGTAAGGCGTCGGCATTGACTCAGGGCTTCCGAGGTGCTCGGGATCGTAGTCGGAGTTGTTCTTGCGAATAACTTCGATCACAATGCCCACTCCCACAGTCAATGGGTTACCGCCCTTGAGCATGGCCTCCACGAGTTGTTGCACGCACTCTGCGGAAACTAGCTGGCGGGTGAGACTATTCGGACCAATGCACGATTGATCATTGGGTGTCGCGTTTGCAGAGATGGTGATGATCGCCTTTAGGAAGTCGCCTGCGGATGTTTGGACCGACGCAGGGTGATCCGGAGACAGGAACGAGAGAAGAGTAGGAATCAAATTCTGGGACCGGAGCCAGTCAACAGTGCCTTGACCACCCTCTGCCTTTTCCAGGCTGATGATCTTGAGCAGGAGGTCCATGACCATGGGATTATCAATGTGCTGCAGCAGAGCAGGTACAATTCCGTCAAGAGTTTTCAATAGATCCAGCATCTCCTCCGTTTTTTTATCAAGCAGCGTCTCGTTCACTTTGGTGAAATAGCTCGCCTGCAGAGAGTCAAGAGGCGCTGGTCGCCGGAGGAATCCCCAGAAGTCGCGCAGATAGGCCGGGTTTTCCATAATTGTTTCGAGAATGGTCCATGTCTCTGATGAGAGAATCTCACAGGCCACGTAGGCGTGCTTCAGGCGCGACTTTTCGACCCTCTCCAGATCGTCCGCATCCAAAACACTTTTCAAGGGATCCGACTCCTTTTCCTCGTCCTTGTCGTTCTTGTCCGTTTGCTCTGCTGAGCCTACATCTTTGGCAGTATCTTTCTCATTGGCATTGTCTTCATCATCGTCGTCATCTTCGTTCACCAAGCTCGGTGCTGTCACATAGTCCATAAGCCGTTTCAAGACATGGTCCTCGCGCAGATATTCTATGAGTTTTGTATTATGCTGTTTCAATTCTTGGATGATCTCGGGCTCATCCAGTAGTTCCTCGACGGTAACCTCGGGTTTTTCGAGAAGGGTATCGATGCTGGAGATACTTGCATATCCCCCAAAACGCCAGAACATGATGAAGTATATAGCCGGAAAGGACGATTCATGGGACGTTTCAAGTCGTAAGTCTCCGAAATATCGTAACGGAGCGGTCTATGGTACACGGGCGTTGGCTGTAGGATGCGGGAAGGAATGGATTTTTCCGCAGGGTGAACCACCGTCGTTGTCCACAAGGGCTGTCGCGGAAAGTGGGGGTGGGTGAAACTTGATTCTCACTGGAAAAGAGTCCAGAAATTCGAAAGGGTATAAAATCGGGTGAAGCTTGCGCTGTTGATTCGGGGGGTCAGCGCGATGTCCGGATTGGTTGCATCAATGACGACGCTGATGGTGTGTGCACCCGAGCTGCGGCTAGATCTCACGGGATCCGATTCCCATGAGATATGGCAGAATCAGGTGGGGAGAAGCAAGACAGCAGGAGGGAAAGACCAAGTAACCAGAAGGGACATTTTTGAGACGTACATACCTTGGTAAGTGAGTGACGAAGAGAGGAATTCAGTTGCCCTCCGGTGTGGGTTTTGGGAGGGCGGGAAGGGGAAGAAATGGAGGAGTGAAGAAATAACGAAGAGGGGAGAGAGTTCACACGATGAGAATGTAGAATATTCTCTTGGCGCGGTCCATCCAGGAAGAAAGGGGAAGGGCGCAAGAGAGGATGAGAGATGAAGCTGGTTAGAGGGATTCGCACGAGTGCAGGGGCGGACTTAACAGCACACACATGTAATCATCTGCGCGGGGATCGTAGCCCCGACCAGTGGCAGATAAGCAACGTTATATCTACGACTAGAGCCATTAAAATTCATTAAACTCTCATACAAAATCTCTAAAAGTTATATGAGTGGTTTCTAAAGGTCCTATCCTAAAGATAACAAGAAATTTTGATTGGAATCTCTAGAAATGGGGGACTACGATGTCCCCTTGGCATCGGATTGTGGTAGAAATCTTAAGGCCACATCCGGGCCCTGCAGAGTCGGAGGCGTCACCTCGTGCGCTTAATCCAAGTCCGGAGAATTTTAATAGTTGCATATAGTCAGCTATTAAGACCTGTTCATGTGGGACCTCTAACTCGTTGGGCTAATTTTGATCAGTTATCGATCTCGAGATCATCTGAAACTGAATGGCCTAGGCGTGTGAGTACCGCGTACCTCCCGTTCTCGCTAGATCTGGCGTGGGGCGAGATACCCAGTACGTCCCGCTGCCCAATCTACTCCCAAGTTGGACACCGGATGACCACCATCTGATAATTTCATACATGTCAGGTGGATATACTAGATCCATGGTCATAATACACTTCGTATATCATCAGTAATATAGGTCGTTCATGTACGACTACTTCATCCCAACTTTATAATGCTGTTAGTCACGTGTAGTTAATGCCCCAGGCACTAAGGCATTAATCTGACGTCGGGCCCTCCGCATTATCATTATCGGTGCCTGTGAACGTGGCCGATCGTTTTGAGTGCTACCTATTTACTCATTGCACATCAACCCGGCAATTTTGCGCATCTCGCTCCAATAAAGAGCTGACTATCGCCAGATCGGGAGGCTGGTGAGCGGGAACATATAAACATTCATCCATCCAACCGCCCCTCCTACCCCTCCCTTGAGCTTGATCTCAGTCGGTCACAATGAATCGCCTATTTGGCACCAAGAGCGCGGCTCCCAAGCCCACTCTAGACGGTGCAATCAGCAAGGTGAGTTCTAGTCCCAACACCTTATCTAACCAGCTAACAAATTACCCACACTCAGGTAGACGACCGCGTCGCCAGCATCGATGTAAAGCTCTCCGCACTTAATTCCGAACTCGCAACATACCAAGCCAAACTCTCCAAAATGCGTGACGGGCCCGGCAAAAATGCTCTCCGCCAGAAAGCCTTGAAGGTGCTGCAGCGCCGCAAGCAATACGAGGGACAGCGGGACCAGCTCTCCCAACAATCATGGAACATGGAGCAAGCAGGCATGATGCAGGACAACTTGAAGAACGTGATGACCACTGTCGACGCCATGAAGACAACGACCAAGGAGCTAAAGAAGCAGTATGGCAAGGTGGACATCGACCAGATCGAGCGTATGCAGGACGAGATGGCGGATTTGATGGAGGTTGGCAATGAGATCCAGGAGAGTATATCTCGGGCGTATGATCTGCCCGAGGAAGTCGATGAGGCAGATTTGGATGCCGAGCTGGAGGCGCTTGGGGAGGAGTCGATGTTTGAGACAGAGATGGGTGAGAATGCGATGCCAAGCTTCTTACAGGATGAAGTTGCGCCACCACAATTTATTGATGAGCCACCAGAGCAGGCCAAAGTCAAAGAGGCTGCTGGCGGTCTTGGATAACCTCATCCAACAATTCTAGCTGGATTACCTGGTTCTTTAGTTCATAGGTCCAAGGTCTTGGGTGATGGAGTTGGATTGGGATTTTATAGAGCAGTGAAGACGTCCGTTTCGGCTCCAAGGATATGTTTGACACTATGCGATTACCATGATCATTTTTAGCGTTCAAAATGTTTGATTTTATCTATTCGCTTCTTCCATGCAGTAAAAATGAGCTGGCAAAGCTATCTATGTATGGGGTATAGTAAACGCTTGCAATACAATATGTAGATCATGCTTTGCCCATTCCGATCAAAACAAGTAGGGCGACATTCATGACGGCGATGAGCAACCAGACCAGGACGGCAATCACGGAGGTGAATAGGTTGTTCCGCATCGAGACTTGCGCAACCTCAGTCTCGCCATCGGTTTCCCTGGATTGCTCAACGGGGACACTCATGTAGCGATTAAAGCATGTGAACCAAATGAGTGGCGCGGACACAAATGGCAAAATGACGCTAAGAACAACTTGGCTGGCATTCAAGGTCTTATCCAATCCGTCCTTTCCAACAGCGGCTGCGATGATGATACTGGGGATGATACTGATAGAGCGAGTTATGACCCTGCGAAGCCATGGTCGAATACTCCAGTTGAGCATTCCTTCACTCACCATCTGCCCAGCCATGGTGCAGACAATTCCAGCAGAGATACCAGACAATAGTAGTGCCAAAGCAAAGATAAGACCAGCAGCGGGGGAGATGGACGAAGAAAGAAGCTTATGGATACCGAAGAGGTCAGCGGAAGCACCGCCGGGAACATCGTAAAGGGATGCACCGGCCACGATGAGAATAGCGCTATTGACGAAGAGAGCGAAGGTAAATAGAGACAGCGACAGCTCGATGATCGAGTACTTCATGCAACCTCGGATAGCGTGGATGGTTGGTCGGTACTCCACTTCACCGCCGTTGCTTCCCAGAGGGACAGTTGACTCCACATACCCAGCGGTAACATCAAAGTCTTTCAGGCGAGACTGAACTACACCGCTACCCAGGAAGAGGGAGTGGGGCATGACAGTGGCACCGAGGATACCACAACTCTGGTAAAGACTAGAATACAAGGTTAGGTCATTCTCTTGTGTTAGAACGGTTCTTTGACACTTACCCTTCCGATTGTACGATGGCAGATGAAGGGAGGTACCCGCGGAAAACCTCCCCAACGGATTGGTCCTCGATGAGAGAAAGCTGGATACAGAAGCAAACGACCACCGCCAGGACCAGTCCCATGACGAAGAACTCGAACAAGCGTAGTCCCCACATGGAACCATTGGGGCGCCAGAAGAGTAGCAGGAAGAAGACATCCACCAAGGTGATAGCGCAACCCGCTACGAGGGGAATTTTTAGGAGTAGATTCAAGGCAATTGCTGACCCAACCACCTGTTTCATCTGTAAGTAAAGTTTCAAATGACAATCATTTATGGGATAGGATATGTACCTCTGCAATATCAGTAGCGACAATCGCGGCTTCAGAAAGGCCATAGAGGATGTAGACCAACCACCGAGGGAGATGTTCCCGACAATTCTCCGCCAGGTTTAGACCAGTCACGGAACCAAGCTTGATGCAGAGCGATTGCAAGAGTATGGCAAAAAGATTGGAGAGAAGCACAATGAAGAGCAATGCATATTTGTATTGTGCACCGGCAGCAACGTCGGTGGAGTAGTTGCCCGGATCGATATAGGCAACAGCAATCAGGAAACCAGGTCCGATGAAACGGCTAAACTTGACCAGACTGCGAGCACAGTGGAGGGCATTAGAAGAGATATAATCTTTGAAAGGACGGCGAGGTGATCCGCTGGCTCTCGTGGGTGTTTTGCACCCCGAGGCCGCAGTCACCTCACCGTCCGGGACTTTTTCCGTCCCGGGATCTGAGTCTTGCCGACTGATCGGTTGCGTGTCAATGCACAATGTGTCGTCTCCTATTGCAGTGCCAGTGCCGGTGGCATTCTTGCGGTGCACACGAGAATTGGCGATACCATTGAAGTCATTCCGCGTGGTGATATCGGGACTGAATGGTGGCGGACTCTGGTTCCAGCCCGGATGCTGAAGAGTGTCATCGGTACGCGAGGGGCAATTCATGGCTAAATATGGACAACTGACTTTGTGGGCGAGCAGATTGAATAGAGTCCTTGCAGAATCGGGAGCTAATCGGGGGAAAGGCGTATATATCCAACCGAGCAGGTACCTTTGGAGAGTCCGAAACTGCCCGACTTTTTGACGACGTCGTGTGGTTCCCGCTGCGAACCAATGAGTCTAAAAGTGGCGGGTCCTGCCCAGACCATCCGAATCCTCACCGTGTAAACCAATACGTAAGGGAAAACGCGAAAGAACAATGCTGCCTTAAGCATGTCTCAATTTAATTTTGATGAGCAGAAGAATTTCAATAGGGACCCATATCTGGCCGAGAGCGTTCTGTTATTAGAAGTGTACACATAATGCCCCGCGTTCGCAAACGGCAGTGGATCGCGCGTTTCCACCCGCGGGGAAACGAATCCAGATTTCGATTCCCCCCCCGAGGTTATAACAAGACTGTCAAATGCAGCGTATCAAACAATGAGGGATCTTCCGTGATAGAAAAGAGGGCCTTTCCTTCAATCGTGGAGTGGTACCGTCAGAATGTTGTAAACAGGACTGCGATAACGGCATATGATGTCAAC